AAATTACCTCCCAGAACTTCGAGCCAATCTGGTTGCCACACTGGCCCGCCTGGCAGGAAACGATCTCACGCATTTTGAAAAAGCTGTAGTGAAGCGGTTCGGTAGAAAACGGGAAACCCTAGACTTAACTTTTCGTTTTGGCGGCAGCGTTTTGGCGGCGGTTTGTACGGCGGTTAACGCAAGAGATACAAAAGGAAAAGACGAGGGGAGAAGAGTCAGATGAGCGGCGGAGTGGTTTGTTTGCTTTTTGGAACGAGAAAAGATGCACAGCACGGAGTCGAGCATCACCGCAGTGGTGAGCGGGAATGCTCGCTTCTCGCTGTGGCCCCTCGAGAACATCCGTCGTGCAGCACTCACGTGCTTCTTTTCGGGCCGCGTCAACGGAGGGAGACGAGTTTTCTTCGTGGGTTGTAAACTTCGGTTTTCAGAAAAGTTCAGCGTGTAGGTGTGCTCGCGTAGAAGCGAAAGAAAAAAAGGAAAGGGCGCGCAGGCACACCTTTCACTCCCACGCACTGAAAAGAAAGAAAAAAAAAATACATACTCACTGACGCAACGCAGACAATGTGGCGGTGGCCCACGGAACTCTTGCAAGGAGGAGGTGAAAACAGGGGTCGATGCGTGTGCGGTGTCAGAGTTTCGCCCACCAAACGAGTATTGCGGGCGAGAAAGAAATGGAAAAGAAAAACCAATGTTCTGTTCGGTACAGCGAAAAACAAAAATACCAGAAAAAGAGAAGCGAGAAAAGAAACGGGAGGGAAGGAGGCGGCGCTCGCGGGGAGAAATACGAAGACGAAACGCCTCGACGCAAACCGTACTTCCCCTCACGCGCGCGCACACGCTGGCACACGCCCTTCCACTCTCTAGTAGGCCTCCTCCTCCTCGTCGAACTCGCCCTCCTCCTCCACGGTGGCGTCCTGGTACTGCTGGTACTCGGACACGAGATCGTTCATGTTGGACTCCGCCTCCGTGAACTCCATCTCGTCCATGCCCTCGCCGGTGTACCAGTGGAGGAAGGCCTTGCGGCGGAACATGCCCGTGAACTGCTCGCCGACGCGGCGGAACATCTCCTGGATGCAGGTGTTGTTGCCGATGAACGTCACCGACATCTTCAGGCCCTTCGGCGGGATATCGCAGATGGACGACTTTATGTTGTTCGGGATCCACTCGATGAAGTAGCTCGAGTTCTTGTTTTGCACGTTCAGCATCTGCTCGTCCACCTCCTTGGTCGACATGCGGCCGCGGAACAGGGCGGACGCCGTCAGGTAGCGGCCGTGGCGCGGGTCGGCGGCCTGCATCATGTTCTTCGCGTCGAACATCTGCTGCGTCAGCTCCGCGACGGACAGGCCGCGGTACTGCTGCGAGCCGCGGCTCGTCAGCGGCGCGAAGCCCATCATGAAGAAGTGCAGACGCGGGAACGGCACCAGGTTCACCGCCAGCTTGCGCAGGTCGGAGTTCAGCTGGCCGGGGAAGCGCAGGCAGCACGTCACGCCCGACATCACAGCAGCCACCAGGTGGTTCAGGTCGCCGAACGTCGGCGTCGTCAGCTTCAGCGTGCGGAAGCAAATGTCGTACAAGGCCTCGTTATCAATGCACATCGACTCGTCGGAGTTCTCCACCAGCTGGTGCACCGACAGCGTTGTGTTGTACGGCTCCACCACCGTGTCCGACACGCGCGGCGACGGGATGACGGAGAAGGTCATCATGATGCGGTCCGGGTACTCCTCGCGCAGCTTCGAGATCAGCAGCGTACCCATGCCAGAGCCCGTGCCACCGCCGAGGGAGTGCGACAGCTGGAAGCCCTGCAGGCAGTCGCAGCTCTCCGCCTCCTTGCGGCACACGTCCAGCACGGAGTCGATCAGCTCCGCACCCTCCGTGTAGTGGCCCTTGGCCCAGTTGTTGCCGGCGCCGGACTGACCAAAGATAAAGTTGTCCGGGCGGAACAGCTGGCCGTACGGACCAGCGCGGACGGAGTCCATCGTGCCCGGCTCCAGGTCCATCAGCACCGCGCGAGGCACGTAGCGACCGCCGGTCGACTCATCAAAGTACACGTTGATGCGCTCCAGCTGCAGATCCGAGTCGCCCTGGTAGGAACCAGTCGGATCAACACCGTGTTCGTCAGAAATTACCTCCCAGAACTTCGAGCCAATCTGGTTGCCACACTGGCCCGCCTGGCAGGAAACGATCTCACGCATTTTGAAAAAGCTGTAGTGAAGCGGTTCGGTAGAAAACGGGAAACCCTAGACTTAACTTTTCGTTTTGGCGGCAGCGTTTTGGCGGCGGTTTGTACGGCGGTTAACGCAAGAGATACAAAAGGAAAAGACGAGGGGAGAAGAGTCAGATGAGCGGCGGAGTGGTTTGTTTGCTTTTTGGAACGAGAAAAGATGCACAGCACGGAGTCGAGCATCACCGCAGTGGTGAGCGGGAATGCTCGCTTCTCGCTGTGGCCCCTCGAGAACATCCGTCGTGCAGCACTCACGTGCTTCTTTTCGGGCCGCGTCAACGGAGGGAGACGAGTTTTCTTCGTGGGTTGTAAACTTCGGTTTTCAGAAAAGTTCAGCGTGTAGGTGTGCTCGCGTAGAAGCGAAAGAAAAAAAGGAAAGGGCGCGCAGGCACACCTTTCACTCCCACGCACTGAAAAGAAAGAAAAAAAAAATACATACTCACTGACGCAACGCAGACAATGTGGCGGTGGCCCACGGAACTCTTGCAAGGAGGAGGTGAAAACAGGGGTCGATGCGTGTGCGGTGTCAGAGTTTCGCCCACCAAACGAGTATTGCGGGCGAGAAAGAAATGGAAAAGAAAAACCAATGTTCTGTTCGGTACAGCGAAAAACAAAAATACCAGAAAAAGAGAAGCGAGAAAAGAAACGGGAGGGAAGGAGGCGGCGCTCGCGGGGAGAAATACGAAGACGAAACGCCTCGACGCAAACCGTACTTCCCCTCACGCGCGCGCACACGCTGGCACACGCCCTTCCACTCTCTAGTAGGCCTCCTCCTCCTCGTCGAACTCGCCCTCCTCCTCCACGGTGGCGTCCTGGTACTGCTGGTACTCGGACACGAGATCGTTCATGTTGGACTCCGCCTCCGTGAACTCCATCTCGTCCATGCCCTCGCCGGTGTACCAGTGGAGGAAGGCCTTGCGGCGGAACATGCCCGTGAACTGCTCGCCGACGCGGCGGAACATCTCCTGGATGCAGGTGTTGTTGCCGATGAACGTCACCGACATCTTCAGGCCCTTCGGCGGGATATCGCAGATGGACGACTTTATGTTGTTCGGGATCCACTCGATGAAGTAGCTCGAGTTCTTGTTTTGCACGTTCAGCATCTGCTCGTCCACCTCCTTGGTCGACATGCGGCCGCGGAACAGGGCGGACGCCGTCAGGTAGCGGCCGTGGCGCGGGTCGGCGGCCTGCATCATGTTCTTCGCGTCGAACATCTGCTGCGTCAGCTCCGCGACGGACAGGCCGCGGTACTGCTGCGAGCCGCGGCTCGTCAGCGGCGCGAAGCCCATCATGAAGAAGTGCAGACGCGGGAACGGCACCAGGTTCACCGCCAGCTTGCGCAGGTCGGAGTTCAGCTGGCCGGGGAAGCGCAGGCAGCACGTCACGCCCGACATCACAGCAGCCACCAGGTGGTTCAGGTCGCCGAACGTCGGCGTCGTCAGCTTCAGCGTGCGGAAGCAAATGTCGTACAAGGCCTCGTTATCAATGCACATCGACTCGTCGGAGTTCTCCACCAGCTGGTGCACCGACAGCGTTGTGTTGTACGGCTCCACCACCGTGTCCGACACGCGCGGCGACGGGATGACGGAGAAGGTCATCATGATGCGGTCCGGGTACTCCTCGCGCAGCTTCGAGATCAGCAGCGTACCCATGCCAGAGCCCGTGCCACCGCCGAGGGAGTGCGACAGCTGGAAGCCCTGCAGGCAGTCGCAGCTCTCCGCCTCCTTGCGGCACACGTCCAGCACGGAGTCGATCAGCTCCGCACCCTCCGTGTAGTGGCCCTTGGCCCAGTTGTTGCCGGCGCCGGACTGACCAAAGATAAAGTTGTCCGGGCGGAACAGCTGGCCGTACGGACCAGCGCGGACGGAGTCCATCGTGCCCGGCTCCAGGTCCATCAGCACCGCGCGAGGCACGTAGCGACCGCCGGTCGACTCATCAAAGTACACGTTGATGCGCTCCAGCTGCAGATCCGAGTCGCCCTGGTAGGAACCAGTCGGATCAACACCGTGTTCGTCAGAAATTACCTCCCAGAACTTCGAGCCAATCTGGTTGCCACACTGGCCCGCCTGGCAGGAAACGATCTCACGCATTTTGAAAAAGCTGTAGTGAAGCGGTTCGGTAGAAAACGGGAAACCCTAGACTTAACTTTTCGTTTTGGCGGCAGCGTTTTGGCGGCGGTTTGTACGGCGGTTAACGCAAGAGATACAAAAGGAAAAGACGAGGGGAGAAGAGTCAGATGAGCGGCGGAGTGGTTTGTTTGCTTTTTGGAACGAGAAAAGATGCACAGCACGGAGTCGAGCATCACCGCAGTGGTGAGCGGGAATGCTCGCTTCTCGCTGTGGCCCCTCGAGAACATCCGTCGTGCAGCACTCACGTGCTTCTTTTCGGGCCGCGTCAACGGAGGGAGACGAGTTTTCTTCGTGGGTTGTAAACTTCGGTTTTCAGAAAAGTTCAGCGTGTAGGTGTGCTCGCGTAGAAGCGAAAGAAAAAAAGGAAAGGGCGCGCAGGCACACCTTTCACTCCCACGCACTGAAAAGAACTGAGTAAGCGCAGGATTCCTCTCCACGAATCTGTGGGGTCGCGGTGAAGGTGCGATGAGTGGGGTGCAGGGTGCAAGGCGCGTCAATGGTACTGCGCTGCCGTCTTCGACGCAGCCTGCCAGAGGTACTACCACTACTACGACAAAATATAGACAGTTGCGCGCATAACTGTGTCTTTGGGCTTCCGAACGCAGACTTGCACATCATGTGCGGTAAGCTTGTTTCTCAGTCCTTCTTCGTTAGAGGAACGCGTCCACGTAGTCGTCCTCACTGGCCTTCGAGGCGACTCTGTGAGTGGTGGACACGGTAGCACTGCGCTGAGGTGCACGAAAATCGCCACGGCGGCGCGCCTCGGCGCTGGCTGTTCTCGTGTCACGGAAGCAACGGCGGAGAACTTCGCGTTGCCGCACACTCACTCTTTCCCGCCAGGCCTGTCGCAGCGGCACCAGCTGTTGTGGCGGCTCTGAAGATGGGCAGTACGACGTGACCTGCACCGACGGTAGAACCGCACGCAACGTTGAGATCTCGCCTTTGCGCGTCTCTGACGGACCGGCGAAGGTGTACATGAGAAACTCACTCATGTATACGTTGTAGCGGTGAAAGGGCCGGGTGCCCGCTGAGCAGCGAAAGCGGAGATGCAAGGAGGAAAGGAGGAGGCTGCCAATGCTCATCAAAAGATCCTGCGCCGTTGCTTCGCGTCGGTGACGACCATCTTCAGGCTTCACACCGGCCGAAAAGGATTCCAACAGAGCGTGGTGCGTCGTGACTTGGACCAGAATTGCATCCACATCCCTCTCGCACGTGTCCGTTTCCGTGGCACGCACAGGCAGCCCTCGCCAGCGCAGCACCGTTGCGGAGTTCACGCCTGCATGATACAGCAGCTGCGCCAGTGCACACTCCACGGACCAGGGGAACAGCGAGATGGCCCGTTGCCATCGACGTGTGAGGGAGGTCTGGGAGGCGGCGGAAGTGACCCGCCCGTCAGTGCCGTGCAAGATCAGGTTCAGTAACAAGAGTGAGAGCACATATACATCCGGACATGTCTGGCTGAGAACAAGAATGACCTGAACCATCAGTGTTGGCCTGCACAGCACCGCAGCTTTGTCAGCGCTTGCCGAGTCGGGGCTCCGCCGATTCCCTTCGTCGCCGTGTCGCACCCTTGCCTGTGCAGCCCATTCCATGGCGCAGAGGTTGTAGTACGTAGCCAACTGCCCACACCACGCAGCACTTCCAACTTGATCCATCGTAAAGGTCTTCGATGCACCATCCTTCAGCTCCGCCAGCGTCGCGAGCGTATTGCCCGAGTGCTGCGCATTCGCTACCCACGCGAGCAGCTCCAAAAGGGAAAAGAAAAGGTGTTGTGACGAGGGCAGGGTGGGCTGTAGAGCAGCAACAATCGCAACGCGGCAGCTCGCTTGCGCCTCCGCAGCTTCCGTCCAGCGTTGTTGATGTATGTCTTCACGTTGCGCCTGCTCCGCCGCTTCTGTTGCGGTCGGCGGCGTGCCCGCAGAGAGCCGAATCGTATCGTGCGAGTTCCACCGCGTGCTACGTCCTTCGTCCTCCGCAGTTGACTCTAGCATCTCCGACGTCGGCAGCGCCTCGCTCATGAAGAACTGCGCGGAGTCAGCAGCGGCGGCGTCCATTTCCACTGTCGCCTCCCTCGCCCAGCTAGTCGGCGCGTCGCTGTCCTCGTCGTCGTTCACCGCTGCTTCTCTCCAGCTGCTCGACGGCGTTGCTGCGGTGGTTTCCTCCTCCCCCGAAACGACCGCGATCTCCGAAGCAAGCTCGTCGAAGGCAATCGTGTGGTCCGCGTAGTCATCAGCCATCTTGTTGGCGTCGCCGTCGTGCGTTCGTCTTTGGGTGCTTTCCTCTTCGGTCGCCGCTTCGTCTTGCTCTACTCCATGAACGACTTCTTTTGTCACCGTGGAAGCACACGCGCACAGGTACCGGCGCAAATCCAGCACAACCCGCGCCGGCTCTGACACGACGATGGCCAGCTGCCAGAGATGTTTCACCACCTCCTCTGCGATATCAACCACATCCTTCGGGCGGTTGGTGCTGAGAGGCTCAGCTGGTGCCGTGCTCTCTCCTGCATCGTCGGAACTCTGACGAGGCGGCACACCGTTCGAGGCGGACGGAGAAGCGGCAGTCGGCAACGTAGAGAAGAAGGGACGTTGATTGCTGCCCAGAACATGCCAAGCGAGGGACCCGCTACCAAACGCAGCGTCGTTCGCACAGCCGCCTGCGTCCGTGTCCTCTTTTTCTTCCTTTTCCGCATCCCCACTGTCGTCGGTCAACGCTGACGCCGGAAGCCCGGACCACAGCAGTGCCGCTACTAGCCGCCGACGGCCCAGCTGCGGAGGAAGGCTGTTGAGCTGCGTTTGGAAGTCGCCATCAAACAGCAGCGCCAAGGCACCGTCTTTGCCGGACATGGTGGCACTGTACACCTGCATTCGTCGCAGGTAGGAGGCGACTATTGGGTGGCAAGCAGCCACGACGTCCCGCAGCACGCAAGGAACAAGTTCAGCAACCGTTGTCTCCTTTTGCGCTCTCCTGGGCCTTCCAGAGCTGAAGGCACCGCCAAAGACGGCCAGGGAATGGAGCAGCTTAAGCAACACAAAAAGCGATGGCTGCCCCATACTGCGCAGGCGGATAACCTCTTCGGAAGAGGGGGGAGAGATCGTCGTCCCACCGCCATGCGTCCTGCTCTCCAGCCCATCACCAGCATCAGACGCAGCAGATCGTAAAATTGGGAGCGTTGCATAGCTGCGAAAAATGTGGAGGAGCACGTCGGCCACCTCTTCTCTCAGCTCCTTGCACAAGTCCAGATAGTTCTGCATCTGTGTGCGTGCCTCGACGGAGCTCACGTGCGACGGCGGCGGTGGAAAAGGACACGGGCTTGCAAAACTGGGGAGAAGAGGTTGCGCATCACGGAGACGACGGCCACGGGGAGTAGGTTGGCGGCTGTTGTGCGGTACCGCGTCCTCTTCTGAGGCGACGGAAGGAGAAACCGCCTGCTGCGATCGCGCCGGTTCGCCCGCCGATGCAGCAGCAGCAATGTACGCTGCGCGCTCGCATCGCTCCGCGCGTGGGCACAGAAGGCTGTCTTCAGGTACTGCCCAGTTGTCGGCCAGCGCCTCCCCCTTCTCATCAGTCCACAGGAGTGCGTTCGCCTTTCGGTCACTCTTTCCAACGAGAGGGCGGCTCCGTTGCGTGCGTGCCAGTACACCCGTCCACGCCTGCATGGCCTCGACTCGTCCCTTGCTTAGCGGTTGAAACGCGCTATAGTACGTCGATGGCGCGGACGCGGCCCCTTCGATGGCCCACAGCGCCAAAAGCACCGTCGCCGTGCTGCCTGCGTGGAAGACGTTGGGAAAGACGTCACAGAACGTGTGGAACAGCTGGCCCCACAGCCGCGCAGGCGTGGCGGGTTGGTGGGCCGCGTTGTGCCGCAGCCAGCCGCAGTCCTGGAAGCAGAAGAGGGCGTGTGCAAAGACAAGGTGCACCCAACTTGGCAAGTCAGCATTGCTGTGTATAACGGACCCCTCCCCGAACGATCCCGCTGGTACTTCGTGCTGCACGGGTGCGCAGAGGAGTACCCGCATGGCTGGGGTGTAACGCTGATCCCGTACGTAGGCAATGCCCTCAGCGTTCGAGCGCCTTCCCTTTGCGTTGCGGCCGTCTGTAGTGGCATCGGAGGCTGCGCCGCTCGCACGTCGCTTCACCCTGCTTCCGTGTCGAAGAGCCAGTAAGTGCCCGCGCAGGTGCGCAACCGCAGACACGACTGCCACCAGCACCGCCCAATCCTCCCTCTTCTCTGCCGTCGAGTCAGCGGAAACATCCAAAGAAGAATTGTGATGAGAAGACGAGGGGGCGGCGTTGGCGTTGGGAGCGGCAGGGTGCAGGAGTTCATGCACCGACGGCGTCGACGACGGGGCGGACCCATCTGATTCGTGGGCGGAGCACACAACAGGCCACAGCCAATCTACAATGAAGCACCTTGCGATTTCGCGACCGCGATTCGCTGCTGTCTGCGTTGTACGCCGCTGCCGCTCCAACGCCGACGCACCATCCGCTGCCTTTTTCTGATCACTGGCTCTCGTCATCGTTGCCGTCGTAGGTGCATCCTCCCAGCTCCGCGGAGAGGTACTGCCCACCGCGATGGCCACTTCGAGAACACGGACAAACAAAGGACAGGTGATGAAGTTTCTGCGGTGGACCTGCCGCAGATGCGCGCGCAGGGCATCCTGATAACTAGGCGGAAAGACGGCGGCCGGGCAGAGAAAACCGCCAGCTGCGACGCGTGTGTTGTCCTTCAAGTTTTCTTGCGCCGTGACGTCGGAGGAAATGTGTGTGCAGATGTAGGCACGGAGGTGGTGCTCCACCGACGTCACGCTGTGCGTCGCCATGGTGGCCCGCTGCATTGTGGAGCGGCCCGGTGTGCCGTCGCTGCGGCCGGCCTCCGCAAGCCGCTGCTGCTGACGGAGCGTGCACGGAGGCAGGCGGTGAATCGACGAGGTCAGCTCCACCGGCACCTGGTCCGGATTCGCGTACCACCACAGCAGCACCAACTCTAACCCAAGCACGTGCGCCACTCTGTTGGAAGGCCCGTGGTTCATCATGTACTGCTCCCATTGCGCGTGCAGCGTGAAGGCAGACGCGCAGAGAAGGCTGCGGATGCCCTGCTCCAGACGCCGCCGCAGCTCTGCCGGCTGCTCGCGGTAGTCGTACAGGTACACGTCATACACCGCGCGTGCGTGGGAGTCGCCGGTTTGCGTCGCTGGAGAAGCGGTTATTGCCAGTGCGTCCACCTCGCAGTACTGCGTGAGGAAGGCCTGCTCGAGCATCGCACGCCAGAAGGGCAGCAGGAAACCCTCCGTCCACGCTGCGTCCTGCGGCCTCGCTGCCAGCTGTCGCCGCGCCATCTCGCGCAGCACGGCGTCCAAACGGCTCAGGACGCTGCCAAATGGCAGAAGAGCCCACTCCTTTGCGGGGTCATCGGTCAGACGCAGGTGGGCGTGCGGGTGCTCCGCCGCCGCCTCGGGCCGCAGAAACTCCCGTGGCTGGCGGACGCTGACGTAGAGCGTTGCCTCCTTCGCGTTGCCGAACACGTGATGAAGGAAGACGCCGTCGGCGCCGGAAGCATCCGCGGAAAAACGCGATGATAAATCTGATGAAGGCCGGCGGCTCCCGCCCAGCGGCGCATCATCCCCGCTCCTATTTGGTAGAGGTGGATCAGCGCGCAGCCCGACAAGGTACTGCAACCAAGGAGAAAGCTGAGGCGACGACGAGGATGTCGATGAGGCGTGCTGCCTTTGTAATCCGATTACACTACCGGGGCGAGCGACGTCGTCGACTGCGCGTTGAAAGGCGTGCGTGAAAGAGCCGTGCAGCAGCTCCTGTGTGCTTTCGACGCGGAGGTGTGTGGGTGGGTGCTCGTGCGGTGGCGGTGCTGACGGTGCTGCCGGAGGGGCAGGTGGAGTGAGCACAGAGGCGTATCGGAACGGTGTGCAGGTCCGCCTCGCAGAGCACCCGAGATGCCACGACTGGAGTCGTGGTAAAGCACGATGTAGCCGTTGTGGTGAAATGGCAAGGAAAGAGCGCGTAGACATGGATCAGCTTGGCCAATAGAGGCAACGTTGGGTGAGACCAAGGGGAGCCGTGCAGCTGTTATTCCAATTTAATGGTTGTGAAAAAGAAAAAAGGGTAAGATGCGAGTTATGTTGTGTCAGTTAGCCCAAACAAAAAAAAGTGTTCCATTGGATTTTATTTTCTCTTGTAAATGGTGGAACAGCGTTGACGGCAGCGTGCGATGAACTTCCAACTCCTGACCACAAACGTGGCTAACGGCCGAAATGTACACGGCCGCTTTCTCTTTTACCTTTCCCGAGATAACCGCGTCAATTTCCAAAAGAGACACTAAGCACCATCCGATCCGAGGAGAAAGAAGAAACAAAGGAGTTCAACAAACGCGAGACTTCGCTTAACTCATCAACGCGTTCATTAGAAGAAATGCGTCCTTCGATTTTGCTGAATCGTAAATGGCAGGCGGTCGCGAAAGAGAGAGGGGTGCCCACAAGACAGTGAGACGGTACGAGCTTGCCCATATCAGGAACGTCGTTCGCGGTTAGGTTGAGGAACAAATCGGATGCCTCGAGCAAAATTTGAATCCAGCGCACGATGAGGTGATTCTCTGTGTGCAACGTTCTCTTTTTGGCGTACATGAAACAGCGCCCTGGATGCACTATGCCGCAATGAAGCACGCACAGATCTGGATGCCGCTCCATCACAGAGGCTAAAACGTGCATCGCAACTCTGTTGACGCTAGCACGAAAGAAAAGAAAAGAATGGAGGATAAAGAGAAAGGATGTTATGCTTCTACGGGAAACGGCTTCACAGTTCCAAAAGAAAAAAGAACGCAATCACCGCATTGTTCAAAAAGGAGGGGGTGGGGGAGTAGGCTGTGAAGGCAAGCAAAAGCACACAAAACGAGACACCGAAATACTTTCACAGCAGAACTCCAGGTAAGAGTAAAATATATATCCGCCACCGCAACTCCACAGCACCAACAATGAAACTGCGGCAATAACACCCGCAACAGAAGAAAAGAAGAACTAGGCAACATCACCACCCCAAAGAAGAAAATGTCGCTGCTGTAGACGTCCGTTAAGCCGCTTGCCGTTTCGCCGTCACAGACGGCGTGCGTTGCGGACGCACCGCGTAACGATCCGGACCGCCAGCCCCATTCGCATCCACAGGAGCACCAGCACCAGCGTTGTTTTTGCTGCCTTGCGCGTTCGCCGCCGCTGACACAGGCCGACCCTCACGAGCCGCACGCAAGGCTGAAATCGCATCCGCCGCATTTGGTGCCGCCGTCGCATTGGCAGTGATTTTTGATGGCGATGCCGGGTTGAACTCCCGCTTCACTTCGTGTGGCGCGTCGCTCCGTGACACAGGGCGCGCCCTCACCGCAGAAGACTGGGTACCTCCATTCGTGCTCGCAGGTCCCCGCCCACCGCCAGTGGACGCCCAATCATTCCCTGCCGTTGCGCTGACTCCTTGCGCCGCCGCCGATGCTGTGGGCCCGCTCTTTTGCGGTGAGTCAGCCGCTGCTGCGGAAGCAGAAGGAGCCGGCGGAGAAGACCCAGCAAGCGGTGCCCGTGCCGCTCGCGGCGAGCGTGGCGCTGGCCCACACGGCGTGCTGCGCATCGGTCGTGTTGCCGGCATCTCCGCCGGCGGTGGCGCCAGCGCGGCGGCGATAACGGCTGGCTGTGTTGACTGCAGCCGCATCATCACTTCGCCTGTCAGCTGAAAGTTGATGTAGTTCGTCCCGTCCATAATCAGCCGGTGCAGGGACAGAAAGTGCACGACGTTGGCGGCCAGCTGCACCACCGCACCCGTCATGCGCGACGCAGACCCGGTAGAGTTGGAGGAGGCGCTGAGGCTGGAGGTGCTCAGCATGAGAGACGAAGTCGCTCCTTTTGGTGATGGGGCGGAGGCGGAGGACTGCGCAGAGGGCTCCCTTTCCGGCGTTGCGGAAGGACGATGACTGCTACGGCTCTCTGCACGGCTGCCGTAACGCGCAGCTCCGTTGTGCGCCTCTGTGGCGCCCGTGGAGCTTTCTGCGCGCGACGGAGATGTCGTGGAGTGCGGCGGGACAGGGCTCTCACCGCCTTCCTCGAGCGACGCGTCAGACAGGTGGCCGTGGTGGTCGCTGTCGAGTCGGACAACGTCGTTGATCGCCGTCGCCACGTGCTCTTCTGTCGGTGTTGCGTCGACGCGTTGCTTCGCTGCGTGACATTCGAGCACGGAGGCCAGGTACAACCTCATGCCGCGAATCCAGTCCCGCAGCACCTCACGCACGAGGAAGAGCTGACGATCCAGCCGATTAGAAACAAAGCTTGTCACCAGAATGGCATTCTTGCGGTTGTGGATAACAGACTCGACGGAGTTTTCGATGATGACGATGCGATGCATGTGGCGGCCCAGGCGGCGCAGTTCCTTCGTGTAGTAGGAGTCCCGGTACCAGCGCACATCGCGGTAGATGGCCTCGTCGAAGATGGCGTTCTGCGGGTCGAGCCGGCGCACCGCACGACGCGCCAGACTCTCCTCGCTCGCCGTCCACAACACCAGCTCGAGGCGAAGGGGGCTTGTCTCCTTTCCCGTAGCTGGCCGTGCCTCGCCGGTGCTGCTGCCGACGTTGTCGATGTTGTAGTCGCCGCTCTCCTGTCGCTGAGCCACACGCGGGCGGTAGAGCGGCGTCATGCCCAACTTGAGCATCGCCTGGTTGTAGAGGCGGTTGGTGGCGTGCTGGCCACGCGCGCGGGTGTCAATAAATTTATAGCGCGGCGACGGGGCAAGACTGCGCAGGGTGTGCAGGAGAAGCTGTGCACCCGGTCGCAGCACCGTCCCGCCGAGACCGCGGTTATTGCAGAGCGTCTCATCGAGGTCGAAGACAACCGTGATGGTGTTGGCGGCTTCCTCCGGCGAGAGGAGGGCTGGCAGGAGGAGCTCCGTGGTAGCAGCCTTGTCGCTTTGCGGGCTCGTGGTCTCAACAGAGTGGGTGAGGGTGCCGCCATGACGCGGCACGGTGCGCCGTGGGTGCTCTGTCGGCGTCCCGACACAGTTATTCGCACCCACACCACCACTCAGCGCGCTTTCGGGAAGCATCCGACGGCGCCGCTCTGTGCCATCCGCCGCCGCCGCAGTGGCCGTAGGGGTCGCCTCACTGTTCACAGCCGTCTTTGAGGGGCAACGGGCGAACTTTGCGCCACTGCGATGGTTCACGGCGCTACTGCTATTGTTGCTCTCCGCCGTTGACGTCCGGCAGCCTCGTGACGACGGTGACCGCGGAGGTGTCTGCGAAGCCGCAGGTGGCACAGAAGATTGTGATAACGACGACGGAGCATTCTTGCGGTCTGGCTCATTGGCACTCGCTACGTCACTTCTGGCCGACGAGCCCGCTCGCTGCCACCGGCTGGTCTCCCGCGGCTTCTCTGACGTCTCTGCAGATGCGGATGCTACGTCGGGCACCACACCGCTGCGCCGCGGCGCTGAAGGCGTCGTGGACACATCATCGCGTAGGGGCGGCTTGCTTGTTGCTGCCTTGGTCTTCTCCACAGCGGCCGACGACGCTTTTGGAAGCTCTGCGGCAACGGCATCTTCGCTGTGAAGAACTGGCGTGGGCTCGTCCGCCACCTCTCCTACCGACTGCGACTCCTCTTGTCTGTCCCGCCCTTCGACCGCCTCCTCCTGTTCCTCCATTTCCGCCTCCGAACTGCAGGACCGGAGGACCTCCTCGGCCTCGGCGGGGTCCATATCTGGGTCAATGAAGCTCAACTCGCGCCTTAGCGTGTTGGGGGAGTCGAGCAATTCCACGTTCTCGGGGTGGCGCTCTTTCGTAATGGTGCGCAGCAACTCCAATTCCCGCTGTTGCTCCCGCTCGATGCGATGACGCAGGCGAGGGGTGATCGGGGCGTGGCCCGTGGTGTCGGTGGCCCGCGAGAGCCGGGCCTGCGCGCCGCCGTCGTCGTCGTCGCCCTCCTCCTCCCCCTCCTCCACATCCCCCACGTCCACCTTGTCAGAAACGAGAAACGGGTTGCACTGTTCGTCCTCGTCGTCCGTCGCAACCGCCCGACTGCCCGCCAAGTCCGCAGCCTTGCTGCTCCGCACCGCCGCCGCGGCCCGCCGATGGCTCCGCAGCATCTCCGCCTCTGCTTCCTCGTCTTCCTCGGCTTTCTGTGCCGCCTCCACGCATTGGGCCGCCGCCTCTTCACGCTGCCGCAGCTCCAGCAGATCCGCCAACAGGGCGGCGACGTTCTCCGCCGCAGGGGTGTGGGAACGCTCGCTGACGGAATGGGCACGGCGGTTGGACGGGTTGCGGGAGGTGCTCGGCGCCACCAGCGTCGGGGCGGAATGCGCCGTGGTGCTCTGTTCCTTCACCTCGACGTCGGCGTCCATCTCGAGGACCTTGGCCAGGTGGTCGGACAACACTCCCTCATCTATTCCAGCACCCGGGGTGGCACCGGCGGCGGTTGTGGTGGTAGTTGCGTTGACCGTTTCAGCAGAGGTTGTGTCGAGCACGCCAAACGTGGCGATCGTCATGAGCCGACTAAGACTGAGGCGCGAGGTACTTCTGGTATCGAGCTTGTCCTCCGCTGCTGTCGTCGCCGCGGGTGGCGCCGCAGACAGTCCTGCTCTGTCGGTGCGGCCTAAGTCATCGAATGAGAGGGGTGTCACGGCGCGACCACCAATCTTCTTTTCTTCCGCTGTCTTCCTCGTGGAAGCCAACGGCGGAGGGGCGCAGGGGGAGGTGCTGCGCCGGCCCGTGTCCCCCGTGCCGCTCCGCCGTGTAGCAGGCACGCTTGCCGCGGGAGCCGACGGCGACGTCCTCACTGCTGGCGCACCGATGGTGTGACGGCTCGTTGCCGCCGTGGCGGGAATCTCGTGCACGATGGGCGAGTCCTCCTGCGGCACCACGGTGGGACGAGTCGGTGGCGGCAGGGAGTGCATCTCCACCTTCGCTCTCGCAGCGGCACTCTCCGCTTTTGGCGAGTGCACGGGCGTTGAAAGCGCCGAACTCGCCGCCGTGGATGACGCGCGTCGGCGGCCTGACGCCATCTCTGACGATCGTGGTGAGCCGTGCGAGGAGCGGGATGCACTGCGCCCTCTTTGCGCCTCGTGTGCGCCGACCGGCGTCGACAGTGACAACAGCGTAGAGGAGGTGATGTCTGGCACGGAGGTGTTAAGTGCCTCAGCGGGGGTGTGCCCCGACATGGAAGCCGATGTGCTCGCCGTGCTGCATGGCTGCTGCGACGACTTTGGCGACTGGGACGGGTCTCGCAGTTCGCTTTGCGATGCATCGGCCACAGGCTGTGCTTTTCGTCGGACGGTGCCGATGGTGGGCGCCGGGTCCGCTACTCGGTGCACTGATGCCACAGGAGGGGCAGCGCCGGCCGCAGCAGCGGAGGCGTCTTCCCGTTCGCGGCCTCGTGGGGCGTCCGTGTTTTCTCCCACGGAAGTGTTGCCGCTGCGATCATCACTGGCACCTGTCTTCTTTCGCCCTGTCAACGCGCCTGTTGGACGAGAGCTGCTCTTCATCTGCGCTGCCCCGGGCTCGATCGGGCTAGCGGCGCCGCGTCGAATGCTGCCGTCGCGCGGGAGCGTCTTCTGTGACTCCGTATCACAACAGCTGACGGGCTTGCTGCCTCCTCGTGCAGAGGGAAGGCGCTGAAGCCGCCCTGATTCCACCGCTGCAGTGGTGTGCGTAGCGATGCCCGCGCGAGGCGCCACACCGTCTTCGCTCTCGTTGCTGTCGGATGACGGCAGATGCGCTCGGCTGCTCACCGTTGACTGAGCAAAGCGTGGACCCTGGGTACGCCCTCTCGCCACCGCCGACGTCGTTGTCCGCGGTTTCTGCACGCCTGGTGTGAGGGTGGCGGTGGAGGAGCTGTAGGCCGGACTCGCAGCCCGTGGCGTGCTGATGCACTGCGTGGAAAGGTTTGTCGAGATGGGTGTGGTGCTCGGTGTAACGTTGCTGCTGCCCACCGCTCTAGTCGACGTACCCGCCGTGGCTGTTCGTGTGTAGGTGCCGGCTCTGCGTGTGGGAGTAGCGGTACGCGTCAGTCGCATGGTAGCAGCAGCAGCTGCTGCTGCAGTGGTGGTGGTGATGCTACCGGCCAGCAGGGGAGACGTGGTGGTAGATGACGATGTCGAAGGTGTGCCGACGTGCCGCGGCACTCCCTCGCGCCAACTAAGTCCAGGTGGCGTGTTAATTTTCTTGGAGGCCAGCGCAGCTCGCGTCTTTGGCTGGTTGGAGTTGAGGAGCGTTGGGCCGTCACTCGTCGTACTCTCACGCCGGAATGTTGAACTGGTCCGCATCGTGTCCCTCGCGGATGTGAAGGAGGGACAAGGAAAAAGAGAAGGAAAAGGCACGCTGCAGAGCGGTGCTTGACGAGAGTAAAATACAAGCAGAAAAACACGAAGATTGAATCAGAGAAAACAAAATGATGGAGACAATACGCCTGCTCTGTTTCAAGCAGCGCCAATCGCCTAGAGGGGGAGGGGGGGAGGCAAATGAATAACACGGCCGATATATACAATTGAGGTAAAAGCACAAAGACGAGGGCGGAGATGGACGTCTCCTGAGCAGAGCAACACGCAATGAAACAGCACTATGACTCTACAACAACAAAATACATATGAATGAAAAAAGAAATGCTTCTACGCAAATGAGCCAACAGCTGCTCAACGATCACGAAAATCTTTAAAAAAAAAAGAGGGGAGAGAGAGAGAGAAGGAGTTTCGACTACTCGACAAGAGCGCGATGCTCACGGTGGCTTCTCCTCACTTACATACACACACACACACACCAGGAAGAGCTTTCGTAGACTCCCGCAGTCAGTTTAACACCCTCCGAGGGCTGTTCAGCAAAAATACAAATGGCTAATGGGGCTAATGAAACTAACAGAGTAGCGACGCTAGAAAAAGAAAAGGCGGCAGGTCAACGTGGGTTAACACTGAGCTTTAGAGAATGGAGAAAGCCTTTTACTTTTTCTACCAATCTCATACATGGTACAATGAATTCTTTCGGTTTGCTTTCATAAATCCCCCTTATTTGTGATTGCTGGGCTAAACAAATATTTCGCCCCGTCGCCTCTTTGCTTTCCCGTGCGGACTCGGCGGCAGAGGTGTGAAATACGCGTATTGAGTGGAAGCCGGCATGAGAAGACAAAGTTGAAGGTCAAGCAATGAAGTTGAGACACGATGTTTTCGCCTTGGCGGGAATAGAGAGCATCAAACAGAACAGCACTACTTCCCCTTTCTTGCATAGGACATCGAAGACGCTAGACAATCGCAACGACGACGACACAACGCTTCAATTGTTGGTGACCGTGTTGACCAGGATACCAGTCCGTGGTTGGCCGCTTGCTGTTAACTTTTTCGGAGTTCGAAAGTTAAACTCGAGGGTAAACGTTAGAGTAATAGAGAAAGAAAAGAAATACACCCTTTTGAGGTGGCAGTCGTCAATCGCGATATTCAACAGAAGATGAAAGCAAAACAAGAAAGAAAGACAGCATAAGCGAACACACAAACGCGCACATGCAAGATACCAAGGTGCTGAAAGAAAAAGAAAGAGTGCACCAACAGGAATCCCAACAGGAGGACAAAGGAGAATGAAGAAAACTCCTTCAATGTTCGAACGGCAATGATAGCCGAAACAGTTGTGCATTTGACTTCACACCCACTACCTTTCATCGCTGTCGTCAAAGAGACTACAAATGAGGGTAAAAAGGATTTTTAGAAAGCATAATGGCGTTGCTCAAAGTCGTCCAACACTACTACGGTTGTTGGAATAACGTCTTGCTTTCAAAAAAAAAAAAAACAGTGAATATAAAGAAGGGCTCAGGAGTCTTTCCCACTAGCACACTTTGCAGCCAACCAAACAAAAAACAGTTCTCCACGATCACCCCCAACAGGACGCTCGACCAACAACCGGCTCCTCGTTATCTTCCCAGTGTGACCATTTGGGCGTATTTCTTTTTTGCATGAGGAGGAAAGCACAAAGAGCAAGAAACCACTACTTGTTTTGTTCTCTCACGTAATGGCCTCTCTTAGAAAGAAAAAAGAAAAACCTTGAACGTAACTGGGGTGCTTTGAAACTGCACACGCAGATGCCAAGCATATTGATAAAACTCTAATACATGTGCTAGCGTGAAAGACGGCATCGCTTATCGCAGATGACTCCTACCTTTGCGCACCAGAGAGAAAAAAAAAAGAAAGAAAAGAAAACAATTCCTCTCGTACAGTAAAAACAAATGGGAAGAGAATTGAAACGAACGCAGAAAGAGAGAAAGAGAGAAAGAGTCGCGTACGAATTCCCTAGCCTTTATATATATATATATATATATATATATATGTTTTTTCCCCACTTCGCACGCGTCCTCCACAGCAAAGAATCCCGTGTGTACACCTCCAACGAACGGAGGAATGCGTATCGTATGTGGTCTCCGTGCAACGCAATACAGAGTTAGTATGTACAAAACAAGAGGAGAAGTAAGAGGGAAACAGCAGCGACAGAGAAAGGAGTTGCTCCACACGCATGGGCCCCTTCACAAAGCTCGCAATACAATCTCAGCTGTTTTACATCTTCGGTTAGAACTGATGCGAGTGGTAAAAGAAAAAAAAAGAAACTCATGCAGTAACAGTAAAAAAAGGAATTCATCTATGCTGACGGATTCGTTGAGGTATTGAGGGAGAACGATATATATATTTGCCTGTCCAACCTCGATCAAAGCAGAAGCCCCAGCTGAGGTGATGAAAAACAATAATAATAAATAATAAAAATTCGAGATATACATCGATGCAAGCTCACAGAGACGGTGGGGAGTGGGTAAGAGGTGGGCGACAGCGCTGAAAGTACTCGTCCTCCGCCTCCGCCTCGTACCAGCCCTCCTCAGCTTCACCGTCCGCATAGTAGTACTCGCCTTCCTCGTCCTCGTAGCCCTCCTCATCGTCGTAGGCGTAGTAGTAGCCGTCCTCACCGTAGTAACCGTACTCGTCCTCCTCGTCGTACTCCCTTTCCTCGTAGTAGTAGCCGTACGCTTCCTCTGCACCACCGTCTGACCCTGCCTGCGCGTACGTGTTTGTGGAATCATGCGGATCGGCGTGCTTCACAGCTGGGTGACGCGCCCCCGGGCTGCGCGTCTCGTCGTGGCTGCTGCTCTGTCCAGACGACGCAGCGCGGTGCCACCGGCCGTGATGGACAGGGCTGCTAAGAGGCTGCGATGACGGCGCAACGGCGGTGAGCTCTGCCGGCGCCGGCTTGCGGCGGGTGCTGCTCCTGCTGTTGTGGTTGCCACTGACCTTGTCCACGCCGTACGTGTGCGACGCCCGATACGGGGCGTTGCTGCTGCAGTCATGTAGGCCAGTAGCTGCTCGCATGCCGGCCTGACCTCCACGACCGGCTGTGTTGTGCAGCGCGCCTTCGTTGACCACGGTACGCGACTGCGGTCTCTTGAGTTCTTCTGGCGCCTTTGCAGGTGCCAAGACGTTCAGCTGACCTCGCACGAGCGATGCGGTGACGCCGAGAACATCGCGGACCTGCTGGACCATTCCAAACGGACCCCAGCGAGTGCTGCCGCTGGCATTCGTTGTAGTGCTGATAGCTGTCGTGTTGGGCGCGGTGGTGGAAGTCAGGCTGTGACCAGCAGCAACAGCACCCATCGCCGACATCGTCCCTTCCGAGGCAGTGGTGCCGCCTGTGCAACGCGACGCACCGTGCTGCTCCGCCGTGGAGGGCTGCCGCTTGGCATAGGCAGTGGCCGACGCGTGTGTCGTCTGCGCAGAGCGAGAAAACCCGTTGGACCGGCTGCTGCCAGCAGCTGTGCCAGCAAAGGCGTTCGTCAGGAACGGTGCCGTCGCCAGCTGCGAATTCGACGCATCTGCGCCGAAGAGGCCGTGGCCGGCGGCGGCGGCGGCGGTTGCAGAATTTGGGTTCTGCCGCTGCGCGTAGTGGCTGGCGTACCCCTGACCGCCTCCCTGCGATTGCTTGAAGAACCCGACCGGGGAGTTGGGCTCCATCGGAGGCGGGCGCGGCGGATTCGTTGGGCTGGCGCCGAGGCAACTCAGCTGACGAACGGAGCGCGGGCTGGGCGGCTCCCGCTTGCCGTGCACGACGCTGAAGAGCCGCGCCCGCAGCGGTGGCGGACACGCCGGCAGCATGCCGTGCACGGGCGACGGCGGCACCCCCGTTGCACGGAGGCACGACACGGAGGTGCTGACGCTGCCAGCAACGCTGACACCGCTCAGGGTGCTGCGCGCGGCCTCCAACAAACTCGGTGGCATCGCAACAAAACTGCCAGGGCTGCAGACGCTCGGACTGCCAAACTCGCACAGCGGAAAAACGGCTGAAGGGGCTTCCGCGACTCCGGTCGAGTGACACAACGGCGCGACATCGGCGGACGCGTCCTTCGAGCTGAGCGCCGTGCTGCTTTCGAGGCGCATGGGTGGGAAGGCCCTCGACGCCGGAATGGAAAGAGGAGAGGTGATAGCGGCGACACCGGCGGCCGTGTCGTCGGCGGAGGAGTCCCTCTTTTCCACCGACTCCGCGGGTGCCCCACTGAACTGAGACGACGAGGCTGGGGAAAACGTGCCCGAGCTTGCCGAGGCAAGAGCTGTGCTGTGGCTCTCTACTCCACGCACAAAGTACGACTGCAGCGGCGTCATCAAGTCACGGCGCGTGGCGAGGGTCTCCATCCAGCTGAGCCACTGCTCCACCTCTGCCTCCTTCAGCAGCAGGTCAAAGTCGATCAGGTACAGAAAGTCCAACTCCAACTTCGTCATCTCACTTCGCGGAATGCCAGAGGAGGTGGCGAAGTGCGCGTTGAGGCGAGCCGAGCTGTGCTCATCGTACACCTTGGCCGCCACAAGAATCGCTGTTGTCGTCAGGCGGTACCAGTTGGCGTGTGTAATGCTCAACAGCTCTGAGGCGCACTGCACCGTGACACGTGCCAGGTAGGCGAGGGCTGCGATGAAGACCATCGGCGCCATCTTTCCGTGGTGCCGGCCCAGTGCGGCGAGCAGCGCCGGCACCGTTTCGTCTGTCGCGTTCTCCTTTTCGAGCTCTGCGTGACGCGCCTGACCAGCGGCACTGAAGAAGAAGCTGCGGGACGGCGGCGCAGGGGCCGACGGCGGCGGTGGGAAGGCGCGGGTGGGAGGGCAGAGGCCCCCGCTGAGCTCCCGCGTGTGCAGTCCGTGCGTGTTTTGGGCCGCGTTCGGAAAGCACGGCGGGTAGGCCGGCGCATTGGAGCCGGCAGCCGTCGTGCTGAACAGCGACGCGTGCCCCGCAACGGGGGACACTCCGCTGCTGCGTGGGGAGTCAAAGGACAGAGTGCTGGTGGCAAGGTCGTGGTTGCTGTCACCGCGAATAAACTCGCGTTGGCTGTCACGCCACGCGGCCGGCGCGTTGGCCACCCGTTGCGCGCACTCGCCCATCAATTCTTCCAGCGCCACCTCGTAAAAGACGGCAAAGCGCTCCATGGAGAACGCATCGGTGCACGTCTTCGTAGGGGAGGCAGCAGCACTGGCAGAGTCGGCCGTCGCGGTGCCGGCGGTGCGCCGAGAGAGTGAGGACGTCGACAAGCAGCTGCCAACGAGGGAGTGAGGCCGACTGTAGAGCTGCCGCACACCCATCGGGTCCTCACCGGCAACGACGCGGGAGGCGACACCTGCAGCGTTGTGATCCACGACCCCGCTCAACACTTTTCGAGCAGCGGGGGTATACGCGGCAGGCGGAGGAGCGGTCGCACGCGAGGTGGCGGTGTCGGCAATGGCCTGCATCGCCTGTGCAGTGAAGGAAGCCGGTTTTGTTCCAGCAGCTACTGCTGCTGCCGCCTTGCAAAGAGAAGGAGCTTCGCCTTTTGTGTTCACGTTCGCGGCAGCAACCCTTTTGCTTTCGCTAAGGAGCACTTCCACACCCGTCCCAGCAGCAGCAGCAGCAGGGGCAGAAGCAGCAGGGGCAACAGGAAAGGACCGCAGACTCCACTCCGTTGGCCGTGTCGTGGCTGCCAGCGATGAGTCCAGCGCAAACGCGTCAGCGCAGCTCGAAGGCGGCGACACGGCCTCCCCACACCCGTTGCCTATCGTAGTAAAGCCATCCGTATCGTTGTCATCGTCGCAGCAGTCATCACGGTCGTCGGCGGCGGCCGCCGCCTTCGCGTATTTTGAGCTCGGAAGGTTCGTCGTCACTACTGACGCTGGGGCCGCCTTGCTGGCAATTTCCTTTGAGTTTAGAGCGACGTCGAGGTGCTGGTGAGGAGACGAGCCAGGGGGTTCGATGCTCGTCGTTGCTTCGGTAGCGCATTTGGAGTCTGCGCTGACAGCAGGTGCTGCGTGCGCATGCGTATCCGCCTCGTGACGGCGCACGTCGCTCTTCATTTGAGCTGATGTCCTCTCTAGCGAGGAGCGCCGTTGATGCTGATCCTCCCTGCTGACGATTCTGTTGCTCATTGTGCTTTCCGAAAGATCGAAAGTCGTTTCTTCGCCGCTTTCATAACACGGGAATCACACAGAACGAAAAAACAAGAGCACAGTTGAGAAATCCAAGAAAACTCACTAGTTCTCCTGTGGATTAAAAAATGAAATCGTCGCTGTGAGGCAGCGTGCGCGCAGCCGTTGTATTTAACTATGTGTAGATGTACTCCTTCCAAAGGAGTTGGCCGAAAGAACGTGCAAGGAAGTACAAAGAACAACGAAAGGAGAAAAATAATTTTTTTTAATCGAAAGCAAAAGGATATTTCCGCGGAGTCGTCAGCACGCCCATACACACCACTTTTGACTCGTTTGGTGTTGCTTACTTCCTACTCCTCTCCGACAGATGTGTGTTACTAAGACAGTCTACTACTTTTCCTTTTCAACACTCAAAAGAAAAAATCTTTGATTTAGCAAATACAAAAAAAGAAGAAGATGATAAGGTTTAAAGAGCCGCCTTGATGTGCTTCTTGTTGTTCTTTCCGTGTCTGGTGTTAACGGTCAGCAACGTGCACACGAGCTACGCATATAAAAGGAGCCAACGGGGGGTATAAAGCGGTTGGGAGAACAGCAAGGTGAGACGCAATGGAAAAGATAAAAAGAAAACGTCAATTTCACAAAACGAGGGAAAGCGAGAAGTTAGAAAAAAAAACAGAGAAAGAAAACAAATCAAACAGCCGGAGTACACAGAAGTTACTCGCTTTTAGAAGAAAACAACAACGAGAGAAATCAGTCTATTTCGTTACAATTCCTTTTTTCCCTTTCTCACGCCCGACTTCACCCTCCGTCACAGAAAAGGGAGGCGAATGGGAAGGAAACCGCTTTTGGTGTCAGAAAGAAATATATATATATATATTATGGATGAAAGCGCACAGGGAAGTGAAGGAGCCCTGCACAGGAATCCAACAAGATGAGGGGGAAAAAATGCGCCGTACGCTAAACAAACAACAGTAGCGGGAAGAAGGAGGAAAACAGAAAGAACTAGAAGAGTTGGCAATCAACAATTTGCGTATAGAACATATTGCGCGGCACGGTCTTCTCTTTTCCTTTTCCTTTTTGTAGCGGGAACTGCTGAAACGACGGCTAAATGCAGTCGAAGCTGGCAGCAGACGGATGCTGAAAAAAGAAAAAGCAGATCTTATATATGGATGTTTGCTAGATAAAACCGTGTCTCTCCACGTACACTTTTAGGGTTGCACGCACGCACTCGAATACGCAGACGCAGACGTACACCAGAATTTCACAAGAGCTGTTCCTTGCCGTTTTTGTTCCTCCCAGACGACCTGCTTTGTGTCAAGCGCTGCGCGTTTTGTGTGTGTGTGTGCGTGTGTTTATGCGCGCTTGTATTTGCGTGTGTGAGATGATCGAGAAAATCCGCAAGAAGAACAGAGGAAAGCAAAGGCAGGAAAAACAAAAGCAATTAGTCGTATATAGGTAGATAGAGAAATACAGATGGAGCTGTTATTATAAAACGACGAAAACAGTAGTACGTCAAGTTATCGGGGAGAATAAAAGACGCAAAAAGAAAGAGGTAAAACAACAAAACAAAATGTGCTGCGGTGTAGCGCACGTTTGCACCTTTCTTCTCTCCACACGTGTGCTTGTGTGGTTCAGTGTGAAGAGAGAAGAAAGATGAAATCGGGGAACACGGTTCAGCAACGTTAGAAAAACAAACAAAAAGGACGAACGTGTTCAGGAAATAAACTATTACGCTTCGCCACAGAGCTAAAAAGGAAAGAAAAAAAGAAAGGGTGCCGTCAGGCTGCAATTAACGAGAACGATGCGCAGTGAGAAAGCGACCCGCTGCTTCAAAGGACGTCGCTCCGTGGGTGTCACGCTCTCTGCGTGCGTCTCTCTTTCGTTGATTGTCCTGACAGGCTGCTAACCGTGAGCTACCTTAGTCAACTTACTGCAATTTTGTATTTTTCTAGTTGCGTTGCATCCGTCGTGTGGACAAGGAGGAGGGCAGCGGTCTAGTTTGTTGTTATATTTTTTATTCTCTCCCCCTTCGCCGTCCCCTTTGTGGAAGACACTTCCTTCACCGGTCGGTCAACTAGCCCTTTTTTGCCTTTCCTCGCCTGAGATGCACCTTCGAAACGCAACGCCGACCACGAAGAGGGGAAACGTAAGGAATGAGGAGGTATCGAGAAGAAGGGAAAGGAAAGACAAGTACGAGGAAAATAGAAGGAAAAGGAAGAAGATAAGTAAGAAGCGGTGTCGTGTATTTGAAACACGATCAGCGTCTACCGCGACCGCAACAAGCAGCGTACTCCTGTTTTATTGAAAGTGCTTCTGCAGTCAATCAAAGGAAATTTAAATAAAAGCCAAAGGTGAAACCTTTAACAGAGAATCATCGTTCACAATCTGGTGTGGCGGAAGAATAAGAATAGCTGCTGAAAACTCAGTGGTTCTCGCGTAAGTTCTTTCTTTTTTCACTTTATGCGCATTGGCTCAAGAACGGCGTCGTAAAGTACGCGGACGTCAAAAACATTATTTGTCAATCAAAGAGAGAAAGAACCACTAACCGCAGAAGACAGTACTTTGTTGCTTTCCCGCACTCACGCACGCAAACGAAGCACTTCATCGGCTGCTGTTGATGTTCTTGCTCCGGGCCCAGCCACCGCCACTCCCAACCAGCAGCCATTACTGCCTGCTGACCGTTTGTGTGCGCGCATCAGTTCAGCCTGCGACAAAGCAGAGAACCCGAAAATAGCTGCCGCTGCCGCCGTGCATATTTATAGAGATGCGCAGCAAAATGTGCTGGAATGAAGAAAAGAGAAACGAAGAAAGCGATGAACCGCACGGGTGCTTGCCCGATCTCCCTCGTGAAAACGCATATCAGTAAAAGGAAAGCATATCGGTCCATACCGCTTCAAGAAAAAAAGAAAAAGAGAGAAGCTTTAATGATAATAATATTAGTAACGGAGGGGTAGAACGCGGAAAGGCGCAGTTGACCACAAACCACAAAGAAACGTGAAGAAAAAAGGAAAAGGTCTGCACCGCATAAAAACTGAGGAGAGAGGGATGTGCGCGTGCTCTTCTCTCCTGTGTTGAAAAGAGAGAAGATAAAAAAGAGATTAGCACCAAGCCTGAAGTCGAGTGCCCCGTTACCGGAGACTCGGCAGAGCAACACAAGCACGGCCGTCGTTCGCATCCTAGGTATTGGTCCGCAGCACATCACGCAACAACGCGTAGGAACACACATACACACAAATAAAAACTTGTATTGTCAAATAGTGTTTGTTTTTTTCTCTCCTCCTACCGAAGTCGAGAGAAGAAGAATAATAGTAATAATAATAATGAAGAACGCCACAACACTTGATCCTTCCGTTAGCGTTGACAAGATAAACGAATATTGGAGAGAGAGAAGATGCGCGGCGCTGCAGAAGAACGTTTCCGCTGTGAAGGGTGTTTGCTTGGTGCGGCGGCTAAGAATTACCTCTAACCACACATACACACACACACATGCACGCGTCACCGTATTCGTTGCAAGCGGCAGCTACACGCTGCTAAACAGAGCGTTCGAGGTCTCTGTGAATAAACAGATAATAAACAAGAAGAAAAGCTTAGACGTTTCAGTGCAGCACCAGTACGGTGAAGCGCACAAAGTCTTTTGAGGAAAACAGTAAAAGGAGAATTATCTGTGCCGCGCACACACGCACGCAGCACATCTGGTGATAGGAGAGCAAAAAAAAAAGCTAAAAGCATGTATAATGAAATATGAAGACGAATTTCCGTAATATGAAGGATCAAAGCGAAGCAACGTACTTCTCGCCCAATGCGGTGCTGTTCAATCAGCCGGCGACAGTCAACGCTGAGAAGATGCTGCGCAACGGCCAGGTTTATTTATCGCTAAACTCAACAGTGGTCTGGTAAAAGAAGAAGACGCTGACGGATACTCGTGATTTGGGTGTCTTCTATTGGGCGTAGAAAGCGGCAAACTTTAAACTGCCACCCGCCTCTTTACTGAGCTGCCTTGTAGCGACCGCTCTCTGCCAGCTGCACCAGTTCACCCACGTTCTTCAAGGAGGCGGCGTACTTCACCAGGTAGGCGCCGAGGCGCAGCACGTCCTCCTTCGCTGCCAGCCGCTGCCCGTCGGACTGAATCGAGTCCAGGTCCGCCACATGTGCGAGACCCACGGTGCGCCGGATCATCTCGCTGCCTGCAAAACCCACCGCGTCTGCCCAGACCTGCTGCAGCAGCTCCTCCTCGTACCCAGGGAACGCGAAGGCGGCGTCGCGGGTCTCGCTCGCCGCGAGCTGCGTGAAGGTGGCGTGGAAGGCGCTGCAGAAGCTGTGCAGGCTGTGCAAGAGCAGCTGCGGTGTCGACGGGACTGCGGTGCTCAGATCGGCCGCCACACGCGGCTCCGCCTTGTCAGAGGCCAGCTCTGTCGACGAGTCCGCCGCTTCCGTATGCAGGCGTTGCTCCTGCAAAGCAGGCAAGGCAATGTAGTTGATCAGCAGATTTCCCATGACGGTGCCGAGGTCGAAGCCCATCGGCCCGTAGAAGCCGAACTCCGCATCGATGACCTTAACGCGGTGGGCGTCAACAAAAACGCTGCCGCTGTGCAAATCACCGTGCAGGTGGGCCTCGGGGCAGTTCATGAAGCGGTGATTCAGCTGGGCCGAGCGCACCCGTAGCAGCGTGTCTCGCCGCAGCAGCGACGCCACCAGTGCCTCGAGCGCCGGCTCGTAGTTGTTGCGGGGGTGGGCGAGGAAGGGGTCGGTGAAGAAGAGGTCCTCGGTGATGCCACACATGTCAGCGTTCGTGAACTCCTGCACGGCCGCCTTCTTACTCTCGCAGTCTTGGGCCAGGTCGGAGGTATAGAAGAAGACGCGACCGAGGTAGCGGCCGAGCCGTGGGCACACGTGATCGAGGTGGTGGCCTCGCACCAGCTCGCGGCGCCAAATAACGCAGTCCGATAAATCCTCCACGACGGTGGCGGCCATCGACGAGTTGTGGAACAGAACGTGCTCGACCACCGCCGGTGCAAAGCGGTAGTGCGAGCGCAGCGTGTCTGCCTCGAGTCGGTTGCGGTCCAACGTCAGCGGCCACGACTCGCCGACGCAGCGGACGTACGGCAGCGACTGCTTCAGCACGGCTCGGCACACCCCGTGGACGTTCAGCAGGCGGAAGACTAAATTTAGGTTTCCGTCGCCCACTTCCTCAGCGGCGACGACCTCGCCGTGCTCCAGGCGAACTTCGCCGTGCAGGGGCAGCCACTCCTCCAGTGTCCTCTCGACGTAGTCGATCACGGTGGTCGTGTCGAGGGTAACGTACGCGTCCTGCACGTTGGAGACGCTGCTGAAGGCCGCCGCCTTCGTGTGGGAGCTGATGTAGTTGACGGAGTTGTCGTGAGCGGTGGAGTTCGACCTGCTCGAGGCAGAATCCGTTGTGCCTTCGACCTCGATGAGTGACATTTTTTCTCGCTATCGCCACCCCGCGGGAAGAGAGATGTAAGGCTGAGTGAGGCTGCTGCAGCGATGACTTTTATATGCGTATGAATAACCTCGCTTGATAGATGCGGCGGTCCTTGTATCGTATCTTTCCTTTGTATGTACACGTGTGTGGCGCGAGACGCGAAGGCTTGACGAAGGCCCGAACACAAAAAGTTCCGTTTTCAAGCGACAGAAAAAGGAGATGCAAATTGTTCGATGCAGGAAAGAAGAAGGGGGAATAATTTTTGAAGGTGCGTTCGAACCGCGGAAGTTGTCTCAGCCACTCACTGCCACGGTGTTTCGTTGACAGGATCACACACGAAACAAAACAAACAAGCGAGAAGAGCGATCGATAGGAAGAACTATGCCAACTCTTCTAGGTCCTATATGCGTGCTTTAATTCGCGTGGCATCAAGCGTTTGAGAGCTGCCGCTGACAAATCGGGAAGGTGTAAGCACGAAAGAGAATTCCTCCATCACACGACGCGCTACTCTCGCGATGAGTGCACCTCTCTCTTCCGCTTTCTTTGCTGATAGCCGCCTACTGCCGCTGGTCAACTTATCGCGCAATAATCTTCTTTCTGTTTTTTTGCTCTGCATCCACCATCAACTAATGAATAGACACATACATCGCAACTATGCAATGAAAACCTCTGTGGCGTAGTGAAAAGAGAAAAAAGACCGAAAAGGTATAAACGCTCAAAAGACGCCAAACAAGCGCCGATACGTACATACATACACCCTCGCGAGGATAGAGGCCGCAAAGGCCTGTCATTTTCCACTTTTCTCCTCTCTTTGTTACGGCAAAGAAATATTCCTTTGCTGCAACGACCAACACCAAACAAACACGAAAACCATCCTCTTCGCACCCGCGCAGCGTAATAGCTCTCAATATTATACAACGCAACTTCACAGCAGATGTGTCTCTCAGTTCACCGCCTTCGAAGGGGCGCGCGTGGACGGACCCGCGGCGGAGTTCATTGAGCTAGAGGCGCGCGTCACTGACGGCGACGCTGACTCCGCAGAAACACGTGCGACGACCTCCTCACCCCCTTGGCTAGCTCCCATGGCCGCCTCGAGCTTGAGGAGGCGGTCGACCAGCATCTTGTTCGTGCCTTCGAGCGCGTCCATGCGCTGCAGAAGTTGCTGGGACACGGCGGCCTGCTCCTCGATACGATGCATTAGGCGCTCTAGCATGGGGTGCATAAAGTGACTCACCCGCGAGCCCGACCGTGCCGGACCGCCGCCCACGCCGGTCTCCGTCTGCGGGTGGTGCACCACCGCGACGGTGCCGTACTGCTGCGACTGCCGCTGCGTGGCGAAGCTGTGATGCAACGCCAGGCTTGAAGACGAGCTTCCTAAAAGGTTGTTGTCAAACACACCGGAGGACTGCAGGTGCGCGTCCGAGGTGGTGTCCGCGAAGTACTCCGCCATTTCCGGGGTGCTTACCCCCGTCTCCTCCACCCGCACTGCGACACCGTCCACCACGGCGTGCACGTGCCTATCTGCATCGTTGTCGAGGGCACTCAAATCGCGCAGTGAGGTGGCGACGGAGGGGCGCCGAGCCGTCTGCCGCGGCGTATTGGTGAGCGACGAGCACGCCGAGGGCAGCTGCGGGCTGGTGGTGCGCACCGTCTCCTCCACCGGCTCCCCTCGCAGGGCCAACGTGGGCAGCGGGCTGCGGTTGCTCCCCATGCTGCCGTGGCGGTGGCGCTGAATGGAGGATGGTGTCGCACGGCTCTGCTGGTACATCTCCGTCGTCTCCGCCGCTGTCTCCGCTTCCTTGTCCTCCTCGTGAAGGACGACGTGCGGGGAGACGGACTTTGCCATGAGAGAGGCGTGACGGCGCACCCGGGTGGCGACGTCGGAGCGCGCCGCCGCCGCGTTGGGCATCATCGGCTCGAGTCCTGCGGACTGCGCGCAGATGCTGCCCCCCGCACGGCCGTGCACCACCGGGTAGTGCAGCTCGTCTCCGCTCCGTGTCACCACGCTAATCAAATTGTCGCCTCGAGGCGAGCAGCTGACACGGCGCTCCCGCGCCGCAACTTCGTACTGACCAGAGGAGACGATACTGGATACTGAACCATGGTGCTCGGGGATGACGGGACCGGAGAAGACCTCCGTCGACGATGTCTGGCCGGGAGTTGTGGATTGTGAGTTTGCCGTATTGCGTGGACGGCCCTCCGAGCCATCCAGGGGGAACACGTACACCGGGTCGTTGAATAACTCCGCCATTTTTCCTTCGGTCTTCTCTATCGGTTTATCTAGTTGTTTTCTATCGTTCATCAAACAAAAAAACAGTCGGCGTATTTGCTGCTGCTGCGTTTGGACGTTGAATGCTCACCCGGAGTCGTTGGGCAGCGTGTGTGGAACGACGCGCAATGTATGTCGACTATTTATCCAACGCACACAAGCGCAGAAGTGAATCCGATGGTCTAGCGCGCACAGCACACGGCAAAGGCCGTAAAACAAAGTGAAAGGAGGGAGAAAGGAAGCGAATCGAAAGTTCAAGCGTTTGAAGATAACAAAGAAAAGGCTTTAAAGCAAATCTTACATACCTAGCCGACGTCAAATGAGAAATGAGTAGAGAAAGGGAAAATAACTCGAGAAACGATAGAGCAGAGGCAGCTGATCAGGATGCAGCCGAATAAGTGGAGAGCAACGGGGAAGAGGGGAAACAAGAAGAAAATGAATACCGGGCGATACACAGAGAGAGGTGAAAAGGCAACGCATCGACCTTTCAAGTCATGATCATGGAACTAAAGAGATTGCCTCGTGCGTTGCTGCTCTTGCTGTGTTCCTGCATGAAGAGCGCTGTGACTGAAGCAACACTCATGTACCATGCATGTGCATCACAAAGCCCTTTCTTTTTTCCTTCTACAGTTTAAACAGCATGTTTCAAGTTTTCTTTTTTCGGGCACGTCCCTGTCACTTCGACAGGGACATGAAGTAGGCAATCTCCTCTCCACGTCATTCACTTCAGGGAACAGAACAACGCGGACGCGATGCGGTCATCGCAGCGGCGCGCACACGCCTGCACCGTGGCATCCGTGCCGGTGCGTCGCCGTCTTGCCTCGCGGGTGTCGTACACGAGACGCGCGTGTGCGAGTACGGCGCTGTGCTCTTCCCTCTCTGCGTCCACGACAGACGGCTGACTTTGCTCGTTTGTCGCCACCGAGGACACTGCCGATGCGCTACTTCGCAAGGCGTCTTCTGGTTGCGCGTACGACGAAGACGACGTCGGTGCTGCCGAGGGCGCTGCAGCGGCGCCAACGAGGTCCTGCAGTTCCGCCAACGTCGGAGGGGCAACACGAGTGGGGTCCGAGGAAAGATCAGAAGAATCGTTTTCCGCCGCCCTGACGGCCGAAGAAACTTCATGCTGTTTTGCTACGTTGCCCTCTCTGTCGTTCTTCTCTTCCCGCAGCGGCGCCTTCATAATTTGATCGTAATAATCACCCGCAGCTGCTTTTGCGGGTACGATCGTCGATGCGTGTCTTCGATGCTCCAGCTGTCGCAAATACGCTGAAAGCGGGTCGCTGTCGTCCTCTTCTTGTGCGTCTTCGCTGTCCGCATTCCCCCTTTGGGCCAGCTGATCGTCCGTGTCCGTCCGGTGCGCTCCTTTCGCAACAGGGCGAATGTTGCGCTGCAGCATAGCTTTGTAGGAGGCGGTCACGAACACGCCCACCTCCAGGTCCGTCTGTGCGAGCGCATTACCTTCGCCGTTCTCGTCTTCTGCCCTGCGCTGTTGCTGCAGACGTCGCAGCAGCGTCTTTTCCTTCTCCTCACGACGCAGGTTCATGGCGGCTGCGATCGAGCTCCCAAACTTGCTCGTCTCGCCGGGTGTTGACGAGGCGGGTGGAGGTCCCATCAACGCACTGCGCCACGGCGCCGTTCCTCGGCCGCCGAACAGACGCCCCGCTTCGTCCGCCTCCACCATGCGACGGCGCTGCTCCAACACCGTAAGTGGCGCACCGCCACCACCACCACTATTATTATTGTACTTGTTGTTGCCGTTGACAGGGACGTCAAAAGAAGAGGCCGCAGCGCCTGCAGAGCGCGACAACGGGACCGGTGGGGCCCGCAGCGGCAGCGTCCCTTCATCCACGTCGGAGGAGGAGGCCGAGTTGGAGGGAGAGAGACTGCCGTCATCGTCAAAGAGAGACATCGCATTGATGAGAGGGGTGACGGTGTGGCTTACTGGCCTTCGCTACTTGTTTTCTTTGTATTGGTGATCCGGCGAGTGTAGCAGCGGTGGGGCTGGGTTCGACTATGACGTGGGCTCTCTCTGTGACATGAAGCGACAGAGACAGCCGAAGGAGAGAGCTCGAGGGATGGAAAAAGATGATTGAGGAACTCGACAAATAGGATAAACCGCTTTCTAACAGCAAACATATACACTCAAGCGATACAGAACACAAAGAAGTTGCACTCACAGTACCGCCGATAGAAAACATTTTCATCATTCCCCCGAGGCAGTCAACATACCACTTCTTCATACTCCACGCTATTGCTCAGCGCAATCAAAGCCGGAGATGCGCGGAAAGAGGGGGGGGGGACAGCGTGCAGCCCGCCCTACGTGAGCACCGCTCTTCCATCATTACAGGAAAGCACCTTGAATAGGCCGGCAGCTCTAGGTGTTGCGAGATGGGGCTGTACCTACGAGTGTGAGGAGTCACGCCCCACTGACAACACCGCGTTCGCGTGCAAAACAGGTGAGCAGAGCAGCCACAGCACACTGCACAGGCAGAGCAACAAGCGCCGATGCAGAAGCAGCGACAGGGGGCCACACACTCAGAGGATATGTAATAAAAGTAGAATGTGCGTCACGATGGGTCTGAAACACGGACCATATCAGCTTCATCAACGTGTGCCCGCGCGTGCTACACACAGCACGGCGCCAACGTACCAGACCAGTCAGCATAGCAAGCCCTCCCCGCGTGCGCGCGTGCCCTCCACCATCCTTGCCGTTCAGCACCGCTCGGCATCACACGCAGAAGCGTCAGTTGGTTAATTCTGCTCTTGTGGAAGAGGAGAGAAGCGCACTTCACGCATCATTAGCGGCGGGAGGCGCAGAGCAGCACGACACGCGGGGGGAGCAAGCGGCGGCACTGAGCCAGCAGCAGCAATCGAAGCCGCCTCAACCGCCACGGGGAAACGCGGCAGAGGCCGGCAGCTCTAGGTGTTGCGAGATGGGGCTGTACCTACGAGTGTGAGGAGTCACGCCCCACTGACAACACCGCGTTCGCGTGCAAAACAGGTGAGCAGAGCAGCCACAGCACACTGCACAGGCAGAGCAACAAGCGCCGATGCAGAAGAGGGGCATTAGAGATCAGAAGAGGAGAGGCGCATGACGCGCAGGGTTTTAACGTCTTCTGTTCGTTCATGCGGGAACTGCCACGCACACGAATCTCAGGCAGTTGAGAGACCAACAGGTGCAATTACTCTTCTAGAGAAGGACTGCAGGTAGTGTGCGGTTTGCAGTGTTACACGCGTCTTCTTCTGTCCTACACAGGACCGTTGGTGATAACGTGTGGAGACTGCAAGACGGGGCGCAGCTGTACAGCGCGGGATGACATGTTGATCGCACGCTGCAGCTTCTTTTTTTATTATTTCTCTTTAGTTGCTGCGCGTTGGTGAGTAATGGCAAAGAGGAAGCGAAAGACTCAGGACGTTGGCGCGGCGGACAAAACGAGCTGCAGATGTCTTTTTGCGCTCTACCGTTTTCTCTCCTTCTGCGAGGCCGCTGACTTCCGTGTTGGCGACCCACACGGAGGAGTGCGCTTGCCACGTGTGAGGCGACTGCACACAGCGATTGAAGTTAAGTTTGTCTCACAGTCGGAAAAAGCGGGCGGTGGCGAGAGCGAGCAGTGTCCACTTCGACGGCTCCGCCAGGTACTCCACCGTGCGCTCGCGCACCAACGCGTGTGTTGCAACTTCTGCTCCGTCCTCGCCCGCATCCTCACTGCCCTGGTCAGTCTTGACCGCTGAACCGTGCGATGACGCGCCAGACTTTGAAGGGGGTGCTGCCTTTGCCTCGGACCGCTGCGCAGCGGCGCAACGACGAACTTCGCGTCGGTCCAACAACGCGAGCTCCGCGTGTAGGCCGTCCGCGACGTTCCCGCCGTGTCGCCGCCACCGTCGCCGACGGAGCCGTTTGAGCTGCGTGGCGACGTGCCGCAGCGGGTGCGACGACCACGACGGCACCACATCCTTCGCCACCACGGTGCGCTCCACCGCACGGTAGCGGAACGCATTCCCCACCTTGTGCGTTAAGAAGACGCCCTGGGGAAAGTAGTAAAGCACATCGAGCGGGGCCGTGTTGATGCCGACGACGCGGACGTTGTCCGGAAGCTGCTCCCACACCCACCGCTCGAAGCGGTACGGCGGGAGGCAAGACTGAGTGGGGGAATAAAGAAACTCGCACATGTAGAAACGGTCGCGCAGCGTTTCTTCTACGTCTTGCAGGAAGCGCTGCTGTCGAGCTGCGTGTCGCGCAGTGGTAACGGCAGCGCCGTCATCCGTTTCCGCTCTCGGTTGACGACGGAGCACGTGAAGAGCCGCAGCGACAGCAACAGAAAAAAGCGACTGCTTTGACGCTGCAGCGCGTCGTGGCTGAAACGCCACCGGTGCGGTCGCTGAATGGGATTCGCTGTTCGGGTGGAGTGCACCGGTCACCGTGTCTCGTGTGGTGATCGGTACCCATTCCACCGAAGGCTTCGATGACGACGGCAGAGGCGACGCGGGACCGTCCGAGGCGTTGATGGGGTTCGTACTGCGCTGAATCCACTCCACCTCATCTTTTAGCTGCTGGACATAGGCAGCCGCGGCTGCTTCGCTGCCGTCCACGATTACGGCGCACGGCGCTGCCTGCGCGATGCGCGCTGCCCAATCTCTGAGGAGCACGGCAGAGTAACCGGCAGCCCTGCGATCTCGCACGGTGAACAGTCCCGACTTCTTCGGGGGCAGCAGCACGAGCACGCTGCGCCAACACCACGCTGGATAATACGGCCGATGCGACGTCACCGCCGCCGCTGCCTCTGCGCCGATGAGTGACACGCGGAGGTACTGGTCTGATATCAAATCTTCCCACAACAATTGCACGTAGGCGGCGACGACCGTGTGGTTGGTGCTGAAGTCCACTACACGGCCTTCGATGTAGAGACTTGACAGGACTGCCGCGTGCGCCATGACACAGTGCCGCAGCAGCGCCTCCGCCTCCGCGCCGCCGTTGCCCTCCGGCTCGAACGGCGGCACGTGGATATAAATCGGGTTTGGCGTCGACTCGCCATCGTCGCTCATTGGGCAGCCCTCGCCGCGGCGTTCGTTGCCGTGATACAACGCGTCCTCCACCGGCTGCGCCTCCAGGGAGACAGGGGCGACGCATCGGGCTGCGTCCGGCTGAAACTCCAGCGAGGGGCCACGCCGCGCATTCAACACGTCTGTTGCCGCCGCGGCAGCTTCAGTGGAAAGCGAAGACGGGCCCGCCAACGTGGCCGCGGCATCGCTTTGAAGCAGCCGCCGACGGCGCCGACGCTGCCAACCGCCCTCGCTGCCGCCCTCAGTGCGTCGGGTCACCACGTCGTCGTCGTCGACACTCGCCCGCGGCTGCACCCCCTGCACCCGCCGCAGCAGCGCCCTGCCAGACAAACGCAGCTGCCGAGGACGGCCGTGCAGGACACGTCCGGCGTCGAGGGTAACCGTTGACTCCGTCGCGGCGTCCTCCATCGTCTCCGCTGTCTCGACGTCCCACGTGTGCGGGGCGGGCACCTGCTCCGCCGTAGAGTTCCGCCGGGGGTTCATCTTGGTCGAAACCGTCGTGTGCACGTCCACCCAGCATTCACTCAGGCGTGTGGGGTAGACGTCGGCAACGGCGTAGCGCTGGGGGCGGCGCACCACCGCGTAGGGCAGCCGCAGCCGCGCCAGTGTGTCCTGGACGTCGCGCAGACAGCGAACCCACATAAGAAGAGACAGGCAAAGGTGCAGGCGCGCGGGGTAGGGGAGGGCGGCGCAGAGCTGTCGGTGCGCCGCAGTGGCGGCGTCGCTGAAGTGAACCTTGTCATCGGAGCTGCCGAGGGGTGCGCTACTGCCCGAAGAAAAAGAGAAGGACGGTGTGGTAGCTGCATCGGCCACCGGAGACGCGGGTGTCTTCTCGATCAAGTACGCGCCGCGCCGGCCAAGGTCCACCAAGGAGGTCCAGCGCTCCACAGGGTGCATGCGCATCCACAAGGCACGTCGTAACTTGAGAGCCTGCGCCGAGAGAGGCGCTCGTGCGTCCGGCCGACGTCCGGCATGCGCCAGCCGGCACGCGCACGTGAGGGTTGATCCCGCATTGTGGCACAACGTACTGTTGCGTCGGTAACACATGCGGAGATGCACTTGCATGACGATGAAAAGCCTCGCCGTCTTGCTTCAGCAAGTCCAGCAAATGCGCGGATACGGATGAGGCTCAAAGAGCGTTGCTAAACGACACAGAAAAAAAGACGGTGTTTGTATTGTGTTTTCTCTTCTCTGTCGCTGTTCACTTGCATTGGAGGACACAACGAATTATGCAGAAACGGCAACGCAACGGGTGCGAATGCATGCCCACCGCACCGAAGTTGATCGCCGGCAGCTTGCCATCGAGACGGAAGGAAGAAGAAAAAAAACAAAAGAGAAAAGGGAGGGAGCGAAAACGTTGTGACAGTAAACTCCACGTGTATACACCCTTGCTTTGGCTTTAAGGAAAGAAGGAAAAAAAAACTCTTGCCCCACAAGAGTTCGCCGATCTGCAGCGCGCGTAAAGCTAGCAAAAGCTTCACACGACAATGCTCTCAGCTCTGCAAACCGTAACTATAATGCTTTCCTGAGTACGAAGATCATACGCGAGGAGGAGGCCTCCAAAAGCAGCTATTTCTTTTTCACTCTCTTTCTCTTTGACCTCTGTTTCTTTTTCGTGCACGCGTGTCGTTGTTGAACACGGCAAAGTCTAAAATCTAGCAAACGAATGAAGTGACCCCCTTTCCTCGCCAGCTTCTCCACCTCTGCAGCACCGCAAGAAAGGGAAAGGAAATGAAATCCCGCGCCAGTAGCACGCTGACGTGTTCTGGAAACTCTAGAGTCGAGGAGGCAGATGGAATCGACTGTTACCCCCCCCCTCCCCCCAAAAAAAGCTTCTCACTGGATCACAATCACTGCATTTATTTGAGAAGGGCAAACAGCAAAAATAAAGCAAGAAGCATCAGCGCTGCCCTCTGAGGCGGTCCACGAGCTCCTTAAAATCGAGTGGCTTTCCTTCTGTGATCTCCTCCACAATGAACGCCTTGACGACACGAAGTTGGTCGCGCTTCTCCGCTGCCGCGGCCCTCGACAGCATGTACTGCTGATTAACATCCGTTGACTGCGCAACAAAAGCGTTGTAGCGAGGATTGCGCTCCCGCTCCTCCTGCTCCTGTTTGGCCGCAGCAGCCTCACTGGCAGCCTTCTTCGCCTCCGCTGCTCGCAAAGAAGGCAACAGCCACGGTTTGCTGTAATTCAACCACGGCTTCTGCTTCGCCATTCGCAACGCGCCGCCGCCTTCTTCGTCGTCACTCTTCGATGACCTATCGGTTCCGCCGGCAGCGGTGGAAATGATGTCGTTCTCCTTGCCTCCACGTCTTGAGTTGGACGAGGAGGGACCTGGTTGCGCGGACGCGACCGGCACCTCGATAAAGGGTGGGACCGGCGCCAGGACAGGCCCACAGCACCGCTGAAGGTCTTTTGCGGAGAAGGGGGCGCACTCGTGCACCGACGGGCAGGTGTCGTACCGCTGGCCCAACTCCGTCCTCTGCCGCTTCAAATAGGGCTCGCCCAGCTGCAAGTGGCGATGCACCGCACGCAGCGTCGCAGCGTCGTGGTCGCCGTGCGGCACGAAGCGCAGAGAGAGACTGTAGAGCCAATGCTGCACCTTCAGGTGCGCCACCACGCAGGCCGGGCTGCATTGCAGGAGTTCGGCCTGAAGCGCCGAGAGCGGCGCATCGGGCAGCGCGAGGGCCCTGGCGGCCTCGCAAAACACGCGCAGGTTGCCCAGGCGTTGAGAGGCGAGTGGAGTGGACGACCAATTCAGTGACGCGAGATCGATGCAGCGGGCGGGGAAGCAGGCGGCGAGGACGAGGGCGTAGTCCACACCGGTGTAGAGATACGGCGCCATGAAGCGAGAAGAGACTACGGGCAAGCGAAGTCCGTTGGTGGGCGTCCGTCCCTCGTCATCGAAGACCAGGTGAGGCAAGTGCGCAGAGTACTTGACCATGAACGCGTCAATGTCACGGCGCTTTGGTGGTTGCGCACCTTCGCTCACATGACTTGTGGCAGCACACGATGGACGCGCGACAGCCTCAACAGCGCCCGCCATGGACAGCAGAAATTACTGAGAGAGAGGAAAAAGCAACTCCTAGAACGAACAGCGAAAAGAATGAAGAACGCAAGCGGCAGTGTGTAGCGCCCACTGTCGCCGTGCAAGTCTGATTACGCTTGCCTGGACTTGGCACCGTGTGTGGGTCTCCTGTGTTGTGTTGTAAACGACAAGGTGAAAAGATTCAATGGAGATGCGGAAAAACAAAAGAAAGAGTAGAACATTTCTTGCGACTCATAACGTCTCAGGTGCGAGTTGGCTGAGGGAAGAGAAACGAAGGTCTTCTTTGTGGCGCGAGAGCATCCACGCTGAGCGGCTTGCGGTCGCTGCAACGCTTTCATTAAATACAGTTTGAAGTGCCACCTACGTCGACCTCGATTGCGGAGTATCCAATGCAACGTACTCCGCAGTTCAAGTTATTCTAGTTATCTCTCTGAGCACACGTGCTTGCGTTCATCGCCCAGCAGCACGACCAACGGTTTTTTTGCTTGACGCGCAAAGCCTTGGACGACATGAGACATTCCGCTGCATTCGTTGCGGACTGCCTGCTCAAAACAAAGCTGCCATAAGATCGGCGTCATCGTCATTGACGCGCGGTGCCTTCTCGCCTGGCATGCGGCCGCGTCCCTCACGCTCGGGGCGCGTCTGCAGCCATGCCTCGATCGGCTGCACGTCCTTGTCCGTTGCGAAGGCGTTCTGCACGACCACCTCACCGGAGGAGAGACCCGCGTAGACGCACCCATCAGACCGGCTTCGATCGGCGCACACGCACAGCACGTCCTCCTCCGGCTTGCCTGCACGCCAGACCATCGTGCGATCAAATGGGAGGGTGCTGCTTCGGTAGGCGTACTGAACGACATGACCGCCAGAAACGTTTTGGTAACCCACACGGCTTGTGCATGTCAGCACGCTTGCAAGACTGCTACTTCGCGGGGCCAGGCACGTCGTATCGAGAACAAAAGGGAGCCCACCTGCGACTTCCTGTACCACCGCCGATGGTGATGCCCCTAGGCTGCCCGACAGCTGGCGCAGGTCAATAATTTTTATTACCGAACCGACACGGACGGCGAGGCTGCAATCCAGCGAAGATGCCACCACGGAAGAGGGAGCGGCAGCGTGCACCTCCAGCAACCCTCCCACGTGCTTATCGGAAAACAAGTCCTCCTCCACACGTTTGCCGGCGACGTCTGCCGTGGTGGCCGCAGCAAACATATCCACCGTAGCCAGCGCACCACCCGGGCGGTACTTCACTCGACTGTCCCACAGCTGAACACAGCCGTCTTGTCCACCGCTCGCAAAGACGTCCGTCTGCCCACCACGAAAATGCGGCAACGTCGTCACGCTCTCCACCACGTGCGTGTCCGTCACCTGCCCTGACCCGTGCTTCACGGCATAGGCGCTGTGCTGCTTGAAGGTGTGGTGGTTCCACAGACGCACCGTGCCGTCCTGGCTGCCTGTGAGGAAAACAGCGGCGTCCTTGTGATGCGCCGCGACACAGGTGACCGGGGCGCGGTGCCCGCGGCACTGCACAACGTCCATCAGTCCCCGCTCCCCCATCGCGCAGTAGCCAAGCTGCTCCCCGGAGGCCCGCACCAGGGCGGGGCTGTCGCCGTCTTGACAGGCAACGAGGTAGCTACCATCCTTCGCGAAGGTCAACGCGATAATGGGCTGCAGACCAGAGATGCGATTCACAAACGGCGTCAGCACCCGCGTCGGCGCAATGCGGTGTGACTTGAGAGGCGCGTTGAAGTCCCACATGCAAAGCTGACCGTCTTCGCTGCCGGCGCAGAGCGTCGTGCCAGCCGGGTTGAGAGCAACACAGCGGACACGGCCTTTGATGTCACTGCGCAGCCGGTAGCCGCCATCGACGCTCTCGCCGTTTGCAGTCGCATTGTTGGATGCTGCAGGAGAGGGTCCTGACGCCGCAAGTGTCGCTGCCGTTGCGTGGGACGCAGCGGTAGGGAAGAGATCCGCGCGAGAAAGGGGAACTGCCTTGTCGGCTGCTGCCGCCGCCGTTGCTGCTGTCGGCGGCGCAGGGGCGGTAACGACGACCTCTGCCGGGTCGTACTCGTCGTCGCTGCTGCTCATGCTGTGCGAGGCGGCTGAAGTGCACCGAGCCCGGTGAATGAAGAAACGCTCTCTCTTTCGATAAATAAATCGGCAGGCACTTTCAGGTGAGTTCGAGTGGAGATTGTCATTTTTCGAAGTTGCAGCGAGAAAGAGAAGGAGAGGGAGATGAAGAATTGTGCCGTGAGAATGGTCGAAAAGGAGCGTAGCAGTGCGATGTACTTGCATCATTGCCGGCCCTCAAACAAACAGAGCAGAGGCAGTACTGACTTTTCATATGCGCCCCGTGAAGATGAAGCAACGCAATTCTGCTGTTGACCAACGCTTTCGTTTCCCACAAGCAGCAAACTACGTTTACGTGAGTAGAGAGATGTCACGGCATTGCTGACTGTTGCCGCTGCATTGGGAGAGCAAAGCAGCGCAGCGCATGCACACAAAACAAGTCGTTGATGACTTGTGAGAGAGCACTGTGATGAAGCCAGAGAGCTGTCCCTTCTTTGTTGCGGCGATGGCGGTTTCTTCTTATTTTTGCGAAAAATGAGTAGTGAAGAACACGTAAAGAACAAACAAAAAGCATTGGTTTCTGCGACGCGGAAGTGGCGTCGAGCTCGCAGGATGCACTCATCACGACGCACTTCGATTCGGGACGAACAAGAAGCCGCTCACGAACGCCCAGGATTATGGTTGCTCCGAAGCCCGCCGCTAAGGCCGCCAAGGCGAAGAAGGGCGCGAAGAAGGTCTCCCGCAAGAGCCCCGAGTTCACAACCCTGCGCAAGAGCTGCGCTCCTGGCGTCATCGCCATCATCCTCGCCGGTCGCTTCCGCGGTCGCCGCGCGGTGATCCTGAAGCAGCTGCCGAACAACGGCCCCCTTGTCGTCTCGGGCCCGATGAAGTACAACGGTGTGCCGATTCGTCGCATCGACTCCCGCTACGTCATCGCCACCACCACGAAGGTGGACATGTCGAACGTCGACACGCAGGCCATCACGCCGGAGGTGTTCCAGCGCCCCAAGGCGGAGAAGCCCGCGAAGAGCGAGGGCGACTTCATGGGGGACAAGCAGAAGGCCAAGGCGGAGAAGGCGGCCAAGAAGACCTCCAAGGCGGAGAAGAAGACCGTCGTGTCCGACGCGCGCGCCGCGCTGCAGAAGAAGATCGACGCCGCTCTCATCGAGGCCATCAGGAAGGATGCGCAGGGCAAGGAGAAGGCCGGCTACCTGCGCTCCGTCTTTACGGTGAAGCCCGGTGATACCCCGCACCGCTGGAACTGGTCCAAACGCGCGTAGAGTCCAAACTGTGAAAGAGCGAGATGCACGGGATGTGTAGGAAGAAAGAGCGCAAACAGTGCACAAGAGAGAAGACGGAAGAGTAGGTTTACGCGGAGAGAAGGAAATAGAATGTATTGCCCGGATTGAGATGGGGGAAGATTGAAAAGCGAGGAGCGAGGGAGAGCGCGTTTCGCGAAGGTTCTCCTCTCCTGCTTCAACAGAGGAGTTATTTGTTGCGTTTCCGAAGGCGACGACTTCCATAAAAGGGGGGCAAATAAAACACTGTCTCTGGTAGAGCGACGAAAAGCGCTCAGCCTTTTTCTACACCCCGCTGGCGGGGGACGAAAGACCAGAATGGCGTATTCCCCAAATATATATATATATATATATATATGCATATATGATCCACGTTCCCTTGCGTTTATTTCAAAGAGACACACATATGGGAGTCAGTCAACACCGTTACAAAATCAGATGAAGCTACTACTGTTTTATATGTGTTTTGCGATGTGCCTCTTCCTTTTCCTTTTTTTTGAGAGAGAGAGGAGGACCTATTTTGCTAAACCAAAAAGAGGGGCCATCGCAACAAGGGTCAGCATGTGCAGAAGAAAAAAGAATTGAAGTGTGATGCACCGCCGACGAAGTTGCCATGAAACACGCGTAGGAGCCTCAGCGCAGCTTTGACAACCGCGAAATACGAAACAAATGAGAATCAGCTGGGGAAAAACTGATCCTTCAATCTACCTAGTAGGCGTGGCCGCGGTTCACAGCGTAGAACAACCCGGACACCGCCATTTGCGCTGCCGCAAAAACAAAAAAGAGCACCGTGGCGTTCTGCGGCTTCATGACGGGCGAGAGAGCCAGTCCAAGAAAGCCGCTGGCGCTGGATGCGACCCAGTACAAGCCCATGACCGTCCCCTTCATCCGCGTGGGGGCGTCGCGGTAGGCCACCTCCATCACGGTTGGGTCGACAAAGGCGGCCGAAAAGCCTTGCAGGACGTACGGCGCAATGAGCCACCCCGCGGACAGCTTCTGACACCCCTCCTTCAGCACGTAGCGGTCCTCGCCCACGTAGTAGCCACGGCTCGTGATGGCGCACTGCAGGAATCCGCACCCCAGCATCGAAGCACACATGCACGCAAAACCGCAGACGATGCGAGTGCAGGCCGACGGCACACGGTGCCGTAGCACACGCGGCACGATCCACTGATCCCAGAGGGCGAGGAACACGAGCATTGTGACGGTGTTGATGTTGTTAAACAGCTCCTCGGGCACGCTGTCTGGCAGGTCTAAAGCGGCTGCTTGATACATTAGGTTCGTGCTAAACTGGTTGCACAGGAGCCAGTAAATGGGAAGGGCAATGAAGGCCTTGCAGACTCGCAGCGTGGCACGGCAGTCAGCGACCCACACAGGCGTCGTGACCGAATGCGCAGCGTGCACGGGTGTAGGAGGCGGCGATGAGGCCGGGTCGGCCGTTGCGGGTGTCGTGGTCGGCCTCGATGCGCTGTGAGGGTCCGCTCGCCAATCCTCCTCCACGGTCACCTCCGTGCTGTCCGGCGTCGAGTGCAGATCGGCACAGGCGTAATCCAACCAGTCACGCGGCGGTGGTGCAGCGGAACTGGCCAACACCTTCGTTCCGCGAAACACGCTCCACCGGTTTGCGACAGCCGCCGCCAACACGCGAACAAGAACGTAGTTCGGTGCTGGTGCATTATGAGGGAGCCAGTGGTAGCAGCGGTACAAGAGCGCAGCACCAAGGCCGACGGAGAGGGCGGCGAGCAGAAAGCTGTAGTAGTATCCTGTTGAGTGCGTCTCGCTGCCTACCTCAATGCGTGCGTGTTCCCAGTTGCGCAGCAGTGGCGCGACAAAGCTGCCGACGAGGCCGCCCACGTTGGAGATCCAGTATGCGTAGATGAAGAGGCGAGAGAGAGCCTGCTGCTCCAACTGCGTCTCAGAGAGCGTGCGTAGCGATTCAGGGACCTCTGCGTTGGGTGAGTCCGATGTGCGCGTGGCGTCCGCTGGAATTGAACCGTAGGCAAACGGAGCACCCTCCTCCTCATTCACACCTGGTTCCGCAATGCTGCTTCGCACCAGTGCAGACGGACGTTCACTGCTGTCATCCTCGTCTGCCGTCTCACGCGCTGCTGACAGTGGCGCGAGCACGGCACGCCCGTTTGACTTTGAGAAGTCCGCCTCCGCGCCACCGTCGCGTTCCTCCTCCTTCTCCTCTGCCTCCGTCAAGCGGCCGTGGTAACGCAAGACAACGCAGTCCGCCATGATGGGGTTCGTGCAGACTTTCATGGAGCCATAGCCGGCGCTGAAACCGATGAGGGCGAGAGCAAAGAGCACCTTGCTGATCGTCAGTGGATCACGTGGGAAATCGCCGTACATGCCGGGGCAGGCTGAGAGAAAGAGAGCCAGCAGCGACGCGGTGTACAACGCCAAGGCGCCAGCGAGCACGCGCGGCTGTCCGACGCTGCTGTCCGCCACACCCGAGGCGAGGAAGGCGGCGGCGGGAATGAGGATGTAAATGACGTTGATGATCGCGTTGGCGGCGGATGGCCCCGTCTTGAGCATGACGGTGCAGTACGTAAAAAGAGAGAAGGCCACCGCGTAGTAACCGAGGCGCTCCGCAAACTCGATGCCGAGCACCGCCCACACCGTCCCCGGCAGTCCAAGAAGCATCTGGGCAATACGGAATGGGGAGAGGAGAGGAAAGAAAACGAATAGTTATCAGTGAGTGAGATGCCTGCGCGTGGTTGACAGCGAACGTAATTACCGACGTGGAGAACAGGTTAGAGAAAGAGAAAGAATGAGAGGGGAGGTGGAAAAAGTGCCGGAACATGTTCTGTTGCCGATATGTTGGTGAAGGGCACGCGACGGCGATAGAGTGCCAATGTGCATCCTTTGGGAAGTGCTTCTCCTTGACAAACAAGCGTGTGCGCATCGTTGGAGCCAGCAGCGCTACTTGCAGCGACGCGGAAACACTTCGGCTTGAAAGCGTCGAAACCTGCGCCGGCACGTTGCCCCTCTTCTTTCTTCTGTGAGTTCGAAGACTTCGTTTCCCGTTTTAATGCTGTTACACGTAAACGTATACCCTTATAATAATAATAATAATTAGTTAAGCAGAATTGAAAAGCCAAAGCTCCTCTCTCACCATACAAGGGAAACGCCCCACACGTTCTCTCTCTCTCACACACACACACACACACATCTCGGATTGAATGCGCAGAAAAGCAGCGTCGGGGGAAAAACGAAAATTGCACTCACGGAAGGCGTGACGCCCGACGTTGGTGCAACCAGGCAGTGCCCATTACTCGCTCACTCCACGCGTCGAATCCTCAGGCGCTCCACGAGCTCGCTAGACTTGCAGATCACGTGAAGCACCGGCATGAGCTGAGGCATCTGGTATGTCTCACTACGGAACACCTCGATCAGCGGCCACCCCTGATGCAACTCGTAGTACTCCGGCTCCTTTACGCCATCGTCGATCTTGTAGAAGACGATGATGTCGTCAAACTTCTGGTAACGGCCACGGTCGTCCCACGGGAACGGCATCAGCTCGTCCAGCAGCTCCGCCGCGCAGACATCACACGCCACGTCGTGCATGATGTCTGTCTGTTGGTACTCGTCGTACATGAAGAGAAGCGGCACGTGGAGAAGGCCTTCCGTGTCGAAGTAGGGCTTCGGATCGCCGTAGACGCCCATCTGCTCGCTGGTGACCTCTCCCCTACCCGACATTCTAATGCCAGCCGAGGTGATCGCACGGGCGACGTTGGATACCTTCGCGGCCTGCACTCGCACCGTACGGTTCAGTTTGGCGTCCGCAGCGTTCTTCTTCTCCCGTCCCTGCGTGCAGAGGGCCTCCAATTCGGCAAACTCGGCCGTCGCCGCTGCATCGATCGGCGGTTGGCTGATCTGACGGCCTTTGGCCAGCAGCTGGAGCGCCATGTCGTACTTCTTCAGGGCCAGAGCGCTTTTCGCGGCGCGGTAATACGCCTTGCGGTAGTCCAGGTTCAGTACGATGGCACGCTGCGCATCCTCCAGCGCGTGGCCGTAGTTGCCAATGATGTACTGCGCTAAACTGCGGTTGGCGTAGATGGTGGAGGTGAGCTTTGGGTCCTTGCCTTTGGCCTGCAGAGCCTCGGTGTAGCTCGAACACGCCGCACGCGCGAGGTTCTCACGCCGCTCCTGATTCGGGTTGAGCGCTAGGTTCAGCGCACGGTTGCCGTGCTCCTTGCGGTTCTCTGCGATCTCGTCCGGCGGCACCTCGTCGTACACGATCGAGGCGAGGGCGGCACAGCTCTCATTCTTGGCGATGTCCTCCTCGCTGATGTGCTCCATGAAGAAGGGCATGTCCTCCCACGCGTCGGGGTCAACTTGGTAGCTGCCGCGACGGTTCCAAATCTCATCAATTTCGTCCTGCAGTTCACCGATGTGCTGCTCCTGCTCCACGGTGAGCTTTTCGTCCTTGACGAGGCCGCGCAGCATCGCTCGTTTACTGTCTGTGTGTTTGTTTGTTGGGGGTATTTCTAGCGCGCATTGCCAATGGAGGAGGAGAAGAAAGGGAGCGAGAACTAAAAAATAAAAGAGCGTTCCTTCGCTTCACCGCAACACTCTGCGCACCACGTGTGAGAGAGAGAGGGTGAGCAACAACGTCTTACTCACGGTCAATGGCCGTTTCCAACAGTTGCAGCTACGCGGAAGAAGAACAGTTTAAGCCGAAAGCAGACTTCACCTCTCCAGCTTGCGTACACGCCCACACGCACGTAAGATCAGGCCGTGCACTTCATCCACAACCACAACCCCTTTTTCTCAAAGACGTCGTGTCGTATTGAAGGCAAAATCCTTCCAAAACTATTATAATGGAGTTTTGTGAGTACCTGCCCGCGCAAGATCAGACGTTGGTCTGACACTTCCCACCAATAAAACAACACTGAGCTCTACGCAGAGGAAAAAAAGCTCGCACAAAACCGCAGCTTCACCAACGACGACTACACAAGAAAAAAAAAAGGAGGGTAGAATTGCTCTTGCTTAATACCACGTGCGTGGCACGACGGGCTTGGTGCGCTGCATGTAATCCTTCCACCGCGGGATGTTCACCGGCTTCAGGAACTTCGTGTCGGGGTCCTTGGCGTAGTCCACTACGCGCACGAATGGCGCAAAAGGCAGGAAGTAGGTCTGCTGCGGCTCCTTCCAGATGTTCTCCTTCGTCACGAGCGGCAGCGTCGTGCGCTTCTCGCGCGTTACATCGGGGTCTTCCACAAACGCAAACTGATGCACGAACTCGTGGTCGTTGGAAACCCACCAGCGGTTGTACTTGTACGGCACCTCCCCGGGCTGCGAGCCTGCTGCGACACCCGCAGCGGCCTTGCTCTTCTGCTTACTCAGGCGCGCCTCCTCCCGCTTCATGTAGCGCTGCAGCGCCAGACGGCGAGGCAGGTGCACGCGCTGGTAGTGCTCCTTGAAGCTGTCCGCTAACACCGCACTGCGACGCAGCATGGCTCCTCCAAAGACTGATCTTCCGCAAACGCAGCATTTATTTTTGGTTGCGTTGTTGGCAAACAAGAAAGCGTGAGAAGTAGATAAGACATGGGAGAGACACGTTTGTTCAACGAGATCGGTGGAGGCAAAGGAGAGGCGGGAGTCAAACACTCATCAAGTTGAGAGAGGAACGAACAGAGAATACATGCATGACCTTCTTCGAAGCACTTCCAATCCTTCTTACTGGCCTAATATGAAAAGTGTCTCTGGTGCTCCTAGTGACTGCATTACGTAACGAGAATAGAAGGCGTTTGCACTCTCAAGCACTGTGCTCATGAGGGCGTTCATCTACCACCGTACAGAGAAAAAAGCATGTTGCTTAGCTCGGACATCCATCTCTGTAATGGTCAACGTGCTCTTACGCTAGTACATTTCCGTTGCTTTGTTTTCGCTTCGCGTATGTACAGAAATCAGGCCTCGGGAGTTTGTGCCGCAACGGCGACCTGCCCTCCACCGGTTTACCCACACAAGCGAAAAAGTGGCACTCCCAGAAAGAACAGAGAGAACCGCAGCCGGAAAGCGCCGTGACTTGATGCAGACACAGGTTTTTTTTCTAAACTTCTGCTCACTACGCTTCGGCTCTCCATTTTTTTTTTCTTGCTCTTGATTAAGAAGGTCCATTTTTGTGTTTGTTTAAACCCACAGGTCTACCAAGGAGGTACTCGCTGCCTGCCAGCGCTTACTATTTTCTTTACAACCCGCTCCTCCCGCATCTGCCAACCTCAAGCACCAAGAAGGGGTTTACCACCACAGACACTCAGAAACGACGAAGAAATACTCAAGGCTAACTTTGCTGTAGATAGGTTTCTTTTCTTTGCTGTTTTACCAGAGAAACTCCAAACACGGTGCTCACTTAAAACAAAAAAAATAGAAGTGTTTCGTATCGCCGAACGGTCACAACGGCATTTACGTTGTCATGCGCATCTACGTCTTTGCTGAGAAAGAGATAACAAGAAGAAGGGAAACAACGTCTCTATGAAAGAGAAGGTTGAGAGAGAGAACAACAAAACAGTAAGAAGAGGAGAGAAAAAGTACACACCACTGCGAGGAGGTAGTGTGCCACACCTGCGTGCTTCTGTTCTGCTTCCTCAGAGGTCTCCTTTTAGCCGACATCTTGACGAGGTCACGCAATTGCCAGCGATCCGTGCGCGCACACACACACACACACGATACAACGAACACAAACTACACGCACACACCAACATCACCACCACCAACACCAACGAAACGCTAAAAATCGAATCAAGACAAGACATCAAACAAAAATAATCGAATTCCTGAGAGAGGAGAGGAAAAAAAGTTTACGGAAGAAACAGCCCGGTTGTTTGCACCAAACGCAGATACAGGGAGAAGTATTCGAATAGGCGTTGCAGCGGTTACGAAATAATCATAATTGACAAAAAAAAAAAACAGAGCCAAAGTCTAAGTTTATATATTTCTCTTGGCTGGTTGCGCTAGAATTAGTACACGTACGGGATGAACTTGTACGGCACCTCTTTCACATACTCGTCCCACAGTGTACCGTACTTCGTCTTGCACCGGTGCTCGTCACGCCGCTCACGATCGATCAGGTGGCCGAGGAAGAAGAAGAAGTAGAAGAAGGGAACGAAGGAGCTGAAGCCGCACGCGCTGCCCCACAGAAACGCCATGACCAGATCCACCGTGTAATGGAGCTTACGACCGTAGCGGTAGAAGCCGTCCACAAACAGCTCGCCCTTCTCGCTCTTCAGAGTGCGAGGGTTCTCGATGTAGCGCCACGGCAGCTGCGGGAAGGCCCTGTTGCGGATGATCTCCATCGGCACACCGCTGCGGCGCATGCGGAAGCGGTTCTTCTGAGAGTTGATGGTGTCCCACACGTAGTAGGCGGCGAAGAGGATGCAGCCCATCAGCACGAGCACCCAGATAGGGTACTGCTTGTCCTTCAGGACCGTCTGGATGTACAGGGACTGCATGCAGTAGAGGAACGGCACGCCGCATGTGTTCCAGAACGCCAGCATCCACCCAAACTTCTCGTAGTAGATGTCCCACGTGGAGATGACGCACTCCTCGCCCTTCTGAATCGCGTTAACGTAGAGGAGGTGCGCGACAATCATGAAGATCATGTTGCCTGTGAGGTAGTGCAGTTCCTCGTACTGCTCCGCGGCGCAGCTGAGCGTCAGCATCATCAGCAGCACCCACGAGTTGCGGCACTCTGCAAAGAGCTTTACATCGATGTTGCCGGGCAGGCGGAAGTTCAGGCCCGAGCCCATGAAAAAGTCGTAGATGGTGCTGCCCGTCATGCGGATACGGCGCTTCCAGCCCGCAATGAACACCCAAACGGAGATGACATCGGCGACGATGGTGGCCGCGGTGAGGTAGTGGCCGTAGTCGCGGCGCAGCTCGTACAGAGGAAAGATGCCGAAGTAGTGCAGCAGACCGACGATGATCAGCATGCAGTACCACGCACCCACCGCGTTGCACTTATAGGTGAGGCGGTAGCCATTCTCCGACGGCAGAGGAAGGCCCTTGACGTACATGGCCGGCAGGATGAGAGCGAGCACGTACTCGAGAAAGAGGAAGCCGAGAAAGATGCCCATCGTCTTCACGGTGGGGCAGGCGTGCTCGGCAAGGTAAGAGAAGAAAACTCTCTGCATCGGCTCGCCGTTCAGCATCTTGTGGCCCGGGTAGATGATGGTGCCCTGGAACTTCTCGATGCACACGAAGAAGTAGAAGATGAGAACGTGCGAGGCGATCATGATGCCCGCGGCACCAAGCGGCCCGTTGAACTCCCAGTTCCCGTGCCAGTCGTCCTTCTCAGGGGTGAATTTGCGCTCCACCGTCACGTAGTACGCCTCCTCGGGTGTGGAGACAGGGGTGGGCACGTGGTTAGCGGCGTGCTTCGGGCGGGCAGGAGAGCGCGACCTACTCGTCTTGCGTGAGCGGGAGCGGGCGCGAGACCCACCGCGGCTGGAAGACCTCCTCTTCGGTGGCATTTGTATCTGTTACACTTCTCTGTAATATTATTCCCTCTATATACAGAAAACTGCTTCAGTTTTTCTTCTTTTTCTTTTTTGCAGAGGTTGTGTGATTCGGTGGAGTGTCACGGGAGACGCACACGGTTAGTGTGCAAACTGTGGTGTACGTTGGTGAAGATGCGAAACCGACTTACCAAATTAGAAGAGAACAACAGTATAATCAGCTGGTTGCCTCCGACACAGATAACAGAAATATGAGCGACGAGTCGACGCACACGTGAAGAAAACAAAGAAAATTGGTAGTGCGTACGAGGAGTTCTCGCTTTAGGTTCTTGATTAGACTTTCTAAAGATCCGAGCAGACGACAGAGAAATACGACAGAGAGTACTCCCACTTGAAGGTGTATAAACAGGAGTAGAAAAAGATGCTTCGAAGAGAACGAGGCGCGAGTCTGTCTGGTGGTGTGTGCCGATCTGAAAACGACAGAAGTAATACAGAAATGACTTGACTAATTACTCTTTAAAAAGAAGGAAGAAGGCGATGAATGATGTAATGATGAGCGAAGAAAGCTGCTTCGCTTTCTCTTCTTCGTTTTGGTAAGTGTGTGGGATGTGAAGTGCGAAGGCAATAAGTGATGGTGCATCGCATGTGTGAATCGCGGCAGTAGTGAGAAACAATAATAATAATAATAATAATACGCGAGCAAGAGAACAGACAAAGAGAGAGAAACAAAATGTTAAAGGGAATCTACGAGAACGACTAACTTATGCGGTAGCAAGAAACAAAGGTTCGATGCTAATACATTGCACCAGCAAAAAGGAGAAAGCCACCGCTGCCGTCGAGGCAACGCAGTACCAACCACGTCGTACACGCACAGGGTAAGACACTTGAGCGACTGCAAGCAAAACGCCAAGGCCTTCACCTCACAGAACAACAAAAAAAAAAACTCAATTTGATTGCTTGGTTGTTTTTAAAAGAAGAACTCGAAGGTGTTCAGTTCATGCCAATACGCCGCTGTAGCTCAGCTGCAGTACCGCCTGCCCGCATGTCACCATCATACCACACGAGGCGCTCATCGACATGCTGGGGCGTGTCATGAGCGTCACGCGCGAGCCAAGACCCTGCCCCGTGCCCGCCCTGTCCTCGTCCGGTGCGTGGGCGGAGACGGTGGTGCGACGAAAGTCGGAGATGCCTTCCGTTTTCGGCAGCTGGAAGGTGCGGATGTCCGCACTGCTGTCGGCACCCGTCGCCTCCACGTTCATGGTGTACAGGGTGTTGTTAAAGCCGCCCGTGCAGACCTGATGGCCCGATAAGAACTGCACATCAAAGCGCTCAAACAGCAAGTTGGATTGGTAGATGCTCTCGAGATCGGGGCGGAGGGACGGGTAGAGCTCCCAGCGCCGCACCACCCCGCAGTCTTGTCCTTGATCCGCGCGGGCAGCCGGGATGGAGCGGCGCGGGCTGGACGGAGCGTTTCGCGAGCCGCCGCCGCCGGCCATGCGGATGTCCCACAGGCACACCGACATAAAGTCGCGTCCGGCGATGTAGCGACCCGACGGGCTGAGGGCGCAGTCGCAGATGCTATTCGTCACGTTGCTGAACGGCTCGTCCTCCTCGCGCGTCGGGTTTGAGAAGACCTGCGCACTCTGCTCCAGCCAGCGGAGCGTCTGGCGTGTGTCAACGACCCGCACCGTGCCGGCGGAGGTGGCGACAAAGAAGAGAAACGGCTCGTGGGGAAAGGTGCGCACGCAGCGGATGGCGTCCCGTGGGCCGTCCTCGTAGGGCGAGCGCAGGTCAAATGTCTCGATCGAGGTGTCGGGGTACTCGGCGCACCACAGCAGCACCGCAGCGTCATCGGCAGTGGCGAACTGGTCGCTGAAGGCGATGGGGCAGATGGAGTTAATGTTGTACTCGTGGCTCAGGGCGTAGCGCGCGACGGGCTTCATGGCCACCGTAGAGGCGCGGGAGCTCGCGGTGAGGGGGCCGATGGTTTTCGTGCCGATCTTGTCCACCGCACGGAAGGAGTTCGCCGACTCACGCACGGACATGATCTTGTACAACTTAGGCACCTTTTCGTTGGACGCAAGTAGGTAGGTGGTGTGGCTGCTCTGCGGCAGAAAGGCGAGCGCCGTCACGTTGGGCGATACCTCCACGCTGTTGAGTGTGTCAATCACCGGTACGTACGCCTGCTGCGCGACGTGAAACTCATAGGGGTCCTTCACGTGATTGAGCACACCGACATTACGAGAAGGGGTGGAGGAGGTGGTGGGTGAGGTGCCGCTACCCGCAGCGCGATGTCCCTCCTGCCCCTCCGCCTCCTGACTCTTCTGAATCGCTTCCAACAACGTGCGCCGTGCCGTGGTCGCCATCTCGCGTTGCCGCAGCACCACCACCCGCCCGGTGCGATCGCCGACCGCCACAAAGTCTCCGTGACTTGCGATCGCGGAGATGTACTGCGATGGGTTTTGGTGGAAGGTGGTGGTGATGTGCGCTCCGGCCGCGGTGGTGGCCGTCGCCGCTGCCCCGCTCCCCGCCGTAGTCAGGACCGAAGGAGACGCCGTGACACCGCCACCTGTTGCGGCTGCTGCCGCCGGTGACGCGGACTCTGACGGCGGCGCCGCACGAGCCGCGTAGGCGTTCATGAAGTCGTGGAACGGCTTGCCAGAAATGTACACTCCCTCTGCGGTCACGGTGGTGACTACAGACGCAGACAGGGCGCCAGCCCCTGTCGCCGCAGCAGAAGTAGGTGTGGTGGTGGTGGCAGATGTGCTTGTCGGTGCGCGTCCTTTCGAGTTGGACTCTCGCGGCGAGGTGGACGCTGCGCCGGTGTGACGCTTTGCGTCGGCAGTCGACGCTGCTGCTGCTGCTGTTGATGCTGAAGCCGCCGCACCTTGCCACGCTTCGGCATCGTCGCTACGGGCACCTACAACGGCTGACTTGATTGTGTTGGAAGCGTCGCCATCCGCGTTGGCCTGCGGAACTGCTTGACGCGCCTGTTGGTGATCCACAAGGGTCGCTAGAGGGGCCGCGCGTCGCTTGACAGGCGGGGATGTGCCGCCTTGGCCAGGACTGCTGCCGCCGGCGCTGAGGCGGTCACTGCTGGGCGAGCGATCCACTGAGCCGTGGCGCGACTTGGCTGCCAAGATGGAGACCATCTCCGGGTCGGAGATGCCCACGAGCCCCTCCTCCACGAGCGTGTTCTCATGCGGGGATGAGTGCGGTGAAGGCAGCACCACGGCCCCGCCTGAGACGGAGAGAGAGGTGGAGTTGGAAGGGGAGGAGGAGGGGGAGATGCCCGCGTTGGCGGCAGCGGAAGGGGCTGAAGGGAGCCGGGCATCACAAGCGGGCAGCTTCGGCACCTGACTGGAGGATATACGAGGGGAGTACACCCCGGGTTGACCTTCCTCTGTCATGCGCTCCTGCATACTGGAGGTGCGCTTTTTGAGTGTGCCGTCCAGGTTGAGTTTGGGAAGCATGGTGAAGAGTTGGACGGAACCAACAGGATGAGAGAGAGATTCTAAAAAGATCGAGCGGTGGCGAGAAGAGCGATGCACCGCGGTCAGGACCTTTGGCGGTGTGCAGATGAGAGGTGAAGATTGCAACACAAATTATTCGATAACTGATGCAGCCAGTGTTGGGAATTCTAAAAAGTAGTAATAATAATAATTCAATGCGGACAGAACCGCTGCAACTGTTCTATGTGCGCGACCCAGCGATGCAGCTAGTGGTGTATGTATGTGTTTGTGCATGTGATTTGCTTATTAGTGGTTAGCACAGAAAACAGTGGCAATGGAGACGAATAAAAGATGGCGGTTGTCAGTTGAGTAAGGAAGAGTTTTTCTTTGAACAAAACGTGAGCTTAGAGAACAATTACGACGGCGTCCGTTGAATGCATAGCACACGCTTTTCGCATAACGCTTGTTTAAATACATAAAAAAGCAAGGTGGTGCTTCTTCTGTCCTAATGACACAGAAAGAGAAGCAAACAACCAATAAGATTATCATCCTCCGCAGAACGGCTTTTGAGCCGGTGCTTACTGCCCCATCGCTACTCTGCCAAGCGCTGACAACGTCTCAGAACCGTCTGATAAAGTTTGCTTTTAGAGAAGCTGTTTGCTCTGTATTCTTTGTTAACTGAGAAGCAAAAAAAAAAGTGTCAGCCCACACACACACACGCACACAACGACGCCAAACACAAAAGAAACGGAGATGTCCATGACAGGACTGACGTCTGCCCAAGTAGGGCTCACCGAACCCTTCCGACGATGACCGCGCGGGAGCAGAAAACGGAAACCGGTGGGAATGCCACCGCACACAGTTCCATCACAAGTCCCACCCCTCTCCTAGCGCTTCTCTCCAACAGTCCCCAACGCAAGTAACGACGACTGCGAGGCACTGCCAGGCAAAGGGGAAAGAAGGAAGAAGAAAACACGTGTTGGTCTCCACACACACAAAAAAAAAGGAAAAGAAGTACTGTGAAGAGGATGGGAACGCCCGCCGTGCGTCGGACGGGGACGCCGAATGACGCAAAGAACGGCCGCCCCTATTCTTGTCTGCCCTCCCGCAGCTCTAGTTGCGCATCTCCTTCGCGTTCGCGACCACGTCCTCGTAGGAGAACTCAAACTTCTTCCGAAACGCCAGATCTTGGAAGTCGTACTTCTGCCTATCTTTCGTGTGCATGCGGTGGTGCACCCACTCCGTCGGGCACTGGATGCGGCGTGCCTGCAAATCCCGCCACCAGTAGGCGTCCTTGTACTCCTTCGGCACGGGAACGTTGTAGAACGCTTGATCCGGCACCAGGTGCGCGTTGTGCTCCCAGTGTGGGTCGTACTTCTCCTCGTACGTATCGTGGTCAACGTAGCGGTTTGCGTGGACCAGTTTTCGTGGCTCGTACATGGGCAGCGGGTCCCAGTTGTACTTGTGGAGGGACTTTTTATTGAGGATGCGCTTAAGCTGGTGGGAGAACATGCCCTGTCCCTGTTTGAACACCACCGGGTTCTTGCGGAGAGCCACGCTTAGGCGTAACATGCTGCCTCGACAGAACACTACAAAGAAGGAACTTTTTGTGGGGAAAGAAAGAAAGAAAAGGACGTCGCCGTCTCTCTTTGACGACGCGTTCTTTTCCTTTGTGACGCCACCGGTGTAACACACGGATGGACGCAGCGGTGCAATTGCACTGCAGGGAGTCGAATCGAAAAGGCCATAGGCGGGGGGGAGGGGGGGGGGAGAACGCGGAGAAGCGAAGAAAACGGGAGTAGAATTGGGAGAGGGGGACGGTGATAAGTGCCGGCAGGAGGCAGAGGCTTGAGAGAGAAGATAGTGGAAAAAAAAAACGTCTGCGCACATAGTGGCCGCTTTTCAAAGATGTTCGTGTTCGCACGACCACTGTCGCTCACAAGCACAAGTGTGCAGCGCTAGATTGCGGCGAGAAGCGTCAAGGATCTCGAGAGTTAAACATCTCCAGTGGACTGAAGCTCACATCTAAACTACTGATCCAGCTGAATGGCCAAAGCTACTTGGACGGCAGACCAATGTAGAAGAAGCGAAGCGTGCGACAACATCTAGAGACCAGCTGCCAAAGCAAAGAGCCGGGGGCATGCCTTGATCGGCCACTGACAACGCGGTCAGCGACAATGAGATGCGCCGTGGAAACCAAGCGTGGCGTTTGACCAGTAAAACTTTTTCTATAAAATAAAAAGAAACACAAACAGCACTAACCCAAATTGTTTGCAGACCACGTTAACGAGATATAAAAGAAAAAATATTGACGAGTGAGAAATAGAATAACCAAACTCTATGCTTGACAGCAAACGCCAAATAAAATGAAAAAGAGGACTGGTCCCACAAGGGCGGCACTTGCTTTTAGATGCGGAACATTCAAAATACCAGGTAGAAACACCGCATCACTTGGATCTGCTTCCTCAATTGAAGCGTGGCTCTGACATCAACTACAAAAGAAAAGAGGTACTTGAAGAAAAAACGAAAGACGCTGAAGATATATGGAGTCTATGAAATCCTTCGTTGGAAAGAAGCTAGAATCTATGGTGTGAATGCGTTTTATCGCAAAGCGAGCAATTCGTGCGACAGTTTCTCTGCTACCGGTGGCGTTTACTCGAGATGGAGTTGAGAAGAGAGATCAATAATAAAAAACTCGTGCGCAGGCTCGTTGACTTGTGCTGCCGTGATGAGTGTCGCTTCAACGTTTGTTGGTTCTGTCCGTTGGTTTAGCGACGGCGATACGTTGCACTGCTGCGCGGGGCTGCGGTTCGCAGTTTCTTCGATGCGGACGAGATGCGGGCCTCACGCGCGTACTGCGAGGACGACGGCCCGTTGCGGACAGGCGTGGCCGCGCGACCCACCACCGGTGCAGCGGAGGCGCCGCCCGACGCAGGCCGAATGACCGGGGTAGGACCGCCAGCGTCAGCCGGGCCGTTGGCGGACTCCTCCACCAAGGCGCGCCGCACCTGATCGCGCAGGCGCTGCAGCTGGCTCAGCTTCTCCTTCATCTCGCGCAGCACCACCTCTGTCTCCTCGTCGTCGTAGTCGGAGTTACGCTCCTGGGCCTCGATGCTGTCCTGCAGGTGCTGGATATCCCCCACCATGCTGTCCAGGCGAAGCCGCAGCTTATCGGCGTCCGAGCTCGGCATCGACACGCGCTCCCCACCACCCGCCGCGTCCATTTCCTTGTCGCTGTTTGCCTTCAACTGCCATTCTTCGTCCTTTTCGTCCCCATTTTGCTCACCCTCCGCAGTATCATCGACACTTTCTTCCTCAGCGGACACACCCTCCGTTTCGGCGGCAGCTGCAGCTGCCGCCTGCGCCTCCTCGGCTAACTTCGCCTCGTCCGCCTCCTTTCCCTCATGCGCGAGGGTCTCGGCGATGCTGACGGACGCGGGAAGGCCAAGCGCGTCGCGGCCGGCGCGGCGCAGGCGATCTTGCTCCATTCGGAGTTGACTAATAGACTTGCGATTCTGCGCGATGCGATCCCGCAGCTTCGTCATGACGTTCCTCTGCGAGGTGTGGTGCAGGCGCTTCTCCAGCAGCGAAATCTGGAAGCGATGGCTGTCGATGGCGCTCTGAAGGCGATGCGCCTCGGTGTCGGCGACCTGGGCGGAGAGCGTGAGCTCTTTCGCCAGCTTCGCGTCGCGCGCGGCCGCCCACGTCGCGTTGGCCTGCACAGACGCAACGCAGTCCTCCAGCTCCTCGAGATCCGCTCGCGAGGCGGCGAGAACAGCCATGAGCGTCTCATCATCCTCGTCACCCTCTTCCTCCATCTGCGCCTCCAAAGCTGCGATTTCCTTCTTGAGGCGGTCCGCGGCGAGGTGCAGCCCGTCGTACTGCTCAGGAGTGCACATGAACTGACCAGCGGACGCAGGAGACATGGACATGTCCTCCTCCTTCTCTGCTGCTGCCGCCGACACCGTCGTCGTCGACGCTGCACGAGCGGAAACGGCACTTCCGGCAGACTTGGCGCCGGTCGGAGCGGTGGCTACGTCCTTCCTCTCGACCTCCTGCGCTTCTTCTGCTCTGAGAGCAGTAGCAGAAGTGTGCTGGTGGTGGTGCTCCTCTTCGTTGTCCTTCAAAGAGCGCAGCTGGGCCTGCACGTCGCGCAACTTGCGCTGCAGTTCCTCCTCCACAGCCAAGGCCTCCTGCTCCGCCGCCCTCTGCCGCGCCACAGCCCTGGCCGCCTCCTCCTGTGCCAGGCGGGCACGCTCCCGCTGCTGCTGCAATTCCGCCATGCGCTTCTCACGCTGGGCCGTCAGCTGCGCCTCCACCTCGAGCGCCTTGTGCTCCGCCTCCTCGCGGGCCATCGCGTCCTGCAGCGCTGTCTGTTCCTCCTCCACCGCGGAGAGCTGCTCCTCTAGTTTTCCCACTTTCCTGTTCGCGTCTGCCAGTTGGCTTTCAATTTTCTCCAGCACTTCGGTGCGACGCGTTTCCACCGTTCCTAAATAACGACGTGCGCGGTCCGCCGCCGAGGACAGTCGATCGTGCAGGGAGGCCAGCTGCTGCAGGCGTGCGGATGGGGTAGTGGCGGGAGTGGTAGTGTCGCGGAGGGCAGCCGAGAAGTCTTCGTCCTCTTCCATCTCAGCCTCGTGCTGCTCCACGGCGGCCTCCAGCTCCTCCTGCCACTGCTGGTCGTGCTTCGCCGTCGCCGGTCGCGACGTAGCGCGCACTTCCACCAGCGGCGCGTCCTGGCTGTCCGCCTCTGCGTCGGCAGCGACGACGTCCGTGACGTCCTCCCCCTGCTCCTCCGCCGCGGTCAGGTCGCCGTCCACGTCGTCCACCTCCACCTCCACCTCCTCGTACTCGTCCTCGTCCGCCGCGGCGGTGGGGGCGGCACTCGTGGCGGTGTACGCAGCAGACGCAGCAGCAACTCTGGCCGGCGCCGCCCTGCTGTGCAGCAGGAGCTCTTCCTCTTCCTTGTAGTCCCTCAAGGCCTGCTCGATCTCGTCGTCGTCAATGTCCTCGACGGCGCTGGCGTTTTTTGACTTCACGGGTCCGTCAAACTCTGGCGCCTCCGCGTACTGCGGCAGCCCACGCGGGACGTGGAAGCCGCCCGTCGCAGCCGTGCTCGTTGCCATCGTGTGTCGCTTCAGCTCGCGCATCAGCTCCAGCTCCTGCTCCAGTCGCGCCACCTCGCGGCGGCCCTTCGCCAGTTCGGCCTGCAGTTCCTGTGCCTTGTCGGGGCTGTCTGTGGCCAGCATGCGACGACGCAGCAGCGAGTTCTCGACCTTGGTGTTGTGGTACGCGTTGGACAGCTCCTCAAACTTCTTTTGGTCAAAAGGGGCTTCGCCGCCTTCATTGCTCGCAACGTCGGCAGCAGCATCAACAGGCGTTTCCGGCGCAGCAGGCGCCGTCGACTTGCTTGGCGCGGCATGAGACTTGGGCAACGAGAACTCACGAATGCTGCGGCCGCCGGGGTGGGAGGCCTGACGCAGTGGCGGGACCGTGTCCGCGGCGTGCCGCAGCTTCACCGCCTCCACGCCGTCCACGTCGTTGGCGGCCGACTCGACCGCACTGAAGTAGTCCGCGACGTTGTCGCCACCGTGCTGGCGCATGCGCTGCGCCTTCTTGCCCTTGAGCGGAGTGTTCACCGCGGGACTGCCCATCAGACGGATGGACTCTGTGAGAGAGGGCTCAGCGTCCGCGGAAGCCTTGCGACGCAGCAGCAGGCGGTCGGCTGGGATGGGGTCTTCCGTTGCCCGCGCGACGGGGTCCGTGATCGGCACCGCCCTCGGCTCACCCTTGGTTGTCGACTGCAGCTCTGCCATCTCCACGTAGTCGGGAAACGCCGAAAAGTAGAGGAGGTAATCGCGGTCGCTCAGCATCTCCGGCGTCCAGCCAAAGCGGCGGCAGATGACGTCCATCGGCTCCCACGAGAGGTGCACGCTCTCGTAGCGACGGCGGAGAAAGTCCTCGACAGACCAGTCCAGCAGCAGGTCCGTGTCTTGAGAGCGGTAGAGTTGCAGCCGACGGCAAGCACTGCGCTCGCGCAGCGAACTCTTGAGCACCGCAGGGCTGATGCTGTGCGAGAGGTGCGAGAGTTGGGTGGCGGTGAGAGGGTAGTCGGTCAGCTGCAGCAGCGGCCGCACGCACTCGTTGACGGCCTCGACGCTGTAACGACCCAGAGAGCGCGTTTCCTTGCGGAAGCGGATCATGTTGCGCTCCACCCGCCGCAACATGTCTGTGAAGAATGGGTGACTACGAATCTCAGCGAACTCGTCCACGTCATCCTCCGTGTCTGCCACATCCAGCTCCTCTGTCGCCGTCGGCCGCGCAGCAGCAGCAGCAGCCTTAGGGGCTGCGTCCTCCGTAGACAATACGTCGAGCACGTCGTCGGCCGCGGCCGTCATCACCTCCCCGGGTTCCTCCTCCGTCCGCTGAGCCATGTTCCGCACCTCCTCCTTGCTGTAAATGCGGGTCACGTCGGTGTCGTCGAGGTCGGCCGCCGCCACACCCACGCGGTGCTGCGGCCTTGTCTGCGGCTTCCTGTGTGCCGCGTTGAGGATGGGCTTCATATCTGGCTCCCGGAAGTTGCTGGTAAAAGCAAGACGCTCATCTGTCTTCTTCTTGTAGAGCTCCGGGTAGTGGTTCTTGGGGCTGCTCGGTGGCGCGTCCGCCTCCACGTCCTCCTCCAGTACCTCGTTGTGGACCGGCTTCGTCGTGGCAGCAGCAGCAGCGCGCTGCTCGCGTAGCACCTCATTGCGGGGCGGGTGTCGGTGTGCCCCGCTACGGCTCTCCGTCGCGTAGGGTCGCTTGTAGTGGCCGAGGTCGTCGCTGTACCGGGAGCCGAAGCAGCGCTGCGAGGCTGTCAAGGTCGCGGCAACGCCGCGCAACGGCACCGACAGTGGCACCGAGCGCGCGGCAATACGAGACGCACCACGCATCATCGTGTCTGCTGTGCCCAGTGAAACTGCTCACACACACACACAAAAAGCCTCTATTAAATAGAGAAACTGTTTTGTATGGCGCTTCCCTCTGATGTCGACGGGAAGGGAAAAAAAAAGAGAAAGAAAACGCAAATGAGAAGCGGAACAACTTCTTGCTTTCTGTTCTTCTCGTGACCTTTCCAGCACTTTGAAGCGGGAAGTAGACACGAGAATGTATGCCCTGCAAAATCGTGTTCTATGCACCAAAGCGTTATCGAAACCAGGAGAAGAGAAAAAAATAAAAATAGGGCGTGTACGCGGAATAATACACGTCGCTCTTCTCCTTGCTCTATAGGGTGTTCCACGCGCCTTCTCGCTGGAAAACACTGTTGCTATGCAGTGATGTCTTGTTTTCGTTTTGTGAGAGAAAACAAAAACACACACAACTTTATCTCTATTATATTACTGATACTATGGTGTCGTAGGTGAGTGTTGTTTTTTCGGGGGAGAGGGGGGCAAGCCGTTAAGAGTGCAGTTGTCACAGCATTGACATCGGGGAGTTTAAGAAGTGAGAGAGGGAAAGAGAAAAGGGGAGAATAAGCGGCATTCCAAAAACGATAGTAAAGCAGTGATGAGGAAAGAAAGCGCTCTCCACTGTACGCAATCGTGCTCGGTATCTGACGGAAGTAGCCGGCATCACCAATGTTGAGAAAGCGAGGAAAAAAGAACTCACCTTCCATAAAACCTGCTGCTTGGCAACTCTGCATCTTTTTGTGGTGGTGGTGGTGTCCTTCTGACGAGAGAAGAAGTCGTCGTTTTTAACTCGTTGTGGTTGCGGTTGCTTTCAGACGTTGTGATTGAGAAGAAATAACTGTGCATCGTGTGAGGAGGATACGTAGAACGCCCAACAACCTCAAAAAAAAAGAAGCTTCCAAACGCAGAAGTCACTAAAGCAGCACACAAAGAAATTCATTTGGTGGTACGCCACACTAAAAGAAAAGAAATTGGCCGACAGAGGCTGCGGAGTCCGTTTTCTTTTTCAGCGTGTGTGTGGTGGAGTGGGAAGGGTGCTTACTCGCGTGCAAGGACGTCAGCAAAGTCACGGTAGTAGATGCGGTCCGTCTCAGGGTCTCGCATGGCCATCCACATCTCGTCCACTTCCTCGCTGGAGAACCTCTCACCCCCTGCCGCCAAGGTAGCTTGGAGGTCCAACAACTCTAGGTAGCCTTTCCGCCCCATGTCAAGAGCCTCAAAGGCCCGCAGGAGAGTCGCGTCGCTGTCACGGGCGCAGAGAGACGGCGCAAACCGCTCTAATCGCTCGAGAGAAAGTTTCCCCACGTTGGCCTCCTCACTCGACGCGGCTGCGGCCACCGCAAACTCACGAAGCGTAGAGCCGCCAATGGTACCCGTTAGTAAGGCGTCTACAAGAACATGCTCTAGTTTTCTCTTATCAACGAAACCGGTGGATACTCCACCCTCCTCGATGAGCTCAACGATAGAAGCAACCTGCTCGTTGGACACGTTGAGGCCCATCGCACGCGCCAGGTAACCCACAGACAGAATCGGAAAAGCATAGGCAGAAAATGCCGGTGAGGAAGGCGACGGTCCAACGGAGGCAGGATTTGCGCCCCGCCTACCTGCGGTGTTTGCGGCAGACGCCTCTGTGGCGGCGAGGGCACGGAGAGGGTGGCTGGAGGCGCAGATGACGGTAGTGAGTTCCTCAAAGTGTTTGTGGTGCTTGGAGCGCTGAAAATCGGTGCGTTGCTTGCCGCCGAGGTAGCGAATCGGCTCGGGCAACGTATCGCTGCCACATTGACCGTCGTTGTCAACGGATTTCTTTGTGTCTTTATTCCGTGAACTGTCACGTTTCGACCGTCGCTTCGCCGATTTCGTCGAAGACGAATTCTTCAGCTTGAGTTCGACCGGCATGTGTCGTCGACAGCGAAACTTCCGTGTTCTCTTGCGGCTTTTTCCCTAGCGAGCAGTGGCGTGGTTTTATGCTTCTTTCTCACCTTTTCGTTGGTCTACAAATCTTTTTTGTGTGTGTATTGTAACTTGTGAGCAGAAACGTGAGGGTATCGTTTGCGTGCGCGTGGTCGATGCGTGCTGTGGAGTGCAAGGAGTAATTCAAAGAGCTCTGCAGTGATGGAAAGAAACAGTAAAGCGAAGGAAATCAACAGTTGAGGATGACATGGAGAACCCACTCACTATACGGGTTCGGTACTCGTTAGGGATAAATTTGTGTTGTGTGGCAGTTCTCAGAGCATCTGGGGAGGGATGGACGTGGAGGTGAAGATCGAAACGGTTTAAGAATAGCTCCTCATATCTGACGACCCTGCCTGCTACGGGAGATCGCTGACAATACAGACCAAAAGGAAAACCAAGAAAACAAGGTACGGGAACGTCGAAGCGCCGCTACAGCACAAACATCTTCACAAAAAGCTTCGAAAGACGAGCGCATAATGAAGGATACCGTCCTCGCAGCATGGAGTCACTGCCGTAAATCAGCTCTGCCAGGCAATACATGGCCGTGACATAGGAGGGGTACGCGATGCACTCGTCCTCCTTGGCGTTTGGCGCCGCGGGCTGTGCGTTGAGGCAGAAGCGAAAGATCGCTTTCACTTGCCTTTTAGACACCAGTGGTAGTAAGTTGTGCTGGCGAATGCACTCCAAAAATGTCTCCATACTCATGCGCGCCTTGTCCAGCTGAAGGTGGGGCGGGGACTGCACCGCTCTCACGAACGCGTTTTTGAGGTGCGGCGTGAATTGCTGCCCTAGTTTTCGAACGGCTTCGTCCACCTCGTAGGCCGCCACTACATCCGCCAAAGGAATGGCGGTGACGTTAGTGGCTACGTTGTTCAGCTTTGTGAAGGACGCAGATAACACCATGGAAGCTTCGGGCGAGGGCGGAGATGTGGCCGAGTTGCTTGAAGCCATTTCCGAAGGGACGTGCAGCTTCTTTCTTGACTCCCGGCGGTGGATGCGATGCTCCACATTCGGTAAAAACGTGCGCACAAGGAAGTCGCGAAACCGCTCTGGGGAGGGTGTAGCGTCGTGCATGCGTGAAAAAGCGGAGCAGTATACCACATAGAGTGCGTCACTGAACTGAATTCGCGATATGCACTGCAGACGCTCACGGGCAAAAAGGGCTTGTTGTGTCGACTGCTTCTCGTCACCGTAGACACGAGGGAGCAGCAGCGTACTACCTACTCGTCGTGCGGTATCATCCCGGGTGGTGGCCAGTGAGTAGCTGCGCATGACAGCCATCCATAGCAGCTCCGGCTGGACAGGACGTCGACCGCCGCAAATCCCGGCATCACGCACCATGTTTGTAAAATGAGAAAGATTCATAACGGGGTGCAAAAGATCTGCATTGGAGGCAGAGGTTGCAGTGTAGAAGTCATAGACCTCGTCCAGGCGAGTTTGAAGACTGTCGACGGCGGAGTCAACGCCCGGCGTCTGGTGGGCGGCAGGTGACTGGACAGTCGCGGACAGCGGAGTCGAGCGCACTTTTTCGTGTAGGGAGCCCTCTTCAACATCTTGGCCGCGCCAGCTCTCTCCGCCGCGGTGTGACGGATGCGGCGCGTCGTCAGCAGCGTTGAATTCTCCGGTCACGTTCTCTTTTCTTGGGAGACAAGTAATCAAGTCTTCCGTCCGCATCGCCTGCTCGCAAAACTGAGTAAGATGCGCCACTTCCGTTTCTAACTGAGCTACTCGCGCCATCGAGGTCGACTCGCGATTTAGCAAAAGCTGCTTTGCTTCATTTAGCTGTGATTGAATCTCCGCCCTCATGCGTTCTAGCTCAACTTCTAACACCTCCTTCAACTCACTCACCTGATTGCGAAGGGCATTAGCTTCAACCTCCAGCTCTGTGATGCGAGCCTCACAGGCCATGGGAAACTAGGTCTGGGATCAAATTCTACCAAAAAAAAAGAGCATCTTCTTTTTAATTTCGGTGGTGTTTGTGAGTTAAAATTAAAATAAAAAACACGGAGGGAGAGGAAGGAGATGGCGAAAAGAGAAGGTAAGAATAAGGTTCAGTAGAAAAACAGGCATCGATGGTTAGGAGAAGCCAAGATTCCCCTCTAATGTGGGAAGGAAAGAGGCAAAAGGGGAGAGGATGCCCATTTGCTGTCACCATAGATGACTTCCTTTTACTAATAGAGAAGGTAACCATTTCTCTCAATATACGAAAAAGAGGGAACGTGACGAAAAGGGCACAATTAACATCACTAAAAGCTACCGCAAAGGCAACACCGATTAAGATGAAGGCGTGCTTTATTTTTCGTCTTTTAGTTTGTCTGCTTCACCCATAAAAATTCTAAGATTCGGAAAATACTGCACATGGACCATGTCCACCATTCGCTACAAATACAACTTCGTGTAAACACGGACGCGTGTACCTCATCAATGGTGCCGCAATAGAGGACAGATGGAGGAAACGTGAGGCTGGAAAACATACATCAGTACTGAGAAAAAAAGAGAAAGCCGATTGCATGCTGCAGCACTGCAAGACACAGATGCAACAAAATAATGTCAATGCAAACTCTACGTTATATATACTTCAGCGTGAAGAAGACGAGAAGTTAAAGTGCGGACAAAATTTCAGACGACGTGCTGTGCTGCTTTCACAAAACGAGAACAAAAAAGATACCAAGGAATCCAAAACAAAGCTGATCCATCAGAGAAAAAGGGGATCAGGCAGAAGTGAACACGCTTGTTCCTACATCACGGCTTGAACTTTTTCTTTAAAATGAAGTGTATGTTCTACGAGAACATAATTTCTCCGCTGTAGATTCCATCGCCGTCCCCCGTGGGCATCTCGCGACGTGCTTTCGTTTGCCTCATGACGTGCTGCAGCACACCATTCTGAAGAATACCTATGCGCAGGGACATCAGCTTGATTTCGGCCTGCACCTTAACCACGGCCTCCTTGACCTGGATAAGCGGCGTGGTGTCTGAAATCTTTGCCTGACGCTCTTCAATGTCGCGCTTCGTCTGATCCAACAGCTCGCTCACCTGGTTGAGCTCCACCGTCATTTGTTGCACACTTTGCTGCGCCACATTCGCCGCATCGCGGGACGTATTCAACTCACGTAGCTTCACGCGGTAGTCTTCGACCTGGTCCGAGAACTGCTGGGCCAGCGTTTGCTCGCGTTTCTGAATGCGGTCCTTCGACTTCTCCATGTCTCCCCCAAGACGCTCTAGCATCAGCTTCACGTCGGGGTACATTTTTTCGACTGCTTTGAGCAGCACAGTGGCGCTTTCGATGCGTGATCGCCAATCATCAATAGCCAGGGGACGCACTTGCAACAAAGGTGCAACTCGTTCAACCTCCATTCTCCACTCCTCCACGTCCACTTTTGGGGTGGGCGGGCGATCAGCATCAGTCTTTGTTTGCTTGTTGCCAGTAACAGCACGAACGTAAACTTCATCGTCGTCGTCGCTGTCAATCACGACATTATCCTCAATTTCGTCTTCGCCTTGGTCGTCCTCCGCGTCCGCCACGGAGGCTAACTCGTCATACTTCTCTACGAAGCTGTAATCCATCGCTTCGTAATGGTAGTCCTTGCTCTTCAAAGCTGCGCTGACCAACGCGGAAAGAACAGCGAGAATGGCCTCTCCGCTTCCTTGCTTCAGCCTTGTGGGTGCAATATTGGGAATGCTGATGTTCATGGAACGCATCTCAGCGAGAATTGTGGTGGAGGAAGCGTTCGGGTCATCAAATTGGCCCGGAGCGTCGAATTGATGCCCGCACAGTTTCATCAGCCACGCGCAAAGAGAGGTGAAGTAGAAAAACTGCGCATTTGGGTTGTCCACCGAGGAAGACCCTGAGAAATAAAAGGGGCTCAACGGGCTGAACGGTGGCCGCACCGCTCGGCAAAAATCAATCTCGTAATTCAAAATGCGAAGCTTGTCAATAATATCTCCCATTGTGCTGTCATCGACACCAAGACCATTGGCTCCCGCGGAGGAATTCTCCGCCGGCTGTTTCGCTGCCGAAACTGTCTCCTCGGACATTCTAGTATCACAGGCGAGCCGATATTTGTCCACGAAAAAAACACTATTCCACTCATTCAGTCGTTGCAAGTGATCGCACATTGACATGTAGAAGTAAAAGACATCGTGTAGGTCAAAGATGATAGATAAAGAGCGTGATTTCAGAAGAAACAGGGAGGCAGAAAAGGGAAAATGGAAAGAAACAAGGAGGACACATTAGTTTCGTTTGAGTTAAACTAAGGAGTGAATCATTTGGCTGTCGTTTTAGCTCATCTATTTGCACCCTCAAGTTATTGCCAATTAACGACACAGCAAAACAACGCACTGTTTTTTTGTCTGACAGAATCAAACAACAGCAATGAAAGTGTGCAACGACTCTTATTATCTGATAAGCAAATATAAATAGTCTAATCTGCTCTTAGCAAAATCGCTCTTCAAGAGGCGATACTGTTCCCTGTTTTCGTGTCATTTGGCCACACATCAAAGCTTTTTGATACGTGGTGTTTTTTTTTTCTTATTTTCAAATTTATCACCTCAAAAAAGGTTAGTGATTTGGACGTCACATTCATGATCACTCGTATAAGTATACATCTGCAAAGATGGTTTCGTGTGATTACACAAAACGAAGATAAAAGCTAGGCGCTTCAGTGCACCCAACCTGTAAAAAGAAATAAGCTGTTAGCTTCTTTTTTTTTCTGCCGTCTCGCAAACACGCTACTTTAGCGCGTATACATACATTTTGGTTTCGTTCCAGAATTGAAAAAGGGCCTTTGGTTCGTTGAAAGCCGATATCTTTCATTCATCATCCTCGAACTTAGAGAAGTACAATTTGTAGTTCTCCACGAAATCTTGCTGGAGAGCACCAGCGTTTCGTGCGCTCGACGCTTGCGAAGAAACCAGAGTCCACCCACCTTCTTCCTCCAATGCGTCGAGCAACAGAACCATCAAGCGAGACACGCCTTCACAGTCGCAAAACTGCCCATCCAGAGTGATTTTCCAGTGATCTGGGTTCGACAGGTATTGAAACGTCGGCTGGACGCTGCGAATGCTGCGAGTTGAAGTTGTCGCCGAAGGAATAACCTCATTGAGACGGGCAATCGTGCTCTCTTGAACGGGCCCGAGAATTTGAATCTCGGGGCAGTTGAACGCCATGTTCACAATCAAGCTGCGAGACATTTTTTCGATCTTGTAGTAACAATAATATCAAAAGAGAGAGATTTCTGCAGAAAGCTTTCGTCTTCGGACTAATAATACAAGACATATGTTGAATGAAAGAGTTAATTTGTAAAGGAGAACAGATAAAAGAAGAAAAGGATAAGAAAGAGCGGGAATGGGAGATCGAAATATTTAAGCCTCATACATCATCAATGTAGCTAACGAGTATTATTATTCATATACATATGTAGTAGTAGATTGTTTCCTTCAAATATATTTTTTCAAGATAAGAAGAGAGATCGAGTTTAGAAAAATAAAAGGGTTTCTTTTCTGTTTTCTTTTTCAAGAAGAGAAAACATTGTTCCAGTTGTGGTCATGCACAAGAAATGCAGTCAAGAAAAAAAAAAACAGAACAAATAATGTAAGGAAGTTAGCATTATTAACGGCTACAAAAGGGGGAAAACTGGATGAACAGGCGCAAATGATCAATCCGCAAAAAATTGCAAGGTTTTTTCCCACGAGCCGCTATTAGCACGAAGCATTTTAATAATAACTTCCTCACTCTCATTCTGTGCTGTTCGGCTTGTAATCTGATCAGCTACCTGCAGGGCTTCCTTCCATCGGCCCTGACTCAAAAGTATTGTGGCCATTCGGTCAAGCTGAGTCACAGTTCTCGCAGCTTGCAGTGAAGGTGTTTTACCGTCTGGCAACGACGCACCGGTATTGGCAGAGACAAAAACTGGTATTTGAAGATCATAATCAGCACAAAAGACAGCAACCAGTTTTTGAATCTCAGGCTTCAGGATGTAATTTGCGTAATAGCAGACAACTGATTCAAACTGGACCAAGTCGCTTTTGCTGTACTCGGTGTCGCTTGAAATGAAGAGCATGCACGCACTCTCAAACATCCTCACAGAAATGGCGGAAGGACCCATTGAACAGAGAAGTTCAACACTTTGCATGCCCAATGACCTGTCTCTCAGAGCGAGCGCGCAATGCAGCAAAGATCGGAGAAGCGAAGGCGAGGTACGAAAGCGAGAGTCTGTACGACTCCGTTCCACCACCACTTCATACTGTTGTCCATCATGCACCAGTCGGGCAATGTCGTATTCGAAAAGCTTTAATTGCGTCTTGAAATCCGTGACTTGCTGGAGCTCGTGAAGAACTGCGTGCGCCTTTTCCCAGTCGCGTCGATGTGGAAACCCTTGTGCAACCGCCGCGACAAAGCCGCAGTAGCTAGTCTGCTCTTCGTCTGGCAAAAACGCAGGGTTTGTTGCCATTTGGTAGCTGTCACTATTTTTCTGCTCAGTTAACAGTAACGATGAGGCTGCGGTGGGTTCTAGAGATTCTTGAGAAGAATCGTCTGATTTATGTTGCGAAAGAAGTGAGGTGAGGGACAGCGTTTCTTGCCATAAACCTATTCGTGTTAAATTCTGCGCCAGTACTTTGGCTAGTTCCTTCGATGCGCTAGCATCTTTGTTTAGCTCGAGTAATTGTATAGCTGTCTTCCACTGGTTGTGATTCACCAAAGCTTTCAAGAGTAATGCTGTTGTGGGGACGTTTTCAGCGTCGAAAATGGACGCCCACTTCTTCAATTCCTCCGAGTCGCCAACTCGTTTTGCGAAAAGTAAACCGATCCGTTGAGAGTGCTCCAAATTTAAAGGAGATCCACACTCCATGAGAGCACGGCGGAAATGGGAGAGCGCATTTTCCCACGTTGCTTCAAGAAGATGCGAGGAAGAAACCAGTGAACTTCCTGTTGCACCATTGTGCATACTTGCCGGTCGAAAGATATGATGCGGAAACTGCCAAATTGATAATTCGGCATCCACAAGCAAAAAAGGAGTTTTTTGTTTGTTTCAAGCGTTTGCAAAAAAAAAGAGCAGGTAAAAAGGGAGGGAGAGAAAGTTGCGTTACAGGAAAGTGTCGATAGTATTTTAAATCTGTGTTCCGTAACAAGGAAAATATATACAAGTCCTATTCCTATAGTTTTCGCCTTTGATCGCTCAGGAAGACACGGAAAGCAGCTAAAGTGTGTTGCGCAAATCTCTTCTTCGTATGTTTGGGGTTTCGAGTTGCATCTGCACATAACGCAGAACAATCGTCGCAACTTTCTAGCTGCCGCGATCAACCACACTCTTTTCAGACGCGTGGCAAAATACATGCTGGCTTTTCTCGCATGGCACCTTTACTTTCCCAGAAAGAGATACCCTGCTCATTTTTAATACGCGTCAGACGTCGCATTATGAGGTGTGAAAGGTGCGACGTCTGACACTGCTCTTCACGGATGTCGGTTTGACAGGCAGATTCAAGGTGGTACCACCTTCCAGTAATGTGCACTATCGGATGTAAAGCGATCGCAATCCCCCTCTCCCTCCTTCCACTCTCGGTTTTCCTTGATTTCATAACAAAAATCTCTTTATAAGTCTGCATGGGGAAACCGCGTCGCAGGGGAGAAAGGGGGAGCGGCGTGAGGGGATCAGATGGGGGAGGGGTTGGAAGGGCTAAGCGGCGTTATGTGAAGCGACGTCGAGGAAGCACTACCACTCTACGTGTTTCATCGCCACCGCCGTAGCAGAAGACGTGTCGTCGTATCATGCTCAACGTGAGCTGCGCAATACAATTGGATGCTTGTTTAGCACCACTGCTCGCTTGCTTTCTGTGTTGGAATGTGCGCTGTGGCAGGTGCTTCTGGCTATCCATCTACAACCTCCTGTTGTGCCCTTTTCACTTGTTTTAGGAACCAAAAGACTTTCTGAGAAACCACAGTGGTTCTATTAGTACGTGTGCCGCTGTTGTTGCAACTGCTGGAAGCCATCCAAAAGAAGAAAAACAAAAGCCAAGCATTATCGGCAATAAACGCCGATCACAAAGGAGAAATAACAATTTCACGCAGTTATTAATTTGAGCATTTAAAACTATGTGTTACGCTGATTCCTGACTTTGAGTCCATTTTTTGCAAGCCTATAACATAATCACAAATTTCCTTGACTGCTATGTTTTCACTCATCCCATTGCTTTCGCTGAAAGAAGCTGTTCAAGTGTCCACTTGTTGCTCTCAGCGCTGCCTGTTTTCCATTCACTCTTTCTTCTTGTCCTCTCCACCTTTTTTGCTGTTGTGCGTTGGATTTGAGATCCCTTACAAATTACTCACTGCTTGTTCTTCTCCCTTCTGCCACTGTTGATTTGAACAGAGGTAAAGCTGTAGCTCGTCTTTACTTCCTGAAACTTTATATATACACATTGAAAAAGGTAAACAATGGACGACCGCCTTGTGCAGACGTCGTGTCGTACGGCTGATTTTGCCTCTGTTGAGGCCACTCTGCGCAAGTGGAGCGAGGTAGAGGCCGTAGGGTCTTTTCGCGAGAAGAACAACAATAAGAAAGACCTCACAACCGTGTTTGTGACCTTTCGTGACGAAGAATCTGCGAAGGCTGCAAAGGCCAAATTAGTTTCCATTCCCGGGATCGTGGACCCTTCCCAGCACGAGGATGAAAAGGTAAATCAGAATAAAACCAGCCAGAAAAAGAACAAGAATCTTGCTGCCGAGTTCCTGAAATACGAGTCGTACGAAGACAAGAAGCAGCCAGAGTCCAAGAAGAAGAATGAGAAAGCCTCCCATGATGAGCAAACCGCTGCCACCAAGTCTCGCGGTGGGCGTGGTGGACGCGGCAATCGTGGAGGCCGTGGCGGGCGAGGCGCCGCACGCGGCGGGCGCGGCAGCAGCATCAACAACAACAGCCACAACAGCGGCAGCAACAACAACCGCGGCGGTCGCGGAGGTAACCGTGGCGTACATGAGCGTGGTGGTATGCAGCAGTACCAACAACCTCGCCTGCCTCCTTTTGAAGCAAATGTGGCGTTTGTTGACAACGTGCCATTCGGTACAACCAATAGCTATCTCATGGAGCGCTTTTCAGCCTTTGGTCGAATTTTGGATGTTAACCGTTTAGAATTAATGGTCATGATCTGCTACGACAATCCGGAATCTGTTCAGCAGTGCATTCAGCATATGAACGGTGCCAAAATACACGACAACTTCATTACTGTGAGCAGTGGAACCGTGCGCATACCCGGCAGCGTTGCGATCCAAATGGGCATTTAAGCAAGTGGCAATCAAGGGGTGATGCATCTTTAATTTTAACAATACCAACGCAAATAAATGTTGTTTTTGCCGTTTCCAACGTCGCATTGTAATTTACCATTAACAAATCGGGTTGAGTAGTAATTACAAAAAAGAAAAATGAGAAATTATTGTTTGCGAGTCTGTCAACATAATGGGCTGGCAGAGCTGCTACCATGACTAACACAGGTGAGCTGCAGGAAACCAGGCGAATAATAGATGAGAGTGGTGGTCATCAATTTAATTTTTTTCGCGAATGGACTTTGTAATTCAGAATGGTTTTAGAACGTTGTGTAAGCTGCGTTTTGAATTCTCTGTTCTCCTTTTTTTGGAGATCATTTTTTTTTTTCTCAAGTGCGACTTATGACTGTTACTATAATATACGTTTTTATTTTGTCCCTTTTCTCGTGTTCTATTACTTTTATTTGGAATTATCGTCAACTACACGTTTTTTCTACGTGTTTCTTATTCTACAGCGATTTTACTAGATCTGCACATTCAAGGAAATGCGTCGAACTGTGATACTTCTTGACCAGACTACTGGTCCGCACAAGGCGTACAAGTACACTTACATGCCAGACCCGAGAAAACTGGCACCTATTGAAACTACGATGCGAACAGAAGTGCTCCCTGTTGTGATTCGCCCACCGACCTCTTATGTCCCCAATCACGAAGTATTTCTAGAAAAGTGCGATATTCATCGTCTTGCGCCGACAAGCGATTTCAAGGCAACATTCAAGGACTGGAATGATCTCATGACTTGCAGCAAAAGGGAGCTCCGCAATCGTGGCGTTCCGGTCATGACGCGGCGCGCAATTCGTTCGGCTGTTTTAGCGTTCCAGAACGGCAACCCTCCAGAGCGGTTTGACACGAAAGAAGAATGGTTGTATTATAAGCAGTTCAAAACGAAGGATTACAGCTACCGTGTGATTCCAGAGCTTCCGGAAAAGTATCGCCCCCATCAGAACGGTATTGATCAAGCTCCTGTCCCGGACTATTATGAAATTAATCAGATGCCGGAATGGGCAGTTAAGGAGGAAAAACGTCTCGCTGAGAAAAAGTCTTCATCCTAGCCGGTTGTTGTATTCACATCCTTTTTCTGTTTTTCTTTTTTGTATTTTTGTGGTCTTTCACTTGTTAGCTGGCGAGATGCGCCGTTGTCAAAAAAGAAAAAGTATAAAAGAAGGGTGCAACATGCTCTATTATCGTAACTTCCTCCTACTGAACGTTGGCAACAACTGCTGTCATTTCAGACTTTGGAAAAAACGAAAATGTTTGTTTCAATACGGGTAAATGTCGCTCGTTGTAATAGCAAGGGAAAAAGAGGAGAATATCTGGGATGATTGGATATCTGGATTCTCTTTGTAAAAACATTTTAATAGTTCAAACACATCTTAACACCATTGCAAATCTCTTCTTCTTTTGTTTCCGATCATTATTTAATTCATTTTATCTTTTGTTATCATTATTTAAGCGGAAGGATTGTATTGTCTTTCCCAACAAAAATTTATTTGAAGTTACAAAAATAAAAGACTGAAAAATGTCGTCTTCAGGTGAAGACAGTGCTCCGTACGAGAGTGACAGCGACATCTCGGAAATCGACCCGGACTCTGAAATCTTGGCGCCCGTCCAGCGCCGAATTGAGGAGCAGCTGCGAAAGCACCTACAAGAACTAACACAGCAACTCCATGAAACAAACAACGAACTGTCTGGTGTTGAAAAAGAGCGTGAGACATGTGGCGTTGACCTGTACAATGCCCAGCAACATCTTGCAAAGCTGCAAGAGACCTTCGAGAGGTACCATGAAAAGCACGCATCTATCCAGCAACAACATGAGGAAAAACTTCGCTCGAGGGAAGAGCTGTCGTCCGCTTCGGACGGCATACAGAAAAAGGTGGAGGATATGCAGAAGCAGCTCACTCGTTACCAAGATGAATTGGGCAAGCTGACGGAAACGCTCGCGAAGGTGGAGCGCTTCAACGCTGAACTCAAGGATGAGGTGGAGCTTGAGCGCCGTGCCGCTCATAAGACCGAGGACGACATTACTAACCTTGAAAAAGTGAAAATGCGGCAAGACGCTCTGATCCTGTCTCTCCAGAACCGCATCAAAGCACTCGAAAACGAGAGTGCCACAGTAGATGAGCAGGTGGAGAGTCAGCGCGAGGAAACGAAGCGGGCACGGGAGACGTTGGCTGATGCCAGGTCGGAGATGGAGGCCATCGTTATGGAAAAGAAGCAGCTTGTCCAGCAGTGGCGAAGCTCCTTGATCGGGATGCAGAGGCGTCAGGACGCTGTCAAGAAGACGGAGGAAGCACTGCAGCAACAAAAGGACGACTTGCTGGTGCTGGAAAACGAGATCACTGGCTTCAGACGTGACATCCGAGACGCCCAAGTGGAGAACACCAAACTGACAGAGTTTATGTCGCGCATCGACAACGAAATCGTCATCTTAGAGAGACAGATGGAAGGACTGCTGGCGAAGAAGGAGGAAAGCACCCAGACCTACGCTCTCTTAGAGAAAGCCATCGCCAGCACCACCGAGGAAAGCAAAGCCATAGAGCTCCAGGTCAAAGGCAAGTCCGCCGAGCTCTCTGAGGTGGAGAAGCAGATTTCAAAGCACGCGAAGGCTATTGTGGACATGGAGAACGATGTGATGGCGCACCTGAGCAAGCAGACAACACTGAAGCAAGAGAGCCAGGGTGTTCTACTAGAGGTGCAGAAGATCAAAGATGCGATTCGGGCGAAGGAGCAACAAGTGACGCAAATGGAGAACGAACTGGCCCGAATTCGCGTCGACACGCTGCAGTCAAAGGCATACAACGAAGCGCTTGCGACGACGCTCACAGACCTCGAGAAAGAGCTGCAGTCGAGGAGCACCATGATTGAGCGGATGCAGGCCGACATCCGTCGCCGCAACGACGAGATAGATCGCAAACAGAAGCAACTGGACCAGCTCAACCACCAGTACGAGCAAATCTTGGCCGCTCACAGCGACCTCCACGGCGAGCACGTCGGACCACTGGAGGCGACCATCAACAGCCTCTCCAAGGCAATCGCGGCAAAATCGAGCGAGAACGAGGCACTTCAACAGGAATGGATCCGCCTCCAGACGGAGCTGGTCAACTACACGAACACGATGAACGACATCAACGACGCCATCCTCGACGCGCAGGCGAAGGCTACCATTCTCTCCCAGAAGAAAGACCGTCTTTTGGGCGACATCAGCGCAGGTCGGCAGCAGATTGCTTCGTTGCAGAACAAGTCCAATGCGATGCACCTTGAAATGAAGCGTGTGAACACGCAACTGAGCCAGAACAACGGCGCGCAGCAGGTTGCCTCCGACGACGTCTTCCTCCTTGAGAACGACCTTGTTCGGCGGCTGGAGGAAAAGAAGCGCGAGGCGATCCAACTGGAAAAGAAAGTTGACGATACGCGCCAGAGCAAGTCGGACATTGTGGAGCAGATTCTCGCGTGCGAGCGCGACATCATGTTCTGGGAGCGGAAGTTGCAGGTTGCCCGTGAGACCGAAATGGCACTCGACCCCACCATCGGCCGCGCAGAGATTGAAAAGATGACGAAAGAGATTAACTTTATGGAGCAGCGCATGGCGCAGCTGCAGCGGGAGCAGAAGTTTCTCATCGAGGAGATGCAAAAGCTGATCGACCACCGCGATGTCATTCGGACCAAAGGTAAAGCGATGAGCGTTGCCATGCAGAAGAACAAGCGCGGCGCCACCCGTCTCGCGGTTGAGAAGGAGAATACTCGTCTCTTCAAAGAACTGAACGCGAAGCGGCAGGAGTCGCGCAAGAAGGAGAAGCTCATTAAGGAGAGCTTATCGGAGATGGAGCGCACCGCGGCGGAGGTGGACCGCACACAGCACGACATTCAACAACTAGAGGGGCAAATCGAAGACCTGCAGGCGCAGATTGCAGCCGCTCAAAAGGAGCGAGAGCGCGCCGAAGACGAAAAACGGCTCCGCCAAAGCAATCTTCAGCACCTGAAGGAGGGGGAGACCGGCACGTACCGACTCTCTTGCTATCCTGAAGAATCTGCGACGGAGACTGCGCGCTTGGAGGAGGGTAGACGAGCCGTCGTAAACATTATTCAGGAGTTAGCGGAGCAGTTTCCTGATCTTGCCCCGTCGTTGCAAGATCTCACGACAAGCATCTAACAAAATTTAACAGCGACCTCAACTATGTGAGATCTGGCGGAGTTGACAGAACGCTTTTTTCCTCCTGTTTGAAAAGTACGGATGGCATTCAACTGATCTCTTCGCTTTTTGATTTGTCAATTACTTTCCCTCCCTGATAGTTGTTTTATCTATACAATAGATCATGTACAATAGCACATTATTGATGTTTATTCTTGGGCAAACGGCTACGTTTCTCTTCTTGTCTTTTTTTACTTTCCTTTAAAGCCGCTAAAACAGACAAGCAAACAAAAGAAAACCAAAAGGTCCTTACGACGATGCTCTCTTCTAGAACGAGGCTTGAACGTCTGTGTATTTCATTTCCTTGGAACAAGAGCGTTGACGTCGTGCTTCTCCGAGAAAAACAGAGAAAATAACGCAAGGGTAACACGACGGCGTGTTCAAATTCCTCTGCTGAGTTGTTTTCCTGTCTTTTGTGTTTCTTCGGATTAGCTGCGAATTGGCTGAGGCTCTGACTTCTGTACTTGTCCTTCACGTGAAGCTTCTTGAGGCTCCCAACCTGCCGATTAACTCCGCTGTTCCATAATGGTCCTTTTGTTCTCTTTTCTTTTCGTCTTCTGCTCGTCATTCAATGTAATTGGCTCGGCGCCCGGCTTCCCCCTTTTCTAACCAATTGTTACCCTCAGAAAGCGAGAGAACAACAATGCTGGATGGGGTAAATGACGTCTTAACACCATGGACGCCATCCCGCATTCTGCGCATCATGGAGGCAGCCTCTGCCGCACGTTCAATGAACAGAAGCGGTAGCGATCGGGCTCTGTCAGGGTCCACAGACGAAGGAGCCATGGCGATGGAGAGTCTCTTGCGTCTGTCAAATCAACAGCCTGACGTAGCGGCTCGGGTGATGGCAGCTCCCTTGTTTGCTCAGCGACCCCTTGTCGAGGCGACGGACTCTGCTTCAAACGCTGCGTTGTCGTCGTCGTCTGTGCCCTACGCAGACGCTCATCGCATGTGCACCCACACGTTGGAGTTGTGCCGGGCGGGGTGGAAGGATGCAGAGGCTACGAAAACAAAGGAGGAAGACGAGAAAAAACAGGTGGGCCAACTACCAGCATCTCTGCCCCCCTCACCAAAGCCCGCGGTGCTGCCTGTGAGTGCGTCTCCTTACGCGACGGAAACCGAGTTGGAAGAGATGGCTTTCGCCGCCGAGTTTGCCGAGCCGTGCCTGCGCGGTGCGTTTCCGGATGTGGGCGCTGTTGTGCGTCACAGCCTACCGGCCGGCTGCGCTTCGCTGCTGCGCTGTTCCCGTGACGACGGCGCAGAAGACAGAAGTGGTGCGAAAAGCACAAACGCGGTTCAACGCGTCGTACATTCGCTTTTGCAGGAACCTGCGGTGTCTCACAGAAAGCCCTCGGGTGAGGACGAGGTGCCAATATCGGGGTCTTCCGCGTCTATCTGCCTGAACATGACGCGGCCAACGTCTGCTGCGCCTTCACACGCGCTGCTCTGGTCGTCTCTCCCTCTCCCTTCTGCGGTGCCTATCGAGGCGTACGGGCCTCCATCACACAAGGTGTTTGACAGCACCTCTGTCGCCCACTCGTTTACCGAGGCGGAGGTGAACGACCTTCACGGATTTCTCGCTGTCACACCTCGCCCATTCCAGGTGTACTGCAAGTCCGAGTTGAAGGCGCGACGCCGCCAAGCAAGTCACTACCAGCGCCGCAACGCGATGCTGTCTGCCGGGGCGGGAGCGGCTCCCATTGTCGGTCCGCAGAGCATCACCGCAGGCACCTCTACCTTGCACGCAGCGCGACAGCGCAGTCACGCGCACGTGTCTCGCGACGCAGACGATGAGCAGGACGGGTGGTCCGCATCGTCGGGGTGGAGCAGCAGCTGCAGCAACAGTACCGAGCACAACGGTGAAAGTGACGGGGAGGAGAAGGGCGACGACGCCGAAGGCGGGAAAGGCCCGGAGGCGTCTGCGCGCCGGGATGACGCGACGGCGCTGCCGCGTCTCACCGCCGTGGAGGAAGAGGGGATGCCAGCAGTGGACCAAAGCGCCGCGCCGACGCCACCGCTGCCCAATCGTACCTGGATCGAGGACGATGGCGAGTTGGTGCTGGAGAACGGGAAAATTTTGTTACGAAAACGTAAGCTGCGTGTGCTGCGAAACCCGCCACCTCTGCTCCCGTTACCGACGATGGTGCGTGGCCCCGTGCTGAGGCAGCCCAGCCATACGGCATTCGCCTCCGAGGCTGCGGTGGTGAGCGTGGAGGAAGAACAAACCGGTGCGCCGGTGCAGAAGAAGGAAGGCAGCTCCAAAGGAGAGCGCAAAATGGAGGATGTCAGCGGTTTAAAGGAGGAGGTGGAAGAACAGCCACCGGCAACTCGAAGGAGGGGCGCAGTCGCCAAGCGAGAGCGCGCTCTGGCGGACGACGGCGACGAGAGTGCACCGCCCACGACGGCGAAGTCGCGCAGAGGCGCCAAGCACGCCAATACAAAGAAAAGCACGAGCAAGAGGAACACCTCCGCAGATGAAAAGTCGTCATCGCCGACGCTGCTCAACACGGCGAACGCGCCGCGCTTGTCGGAGAGTGAAATGCTGGGCTTTGTCGAGCGTCTCTCCATTTCGGACCTTCTCCGGAAGGCGCTGCTCATTGGCGTGCAAGATCCTTCTGCTTCCGAAAAAGAGGAATCGAGAGAGACGAGAGAGGACAATCCCAGCAGCAGTGCCAGCGAAAAGTAGCCTGAGGGCTTGACGGGCAACTTCTTCTTCTCTCCACGGTCCAACCGAGCACTCATTTACATAGATGCAATAATGTGTCATAAAGATTTTTGTTTCCTGATGCGTGAACTGGGGCTCACCTCTGTTGTCCTGCAACTGAGGCGCCGGCTTATCTTTCATAAATAAAATGCGAACCAGTAGAAAGGTTTTTGTTCGCACCCGTATGAGCTTTCTTTGTTCGTTGCGCTACGATAACTTCGGGGTTTGTCTGCAGGAGCTTGGAAGACATGTTGCAGCTTTCGAGTTGTCGAGCGTCTTGCATTCGATTACGTTAGACAATACTGTAACCTACAGATGCGAAGAAGCATCTTCTGACTTCCAAGTAACTCACCACCCGTTTTTACCTGCTTGTCTTTTGCTTCCCTTGGTGTCTCTCAACATGTCCAACCTTTATTTAGAGAACTATTACTGTAACAAGGAGCTCCCGCTTTGCTGTTTTTCTTTTCCTTCTGACAGTAGGAGAAAACAACGAAGCACATACATCCTTCTACTTTCACATCATGAGCGACGGACTGTGGGCGCCGTCTACGGCGTCTTCAACGAACAGTCCTTTAGATGGCAATGCGGTGGAGGAGCTTATGCGTCGCAGCTTAGAGGACAACGCGTACAGCGTGCAAGGATTCTGGCTCTGGCAGGCCCGCTCCATCCAGCAGCGTCATCAGCGTGAGCAGGGTCGACGCAGACCTCGCAGCGAGGGGGAGACGCTGCACACGGTGACGGAGACTGATGGCCCCCGCAGCCCCGCCGAGGCGACCGCGGAGCAACACGCAGCGGAGGTGAGAGCGTACATCTCCGCGTTGCTGCACGCAACGGGCTACCCGTACCCAGTATCTTCTTACCCAGCAACGGGGGAAGCGGAGCAGACGGAGGATGTCGCTTTGGCGAAGACAGCGACGGGGGATGAGTCGCTGGAGGCTTCCGCACCGGCAACCGACGCTCCTGCTGCACCGCAGATCGACGCCACCCCGCTGAAGACAGCACGCACGGAGAAAGCGGCGACGGCAGCACCGTCCTCCGCCTCCCCACCGAAAAGCGCACTCGCGAAGCTGGTGTCTAAAGCGAAGGCGCAGCACCGTGACGTTGCTGAAGGCAAACCGGCCGCAACGGTCGTACCGACACCGAAGAACTCGTCGTTCCCCGAAGACATCCCAGGCATGCGGCTGGCGCACGGCTCCTCCTCCATCGCGCAAAGGAAGAGGGTGCAGTTTGTCGATGCGCCACACGACGACGCTGCCAGTGGGCACCTACCTCGTCGTGAGGCAGAACATGCAAACGAGGAGGAGGAAGACTTTGGCGTGCAGCTGCCGAGTCACGTCGCCTCCTCTTCCGGCGGCGCAGCACCACACGAAGATGGCAGTGGGGGGACATCAACGCTGGACGCAACGCCTACCGAGGACGCTATGGCCGCCAAGCACCCATCGCAGATGACACGTGCGGAGTTTCTCAGTCAATTCAAGCGCGCACCGCGCCGTGGTGAGATTGGCCAAACCGCCGAAGACATTGCCGCGGCGGAGAACCTGGGCTACGTCATGTCCGGCTCTCGCTCCGTCGCGTCACGCATGTACGTCGATCGCATTCAGCGCCAGCTGCACGAACACGAGGCGGCAAAGCTGCAGCAGCAGTTCCGCAAGGTGGAGGACGAGCGCATGGACGACCAGCTTGTGCACGGTCTCGCGGATTTTATTGTGAAGAAGGTGGAGAACCTAAATTAGTGCGCGGAGATGATCAACATCTTCTCTTCTTTCTTCATGAAAACTACGCCACGCCTCTTTTAAAAAAAAAAAACAAATGCACCTTCCCGTTCAGGTGGCGCGTACGCGTGGCGAATGTTGCCGCTCTTTCTTCCTTTCTGCTTTACACCGTTGCCGCGGTTATTCTACCTTCTAACTGGGGAGTAGTCCAATGGGGAGAAGTGCGTACAAAACGAAAATGAAATCTACCGCCTACTGACTTGTATTTGACAAACACTGTTCATTTGTCGAAGTCGTGTATCGACTGTGCATCGAATTGTGTTATCCGTCTTTCCTTAGTTTTTTTTTTTAAATTATTATTCACTGCAGCGCCCTTTCACTCCTCTGAGTTTCTCGTGCTTTTTGCTTTCCTTGTTATCTTCGTTTCAAGTGGTCAGCACTTCATCCATACACACAGAAAAGCGAGCAAACAAACAAGCGAACAGATGCCTTCGCCTGTCAACGCCAACGACGCGCCGTCACTCAGTGTGGCGACGCTGCCGCGCAAAGCGGTGGTGATGGGCTTCGGCACCAAACTCATCATCGGCCGCTACCCGCTGGACGACGCCGTCGCGCCTTCGCCGTACAACTCCGTCCTGGTAGACGACGGGCAACTCGTGCGGGCGGTGGAGTTCCTGCAGATCCCGGACGGTCCGCTGTGTGTCGTCAGCGCCGGCGATAGCAAGCTCATCAACGTGTACAACGTGTCCTCGTGGAAGCAGAACAACCCTCTGGCCGCGGAGGCTTCGTCGGACGACGACGACAGAGGAAACAAGAACGGCAGCGATGCCGCGGTGCACGTTAGCGAGGTGGACATTCTCGACGGCGAGGCGCGCCGCGCCGCCGCGACGAAGGTGCCCTCCAGCGCGAAGGCCAACAAGGCGCTCACCACGGCGGAGTACTGGAAGCCGTCCTACCAGTACGGCCCGCACACAAAGCGCATCACATCACTCGCCACGTGCGCCGAGGGCAGCGTCATCTTTGCGGACAAATTCGGCGAGGTCTACCGCCTTCGCCTGAGCTGGTCGCCCTCGCACACCATCGAGGTGGACGGCGACGCCGCGAAGCCCGCCACGTTTCTGCTGCAGCACTTCAGCATCCTCTCCACGATGTTCCTCACCAGCCCGATCCCGCGCATCGAAGCCGTCGCCGCCTCGGAGGACCGCAGCGGGGTGGCGTGCCGACGCCTCTTCACGTGCGACAAGGACCGCCACGCGCGTGTGAGTCGCTACCCGGAGACATATGTCATCGACCAGTTTTTGTGGACCCGCACCTCGGTCCAGTCGGTTGTCACGTGCGTCGCGGAGGTCGTGTACATGGAGGACGCGGCGGTGTACGACCCGATGTACAACGTCACGGCAGAGCGGGTCAACAAGCACAACAAGGCCTTCAACGCACCTTTTTCCTACTACGTGACCGGCACCCACGCCGGCGACGTGCACTTCTGGGCAGCGATGAACACGATCCCGATGGAGAGCAACAAGGAATCCTTCCACCTCATCAGCACTTTCCGCCCTCGCCTTGCCGGCGGCGCCTTAGAGGAGCTGGGGGCTGTTGTGGGTATCACCGTCCTGACAAGCGGCACCGACCGCTTCGGCTACCCGCGGCACCCGCGTGACACCCCCCGCGGCGTGCTCGTCGCCTACGAGCGCTGCTGTGATGTGTTCTTCATCCCCCTTTACGACAACATGGGCGCCTACGCCCTGCACCCCGCACTGGTGGCGGCCACCCGCACCACCTTGGAGGCGCTGCCCGTCGCGATGGTGTCGAGCAACGACGCGACGGCTTTTGTGCTGAAGCGGGACGGCAGCGTGTCGTTTGTGTGTTTGTGCGACGTGCCGCCGCCGGCCACGGGCAGTCCAGCCAAGACGTGCAGCTTCAACGCGAACATTCACGTGGAGTTGCGGGAGACGGACGTGAAAATGCCGTACTTGGAGGAGCGTATCAGAGCGGTCATGGGCGGGCCTGCGTCTGCGTCGAGCGGGGCTTCGGGGGAGAAGCAAACAGCGCTGGAGGCGCTCGACCTGTCTGCGCCGTGGCGCTACGAGGCTGTTGACCCTCGGACACGCAAGCACGGGGATGACAAGGATGATTCGAAGGAGAGCGAGTCCGACGAGGAAGGCGAGGCAAAGTCACAGGGCAAGAAGGGTAACGGCAACGCCAAGAAGAAGGCGCGCGTGGATGCATCGTAAGAAAAACTGCCATCGTGCTGGCTAGCTCACCTGCGTTACTGCGACGGAGTTGATGCCGCACTCGTTTACCCTCGCAACTCTTTGACGAGACGTTGCACTGCTGGTACCTTTCAATTACCTTTACTTACTGCGCTTCTGCCACGTTTTCCGCTCCTCTCTATTCTTCGTTTTCCGTATTATTGGCTTTCTGAGAAGTATTGTCTCATTCGTTCTATTTTTTTTCTGATTCGCCTTGAAGGTGTCCCCGGCGCCAATCTTGTACGACAGTCATTCTGTGGGGAATTTTGATTGCTGCCTCAACAGCACATTATTTCTTTGTAGCCCCCTTCATGTGAACGGGCGTCTTTTTTATTTGTTTTCCCCCCTAACGCCAACATAAACTTCGCAAGAAATACGTATGTACGCGTGCATGGCGGCTGCTCTCTTCCACGTCACGCAACGCAACACCGCAATGGAGCCACTCGTTTGTCATTTCGCAGCGTGTCTTTTGAGGCCCCATGTTTGCTGTGGCCCCACAGCATTGCGGAGCGTTGCACATGCGTTGCTGCAAACCGCTGACCGAGAAGGTGAAAAGCTCACCGCAGTTCTTTTTCTTTTCCTTCTCTCTCAGCGCTTCGAAGCTTCCGGTGTTGCCTCTGACGATCGATGTCTGTCAGGTTCAGTAACATGAAGGCAACAACAAAAGCAAAATGCAGGTGCAATGCAGCCTTGGTACTTCTCACCGCATATTCCCCCCCCGGTCTTTCTTTTACGTGCAACCCTTTTTTCTGTTTTTTTTTCTCTTTGGCATCCTGTCTACTGACCTCGGATGTGTATACGCTTCTACGAATTGGCTACGCACTGTTTTTTTTTTCCCTTTCCCCTACGAAGGAAGTGCTGACGGTTGTTGTCCTTGACGTAACGCACGGCATCCTCAGCAGCAAGGTGGCTAACGTTTGCTTAGCGTCTTAAGATAATCTTTTGTTGCGGTTGCTGCGGAAAGCTCCGTTGTATGTATTGTTCTCATCATGGGACAGTCGCTGAATCCTTTGAGAACCCACGATGAGGTTCCCGATGATGTCAAGGCGACCATTACCCCCATCGACTACACCCCCGCACCGCCTGAGAGCCGTCCCACTGACCACACGGCATGCGACGAGTGCGGCGAGCAGTACGGCTGGTTCTGCTACAGCACCAACTGCGACTGGTGCGGTCGTCAACTATGCACTCGCTGCTGCCCAGACCAATATCTCCTGAAGGGCAATCCCGGTTGCAAGAAATGCACGCGCCGAGCCTTTTGCCTTCGTCGTGAGGAGATGCTGGCGGACCATCTCGAAGATGCGGGGATGCGACTGCAGCATCCGCGTGCGGCTGCGCTGGGATTGCCTGCGGCGACAGACGCCGTTTGTGCAGTTGCTCCAAAGGATGGGAATGCATGCAGAACGAACAATGCTACCATCCGTGCGTGAAGATCGATGAAACAGCTCGACGTCTTTGCACGTGCAATTTCAAATCGTTGAGTGTGCGCTTCTTTTTGCTTGAGCTGGAGTATGAAGCTGACGAAACATGGTGCTTGGTTTTTTCTTTCCTCCCGCTTTGCCACCTTGTTGTTTCGTTGCACCGCGCTGGAGGCCGTAGGCGCTTACTTCTACCCGAAGAACGGCGTTGCCTTTGTTTGCCTCTACGCGTTTTTTTTTTCTCTTCTTCAGGGCGTTTTTGCCCTTTTCCCGTTGCCCAGAAAGAAACCTAACAGAGGCTAAATTGTTCACTTTGTTTTGCGTTACGGAAAGACATGAGGATACGCCGCCGATTTGCGGAGTATATATACTATGAATTGTTCGTCTTGTCTGTGCTCTTCTCTCCGTATGTTTGAGGGTGCAGAACGCGTGACTGGGCTGCTGAGCGGCGAGCTGGAAAGGAGAGGTGGTGGCAGTATCGAAGGCGGCGGAACCCAGTTAAGCATTTCGTTTTGTACTCTTTTTTTTCTTTCTCCGTCAGCGTTTCACGCCGTTCTTCTTTGTTGATTTCTTCTACTTGAAAACTGCTTCGTGTACCACCCTCTCTCTCGCAAAACTGTTAAGGGAAAAACGGCTTTCTGTTATCCTTTTTTGTTGCAGTTCTCTCACTTTGCGCCGAAATAGGAAGACTGAAATCTGACATTGCCGACGACGCCGATGTGGGACAATCAATGTGGCGATGCGCCATCGATGCCTACATGGTCGGCCACCCTCTCCATTCAGATATGCATTTTGCCGGAAAGACACCATTGAGACTCTCTTGTCCTTCGGAATTCTTTCTTCCCGCGTTTCCCTGCTCTGCTGCGGATCACAAATGCTTACGGCTCAAAAATAACGGTGCACTTAACCGCGTAAAACAAATGACGTTGCACTCTCGCAGCAACTGCTTAGGCTCCTGCTGTAGAACACACCTTTCAAGCCAAAACAAAAGGAAACGAAGACAACGCACTTTGAGACCATTGAGGACGATGACTTATCTACACAAGAGGGTCTTCTAGAACGTTTGATACGGAAGCATGCTAGCGCGCCGTGCCTCTGTTTTTTTGCGGGGGGTTGGCGGACGTCGTCTGCATGCCTCGCGGTGCTTTTCCACCACCGCCGTGTTCCACTCCGTGCAAGGCCACACCATCTCCCCAAACTACGAGGTGGTGGGCGATCCTACCAGCCCAGTCGAGGTGCGGGTGTGGAAGAAAGGAGTGGAAGTGGAGCGAACGGCACACGAGCAGCTGCTGCGCATTGCGCACATGGACCCCCACATTATCCCCGCGCCGGTCGCCGTGATGCCGGATGTGCACGCGGGCATCGGCTGCACCGTCGGCCTCGTCCTGCCCACCGTGCGCGCCATCATCCCTGCCAGCGTCGGCGTGGACATTGGGTGCGGCATGATCGCGATGGAGACGTCTCTCACTGCGAACGACCTGCCCAGCTCATTGGAGGATCTTCGCCTTGCGTTTGAACTTCGTGTGCCGCACGGCCGCACCCATGGCGGCAGGAGCGCTGCCGACGCCGGCGGATGGAGGGGCGAGGTGCCCCCCAACGTGCAGAAGGTGTGGAGGGACCACCTGGCCTGCGACTTTGAGGAGCTCTGCCGGCGCTACGGTGTGCTGGAGAAGACGAACCACTTGAATCACCTTGGCACCCTTGGCACGGGCAACCACTTTATTGAGATCTGCCTGGACGAGCAGCAGCCGTCTCCGCACGTATGGGTGATGCTGCACTCCGGGTCGCGGGGGGTGGGCAACCGAATCGGCGCCGTCTTTATCGAGCTGGCGAAGAAAGACGTCGGCGCGCAGCTGAGCCGCCTGCCCGATGAGGACTTGGCGTATCTGCGCGAAGGGACGAAGCACTTTGACGACTACATCTTTGCCGTAGACTGGGCGCAGCGGTTTGCGTGGTGGAACCGGCAGGTGATGCTGGACGCCGTGGTGGACGCGATGCGGGAGTGCATTCCCGTGCCCTTCGCCACCATCAAAGCAGCTGTGAACTGCCACCACAACTACGTGGAGAAGATGCAAATTGTGGTCCCCCCTTCGGCTTTGCCATCAAGAGAGAGGGCGGATGGTGTAGCGCGGTGTGGTGAAGGGCGGTTGCAAGATGTGTGGCTCACACGCAAAGGCGCCACCTCTGCGCGGCTGGGCGAACTCGCCGTCATTCCTGGCTCTATGGGAGCTCGCAGCTACATTGTGCGCGGCAAGGGCAGCACGGCGAGCTACTGCTCCTGCTCCCACGGCGCAGGGCGTCGCTACAGCCGTGGCGAGGCGCGCCGCCGCTTCACGGTTGCCGACCACGAGATCGCCACGTCTGGGATTGAGTGTCGCAAGGATGGCAGCGTGTTGGATGAGACCCCCGCGGCGTACAAGGACATCGACGCCGTGATAGCGGCCCAGCAAGATCTCGTGGAAGTTGTGGCGGTCCTGCGACAGGTTTTGTGCGTGAAGGGGTGATGATCGCGGTGTTCCCTTCTCTCTCCCCCCCCCCCAAAGGGAGAAGAACTCTTTATGTTCTGGTGCAAACCGTTTGCTGTCTTGATGCTCTCGAGTGCTCGTTTCCTTCACGGACTCACGTTTTCACATATCTTAAAAAATGTAAATGAAAGATAGCTTTCTCTTCTCCCTTTGTTGGCGCCACACAACTACGTTGACATTAAAAAGTCTCACAACAGCATTGCGTTGTGAAGCATCGCGGCAGCTTGCGAGGACATGGTGAAAGGGAAACCAACAGCGAAAATGAAGCTAAGCTACGTGGTGGACCCATCTTTCTCTCATGATGCTTGCTGCTTTCTGTCTCTTGACCTCGGCTCCTTTCCCCATTCGTTTTCTTGAATTTCTTTTGAGTTTCTCTCTGAGTTCCTGCTTGTTGACGTTGCTTTCTGACAGAACGGGAAGGCGTAGTTAACGGAGGACTTTCCCATGAATTTGAGGGTTTTCATTTGTCGTTACATTTTCTCTTTAGCCCCAATCAACTGAGTAAGAAGAAAGGAAAAGGTTCATTTTTTCCCCGTACGTGTGTGGCGAAACCGCAGGTTGACTTCCGTTGTTGTTTTCTTTTTCTCTTGATCAATGAAACGTGTTCGTGATGAAGCCGAGGCCACGGCGGCGCCATCATCAAACGGGCAAGCCGTTCCAGCACCTTCCCCCGTCGCAGCGTCTACCATCGCTTCCTCTTCCACTTCCTCGTCCTCCCCCCACGCCCTTCACTTTGAAGTGATCTACAGCATCACCTCTCGGCGTAGCGGGTCTCTGGAGGCGGAGCGGGCTGCAGTGCTGTCGCGCCTGCTCGGTTCGGCTGCCGCAGCGGCCTCCTCGTCGTCCACCGCTGCCTCCCCGCCCTCTGCCCTCGCCCCGACTGTGGCGGCGGTGGCGGCCAACGTGTCGGCACTGCTGGAGGATGAGCTGTCTGTCTGCCTCGGTGGCCGCACGCGTGAGCTTGTCTATCAGCAGCTGCTTCACAGCAGTGAGGAAGGTTCCCTTTTGCGCTTGTTGACGGTGGAGTTGGTGGCGAACGACGGCCGCACCCTCGTCTTGGCATCTCCACAGACCCACCTGAGTGGCGGGGCACCCTCTACCACAGCACCGCCACCGCTGCTGATAGACGTTGCGGGCGCGGAGGCGAGCGAGGAGGTTGTGGCGCACCCTGCTGATCTGTTGCTGCTCCGCTGCCAGCCTAGGAAGCCGGTCGCAGACGGTGAGACGGCGACGACGGACGCCGCAACGGCACCGTCTTCTTCCGCTGCAACGGAGGTTGCGACACACGTGGAATTCGTGACTTTCAACACAGCCCTCTTCACCGCACAGGACGTCGATCTGTGGCGGGAGGCGGTGCATGGCAGTGTTGTGGTCGTGGTGCGCTGGCTTTCCGCGTTGCTGGAGCAGCCGCCTGGGCTGGCGCAACTCGCCTTTTTAGAAGCCGCCGCCTCCTCGCTCAGTGCATCCGTGACGACGGGGGCGAAGGGCATAGCCATCGCGGCCACCGAGGGGTGGCGGCGAGCGCTGCAGCTACCTTTGCTGCTGCGTGTCAAGCCGGAGGTGATGCGGAGCGCGGACATGGAGACACTGGATCGCCTGCGCCGCACCATCGTCTTCGCCCTCGAGACGATCCTTGGCGTTTTTCTCCACGTTGAGTCCGCTATGCGGCTGCCGCGCTTGTGCCAGCGTCTCGTCTACCTCTTCCTCGCCTCCCCGCTGTTCGTGGACGGTGCGTCGCAGGTGTCGATGCAGCTCATCGCCACCGACGCGGTCGCGTCGACCCGGCAGTCCATTGCGCAGACGCTGCAGTCGTGTGTGCAGATGGGCCTGCAGTACGCCAGCGCCGCCGCGGCGTTGATGGCCGACGCTGCCGCCTCCACCGCCGAGCTGCGCCGCAGTGTTCAACAGGCCCGCAACGGGTATGAGGTGGTGCTCTCCCGCCTTTCGCACGTTTGGCTGCTGCACTCGGCGAGTCTGAAGAGCAAGCGAGCTGCAGGAACCACGACGGGCCCGGAGGCCGCGATTTGTGAGGTGTTGGAGTCGGTGGCGGCGAGTGGTGTGTTGCGGCAGGTGCTGCGGTGGCTGCAGCTCGAGGAGGACATGCGGCGCGCACACGACCACGTTGACAGCAGCCGCATGGGAGACACGGCGGACGCCATCACCGAGCTGCTCTCTCCGCCGACGCTGCGACAGCTGCAGGAGGGGCGCTATTTGCAGGAGCGAACCGTTGCGGAGCAGCTCACGGCGCTGCGGCGCACCTACAACCCGTACCTCAGTCACGAACTGCAGCAGTTTTTGAAGGGCACCGCTGTCGCTGCGTACGCCGAGTTGTACGGCAACACGGCGGCGGCGGTGCGCCGTGTCACGAAGCTGACGGAGGGAGCCGCGGAGCTGCAGCACTTAGGTCGACTAGACGGTGTTATTGCCGTGCCGTTGGAGACGGTGGACGCGGTGGGTGTGCGTGGTGGCGGCTTAGCTGAGTACTGCCTGACAGAGGTGCAGCAGCACGCCGCCTTTGGGTTGCCCGTCCGCCTTAATTTGCATCTCCCGTCTGGGCATCAGCAGCATCAGCTGAACACGCTGGAGGCGACGCTGCAGGCAACCCGCTTCACCAGCGAGCCGGGGGTCTGCAGGGCAGATGCTTCCCTGTTTGCCTACGCCGTGGTGCAGCTGAACGGACAGTGGATCGCGTTTCCGTTGGTTCTCACGCAGCTGAACCGCGAGTCACAACTGCACCAAGACAGGGAGACGAACGCCAACAGCAATAAGAGGAACGCGAAGAACACGGCCAACCTCATCGCACACGTCTTGCGAGACGGTGACATGTTGGCAGATTTCGTCACGACGAGCGCCGCAACCGCGGAAAACGGCCGGGCACAGGCGTGGGTGGTGGTCGGCGAGGAGGCCAACGTGCACCGCCGCACCCCGCATCGCCGCCGCGCCGCTGCCGCTGCTTTCCTCAACGCCGGCGCCGACGCCCCGATGGAGCGGCTGTTGCCCTCCGGCACGCCTGCCCTGACCTACATGGACTGTCTGCGTCGCCTGCACGCCCTCTCCATCACGGTGCGGCAGTGCAAAGCGAGCACGAACAGCAGCAGGCGCCGCTCGGCGGGGGGCGGCGGCAGCGCCGTGGTGGGCCCGATGGATCGCCCGTTCGACCCCAACAGCGCGACGGGGCTGTGGATGGAGCACTTCATGGACGGCGTCGTCCCGCTGCAGCGCTACGTGCCCTCGCTAGCCCCGCGCGTGGCCTCTTTGCTCTCCGGGAGTGGGGCCACGGCGGGCGTTGCGGCACCGGCGGCCGGCAAGCAGTCGTCCGCCGCTGCCACCGCCGTCTCTCTGCAAACCCTCCTCGCCTCGGTGAACGGCACGGTGCGCTTCTCCTCCGCGCAGGTGGAGGCGCTCTACTCCCTGACGGCGGGCACCGGCTTAACCGCCAGCAGCAGCGCCGCCTTTCTCAGTCCCCCCGCTCGCCCTGGGGCGACCAGCAGTGGCCCCCAGGGAAGCAAGCCCGTTGCGGTGAAGGTGGTAGACGGGTGCACGGGCAGCGGAAAAACCTCCATTCTGTACGCGTCGGGGCTGCTGCGGGGCAAGCTGCACGCTGCAGCCCGTCACGAGCAGCAGCGCTGTGTGCAGGCGGGACTGAAGCAGGCGGTGTCGGCCGTGCGGCAAGCAGCCGAGGCGCTGCGGCGCGCGTCCGTCACGGAGTTGTTTGCCACGTCGCCGGAAGCGCGGAATGGGCGCAATCCTCTGGAGGAAGCAAGCCTTCTATCTACTGAAGCGCGACAGCAGTATCAGCGGCTGAACGAGGGGTTCCTGTACTGCTCCACGCCGTTCATGCTGCGTCCAGCCGCCGTCACCTCCACGGTGCCAGAAGCCGTTGAAGAGCTCCTCTTCAACAACACGCACGACGAGAGGGGGGACGAGGGAGGAGAAACGGAGGCGGCTGTGTGGGCGCGCGGCGAGGTGAATTCCATAGCGACGCTGCTCAGAGAGTCGCACGAGCGCTCCCTCAAGGCGCCACTGGCCGCGCAGCTCAACGCGCAACTCCAGTTGTATCTTGCAACGGGGAGGTGGAGCGGCCGCTGCCGTGCCGCGGGCAGCGTCGCGACGCCGCTGCTGGCGCTGACCATGTCCGCTCGTGAAACAGCCGATGTAATGGCGAGCGCAGCAGCAACCGCTCCATCCGAGCGTTCTTCATCAGGTACGTGGGCAGGTTTCATCGCGGCTCGCTTCTGGCCGGACAGTGCGGTAGCCGACTCGCTAACTCGTGTCGATGAGTCCGGTAATGAGGAGGAGGAAGCAGGGCAGGCACAGCAAAACGCCTCCGGGTGGGAGGTGCTGACTGCGGCGCCGGATGACCGTTTCACGCCCGTCTCCATGCCGCCCACGACGCGCCTCTCTTCCCTGTCCACCGAGCAGCGGGAGGGGTGGCACAGCGTGTACCTCGACAAGCAGGTGGAGCTGGCCCAGCACGTACACGCCGCCGTGCACGAGTCCGTCAAGTCGATCTTTCAGGTTTTTCTCGACTTAGTGTTTGGTGTCGCGGCGGCTTCGCAGAGCACGCGGCACGCCTTGTTGACCGCAACGCCGGTCGAGCTGACGCAGGGCATGCAGCTCCCCTATCTGTGGTGTTGGCAGCCCTCACACGTTTGCATCGACGACCTCGATACGGTGCAGGACGGCATCTTCGCCATGTTGACACCGGCGTCGAGCGTCGTCTATACTCTCACAGCTGAGGTGCCGGCGTTCCAGGAGCGACGCCGCTCGCACGAGCGGGTGGTGCTGGCGCTTGTGCGGTCGCTGCGCACGGAGCTGCAACGTGTCGGCGCCCTCACCACTACGGCACTGCGCGAGTCCCTGCGGTGCCGTCGGGCAGAGGTAGAGACGGTGCTGCGGTACTCCACGCAGGACTCCCGTGCGCTGGCCAAGCCGCTCGAGGGAGACCCCGAGAGTGAGGAGAAGGACGGCACGGAGCACAAAGACGGCGAGGAAGCGGAGCAGCAACCAAAAACACTCGACCTTGCCGCTCCTCCGCCGGCGTTTCCTGGGTTGGCGTCGTACAGCGCGGTCGAAGTGTGGAGTCACGGTGTGCCGATGGACGACTGCGTGGCGGCCGATGCCGCGGCTGCCGTGTTTCTCATGTCCCACATTTCCAGCTACTGGGGGCGGAGCGGCCCGGCCACCTCGCCGCTGTCGTACGGCATTTACACGAATACGGCCGCTGCGGCGGAGACCGTGTCGGAGGCCCTTGTGTCGTCGTCGTTTTCCCTGACCAGTGCCTCCCAAGGCGGGCAAAGGGCCGGATCATCATCGTCGACGTCGGTGGTGCGAGTGTGGAAGGAGTCCCTGGAGGACATGGGAAGTGAGACGTCGTTTGCTGCCGCCACCAACGTCGCCTCCGTCGCGTACACGAACCTGGAGGAGGCGGAGTGCGAGACAGACGTCGGTGTGGTGCTGCTCTCCGGACTGCTGGACGTGGTCATTGGGGCACTGAAGAACAACCCGGCGAGTCACCGACCCGATGTGCGGCAGCAGCAGTGGCGTCAGCTTTGGGCCGAAGCCTCCGACGGTTCGCCGTCGCTTTTTGTGACGCGGCTGCAGTGGTGGCTGTGGCGCCTGCTGCGCCGTGTGCGCCTCGGCGTCTTCTTCATTGGCAGCCGGGAGGTCTTCACCTGTGTGCCGCTCTTCGCCAAGGTGGAGTCGTTTGTGCGGCTGCAGCGCCGTCTGCTTTCGCCAAAGGACGACCGTGCGTACTGGCTGCCCGCGGGGATCGGCGCGAGTGTGCTGGCGATGGTGTGCCCCGACCACTTCAAGTTTCGCTGCACCGCCACCGTGCAGGAGCGCGAGGCCGGTGACGACGAGGTGGAGTCTGAGCTGGCGGATCAGCTAGAGGTGGAGGTGCAGAAACGTGGGGCCGAGAAGTGCCTGTCGCTGTGCCTCAAACCGTACGAGGGCTGCTCAAACCCGTCCCACGCGTGTCTACAGCCGTGCCACGTGCAGCGTCCTCTCGACCACCACCATTCACTTTCTTCACACGCCGAGCCGGGCGCTGAGACGCACGACGCGGCGGCGACGGAGCGCGTCTTCCACGCCTGCTGTCCCTACCCGTGTGGAAACGTGCTGCCATGCGGGCACGTCTGCCACCGCATCTGCGGCCTCCCCTGCGAGCCGTGCACCTTTGCCGGCCTCACAGAGCTGTCGTGTGGGCAGCGGGTAGTGAGTGGGATGGAGAACAAGGTGCTGCAGTACACCGTGTTTCACCACTTCCAGGAGCGGCGCTGCGGGGAGGCGACGGCGCCGTGTCGAACGCCGGTGTCGGTCCCGTGCACCCGCTGCGGCGCGCGGACTATGATACGGTGCCACCACGTCACGGCGCAGCAGGCGCGACGTCGCAACGCGGCAGCCGAGGAGCGCGCCGCACACGCCGGTGAGGCGGAGAAGGAGACCGGCGACGGTGTCGACAGCGACGAAGGCGCCTTCGTGATTGGCGAGACGGCCTGCGCCGGATGCGTGGCGCTGTATAACAAGGTGGCGACGAAGTACGGCTACGAGTTGCTGCCGATGCCGCCGACCGACCTGACCCAGAGAACGACAGCGGTTGATCATCCAGGGGACGCGGACAGCCACGGGGACGAGGAGCAGGCGGAGGCGGAGGACGATGATGACGACAGCGGCGACGCCCCGGGTGCATCTCTGCCGCGCCATTCCTTGTCTATCGAAGCACAAGCCGAACTGCGCCGCGAGTTCACCACCGCTGGCAAAAAGATGGAGCTCTTGGTGATGAAGGAAGCACTGGAGATCAGCAGCGGCCGGGCCACAGAGAAGACGGACTACGCCGTGTTTCGCGCCGAGTACGAGACGCTCAAGACGACGCAGGCAGCGCAGGAGAAGGCGTGGAAGGACGCACACCAAGCCGATATGGATGCGTGGGCGACGAGGCTGCGCAAGGCGCTGACGACACAGTACGCCGTCAACACGGAGCTCGACACGATGATGCCGCGACTCGTGTCGGACGCCACCGACGAGGCGGAGGTGCAGCGACTGCAATTTGTTGAATGAGGTGAACAGTTGGGATACATTTGCCTTTTGATAGAGTACCTCGATGATGCGGTGCGACCCCGAGGCGCCCAACGAATGGGGGGAAGGGGAAAACAAGAGGAAGCATGAGCCGTGCTGAAATGCGGGTAACACGCGGCATTTTCACTTCGTTGTAAGATGGGAAATCGCGCCGACGAGCGCTTGTCATTAAACTGAGCTACTTTTGCAGTCATCAGATGATAATGCCGACAGAAATCATAGTACTTATAATAAGCAGAGCGTTTAAGGCGAAATCTTGAGGGATCGGTTTACCTTTTGTAGCAAGACGTGCTTACGATGTGCATCGTGTCTTTCTTCTGCTTTTTTCTGCTGAATATTTCTCCTGCTTGATTTTCCCCTCTCCTCTAGCCTCTCTCCTGTTCTTTCTTACCTACTCTCCACGCCATTCCTCACTCCCTCACCCTCAGAAACCTGCGCACCTTTGTTCCTCGTTGCCTGGAAAAGCACTCCCCCTCCCCTTCCCTAGACCGCATAGAGGTGAGGTTTCAGCACCCGCTTTTGGTTGTTACTGCAAAGTAAATGCGCGGATGTGGTTCTCTCGTGATGCAGCGACCTCGCGGACAGGCGGGCTTTACCTCCACCCGCTGCTTCTGCGCTGCCCCTGCGGTCGCTCTACGCGTTAGGCTACCCCCCTCTCGGCGCTTCTCACCGCTGCCAAGACGCCGAGGTGCCATGACGTATGGAAGTACCTTACACGCCTTCCCTCACCTGACCTCCGCGGTGCGCTTCGCCTCGGAGTGTGCCGTGCCGAGCGGGGTCTTCGTCCGCTTCCAGCCAACCCCCAACGACGCGTGCTACAAGTTTTATGTGGACGGGATGACCTTCTTGCCTCCCGGCACACATACCGTGATGTTTGATAGTACAAACAGCTATCAGTCACCTCTGGCCCGGACGTTGCTGGATGCCCTGCCCATGGTCCAGGAGGTCACGGTCGGGACAAGCTTTGTGACGGTGCGGCGTGTCGAGGAGTCCGACGCGAGGGCTGCGGCACGCCTTTTTGTCATAAAGTGGAACAACGAGCAGAGTGAGCAAGGGGTGGAGGAGGCGGCAGCGGCAGCACACTCGCAGGCATTACAGCAGCATGTCAATGACGTGCGCGACGAGACAGAAGATGAGGCACGTCGTGCGGCAGCTGAACCGCTTCATGGAAATCGTTCGTTTCACGCAAGTCTAGACAGCGCCTCTTCTGCTTCCGCGCCATCCGGCGCTGCGGCGGAGGCGCCCATCGAGCTGGGCGGCTTCACCGTCTCCCCCTCCACACAGGATGAGCAAATCGACGAGTCCGCAATCGAGGCGCTTATCGCCGCGACAGACTGGTCGGATTTGAAGTTCCACGTCAGCGCTCTGTTAACGGACCACATCAGCAGCGGCAGCCCGCACGTCGACCCGAGTGCACCGAACCCGCATGCCGACACCGTCCCCGAGGAGGGTGACGCGGAGGTGGTGCTGATGATTAAGGAGCTCGTGGCGACGACGATCCGCCCTCAACTGCAGGACGACGGCGGTGATTTGCGCTTTATCGGCTTCGACGCCGACAGCGGGGAGATGCGGGTGGAGCTGCTGGGCGCCTGTCGCACGTGCAAGAGCAGCAAAACAACCCTGGTGGACTTGATCGAGCGCACGACACGGCACTGGATCCCCGAGGTGAAGGCGGTGAAGGATGTGTCTCGCGTGGTTTCGTTCAATCAACGTTACGCGGAGGAGGCCATGGCGGAGGTGGAGAGCAGTCGTTCCGTGGCAGACCTACTACAGGACATGGAGGTGCAGGAGAGTGGGGGCAACGAATTCGGCGAGAAGGCGTCGCGGACTGTGCAGTTCACCCCGTCCCCTGCAAAAGGCTCCTCGAATGCGGGCTACCGAGTTGTGCGCGAAGTCAAGGCTTCCGCACCTGCTGCGGACGACGGTAAGAGCGCAGTCGTCAATGCAGAGGCTTCTTCTTCCTGAGCTCCGACTCCATTGGATTCCCGAAGAAAAAAAAAAAACGAGGAAAAGAGATAACCGATTCGCTGCCATCACGGTGATCGCTGATCTGCAGCATTTTTTAAATTCCTGGTCAGGCTTCGGGGCCGAACAAGAACAACAACAGCAAAAAAGGATGGTAGTAACGCTCTTGGGTCCTTCGTGATGCAGCCGGGAGATCTATGCATGCGGAAGGCTGCGTTTCAACACGTCTTAGTCTCTTATTCATTTCTAATTGACGAGCGCCGTTGCGGCGGCATATCACTTTCATCCCTTCACATACTGTGCTATCGACGCATTCTATGCTTTTCATTGAAGAAGAGTGGAGAAGAAAAGAGAAAAGAATCACAAGTGACTCCAAGACACTTTCAGATGCACCCACTGGTGATGAGGATTAAGATTTCTTGCGGTGCATCAAGCTGGAGAGTGTTCTCAGAGCTCAACCATCTCGCTAAACCGTTGAGAGCTGACGGCGTAGTGGTCCTTAGTTTTCATTTGAGAAAAGGAATACCGATTGCTGAGTGTCGCGGTCCCTTCAGTTTTGCTCCAATGCTGTTGATGGCGTCGGTTTCAGTGAAATGCGTTGTCTAGCAAAACTACCGCGTTTTGTTTCTCTTTCTTTCAACACCCCCGTTTTTTTTCTTTTTGACGTTACCTTATTTGACCTAGCGCGCCTTCATCACATCTACATGCAGCTGTCGAGCCGCCGACGCTCTTTTCTTCAAGGGCAAGCGGCGAGACAACACAACAACCACAGACATAGTACCCTTCACGGGCGTTCACCAGGCTTTCAGGGCAGGTGGAAACACTTATCACTTGTTTGCTTCAGAACACCACTCATGCTTTTGTCGGGCCTCCCTCTCGTGGTAGAACTGTACGCTGCTGACAGGAAGAAGAAGAGAAACCAAAAAGGCGTAGTTATGGGACTTTTTGCTGGATAAATGCAAGGTGGGCGAAGCCGAACATGATACGTGGTGTCGTCCGCGTCGTGCAGGTCTCCGTCGCGGGTGATGTTTCTGCTTCTTGAAAACTGCCTCTCTTGTTTTCCGGGTTACGATGCCCTTGTTGACTCGTTTTCGCTGTCTCGGTGTCCATTTCATCGGCCTTTTCTGAGTCGATCGGACGATTATCTTCGCTGGTTGCAGCAACGCTCGCGGGCCGAGTGATCTGCCAGCTCCATCTCACGTTCAACAAACCACTCCCTCCCACACACACACGCACCGCAAAAGAAGTAGAAAAGCACATATCCTGGAATTGAATTTCGAGTAGCTTTTGGTGGATGAAATAGGCGTGGCGGCAACGGAAACTTATGAAGATTGCCGTGACACGTACTCTGCACCTGCGTTTCTCTCCGCATGCTTTATCACTCCCCATCTCATTTATGCCTTTATTCCTCCCGTCATCTGTTGGTTTTGGTTTGAGTACACGCCGCTAAGCTTCTTGAGTACCCCGTGTTGGAGGTGCGATCATGACACGTGCATTGTAGTTCAACCGCCCTCGATTTCTCTTCCGAGAGCTTCTTTTTACTTCGATATTCAACGGTAAAGAATAGCAGTTGTTTTGTAAAAGCGAACAATGCGGAAGACCGTCGTGTTAGCTGAGCGCGAGTCTTCTTTCGTTGCCACCGTCCGCGAAGACATGCCTTACCGCTGGTCCGCGCTAGACTTCTCCGTCCACCTCATCGGATCTCTCCGCCTCAATCAGATCACCTACCTCCCGCCCACCTCCCTGGAGGAGCTGAGGAACTACGATGCATCCGCCGGCGCGTCACCAGCCCTCGTGCACTCTGTTCGAGCGATAGTCCGCACCGTCACGGCGAACAACAAAGTGGAGGACTTCGTCCTTGCGTGCTTCCCATTGGAAGTGAGCCGTTTAACGAAGGCCGAGCTCTTCACGGTACCGCCGACGGCGAAAAGCGCGGAAGCAGCCGCAGCGGATGATTTACCCCACACCGGCTCCGTCACCGCCGCCGTGCACCCTGCTTCGTCCAACGCGGAGTCGGGGCCCTCACCGCGTCTGCCGTCCATCTCCTCACTTCTGCCGCGGCGACGCGATGCTTTTGAGCACTTGACGAACACGTTTGTGCTGCCCTGTGCCACGGATGTGGCTTCAGGGTTGGATGTACATGTGGGGCTGGACGGGTTTACCGAGCTGCGGGTGGAGGGCCCGGGGACGGTGGTGTTTAGCGGCGAGGAGAAGCTTGGTGTGCTCAACCCCAGCAGAGGTGAGTACAGCTTTCAGTGAATTGGAAGTGGTTGGCTCCCGCGCTGTGATCGCACCGCAGCCATCGCCACATCACTGTCAGCTAGAAAAACGGTGAGAGAAGGAGGCACTTTAACGCATCGATTAAGAGTAGTCACACACATAAATGCACCCTCCCTAACAGTGCCCTTTGACTAAGAAATCCTCTTTAATAAACGGTCGACGCCGTCAACGGTGGAGTCGGAAAACAGCAAGAGAACACGGTGTGATACGCATCGCGGATTCGCTTTGAGTTTACCGAGGAGCTCCGCTGGGGAGACGGCATTCTGACGAGTACCCACGCCTTGCAACGTCATACGTAAGCAATGCCGAAGAGGACGAAACAAATGAGCAAATACGCAGCGTTCCGTAGCTTTTTGCTGTGCCTCGTTTCCGTTTTTATGTTTTCCGGGAAGCTTTAAGAGGTGCAGCGGAGAGAGAGAACGCCGCGTCAGTGCTTTCACTCTGCCGTCGAAGGTGCGGATGCGGGCCGCACACGCTTTTTTTTTCCCGGCGCTGTCCAGCGCTCTTTGATGCGTGGCCTTCTGTTCATCTTCCCCCACTCCCCCCTTTGCCTCTGCTTCCTTCGCAACCTTTTAACCACGAATGCGGCACTCCCACACACGCTGCTGGGGTGACGGTACGTGCAGCTCCCCCTCCCCCCACCACCTCTAGCGTTCTCTGCCTTACTTTTGCGCTAACACGAAGAGAAGAAGGGCGTCAAACCGGAAACGCACAACTCTGGACGCCTTCCGCGCCAGTGCAGCCGAAGGTGCGTCGAGAGAAAGTCGCAGCAACCACAGATGAAAGTCATCGTGCACGGTGGTACTCTTTTTTTCGTTTCTCCCCCTCTCTCTCGTTGCTCGAACGCAGACGATCCTCCAGAACCTGCGTCTTCTTATTTTCGGAGCCGCACTTGATTTGTTATTTTTACCATCGCGTTTGCTTAAGCGCACTTCTGCAAGTGCTTCTTTCTTCGGTTTTTCTTTCTTCTTGCTTTGCTCGTGCAAACGCTTCCTTCGTAGTAGAAAGGCGAAGTACAGAAAAATTTTGCGCTCTCCTCGTCACAGCAACATCGCTGTCACACGTGTGTAGCTCGCCATGGCTTCTTTATTTTTTCCCTGCACCGATACTTTCTATTGCTCTGCTTGGTCGCGTTATTGTTCAGGGGCGCAACGACTGCTCTTGAGTTTTTAGCTTTTACTTGACTATCGTAATTCAAAGAGAGAAAGGTTCGTGCGGTCCTTCTGCGTTGCAGCCTTGCAGCGCACGCCGGAATTTGCGCGCACACAGACACACAGACACACACACACATCCACACGATGAGTGCTCGACGCCACTCCTCCAACAACACCAACTCCTCATGGCCGTCCCGCTCGCTTTCCTCCGCGTCCGAGGCCATCTTCCCTACGAGGAACGCCGGCGCCGTACCACCTCTGTTAGGACTTCAACAAGTGGCCGGTAACACCTTTTCCATGCGAGAGATGACGGTGTCATGGGCCTTGCCTGTCAACACCCTTGATGAAGCAGCGACCGCAGCGACCGCCACTCACTCCCCGCTCGTGCGGCCCGAACCGTGCTTGCCTTCGCAGCTTCCAGCAAACACAGCAGCAACGATGACAACAGCAGAGAGGACGTCAGCCGCTGCCGCAGCAGCGACTTCGTGCATTACGTCCAACACATCACCGAGGGCGGGGTGGCCTGAGCGGTTCCCGGCGCCACTGTCTTCTCGTACCACTCCTCGTTCGATGCATAACGGAGCATCGAATCAGTTTAAGCATGCACCGCATGACTTACAGCAGCAACTACAGGGCACTAGCTCTGTTGAAGCAAACATGTTTTCCCGCCGTTTCCGTGCGTCTGGCCGACGCTGGAAGGGCCGAGCGGCAACGTCTCCGCGCCAGCCGCTGCAACCAACCACCACAAATGGGAGTTTTCCACACGCACAGGGGCTGGCGGACGCTGTGGCAGGTGCGACGTCGCGTTCCGCCTCAGTTTCGCCGGTTGGTGCACTAAACAGCGTCGACGCGTTCTTGAGTCCTCCTACGTTTGACCCCATAGAGCACCGTGCGCAGGAGATGATAAGCTGCGCCTACCAGTGCGCACGGTCTTGCCATTTCGGCACACACGTGCCCATCTCCTGCACGATGAGTAGCTGTCCCGACACGAGTGACGCCACAACACTTCTGATCGCTCCGCATCAGCCGCTGCTGCCCTCCGCGATGAATGGAACGAGGCGCGTCGCCGTCCACCACAGCTCTTCCCTGTCTCTGTCGCCCCTGCTGTCCGCGCAGCACGCAGATGGGAGAAGCTCCCAAATGCCGCTTCTCTCTCCCTCTGATGCGGCGGTGCAGCCAGCGCAGATGGATGCCCTCCGAAACCTTTTCCAGCAGTACATCGAGGCGCAACGTGCTTTGAAGCCAGCGTTGCGGCAGCTGCACCTTTCTCCGCACGAACCTCTCCCGCCTGCGTTGCAGGAAGCGGTGCTGGAGAAGGTGCTGAACTTTGCGGCACAGCTGCATCCCCAAGCGCCCCCACAACTGGCACCCGCTGCTTCGGACGGTGACAAGGGGTATCCTCTACGCCACAGACCCCCCAGTGGTTCGTCTTACACGGACTCGATGACGTCTTCAACAGCACAAGCAGAGAGGCAGAAAGCGACGCAGAGGGACACGCCACGGCAGCGTGTGGTGCAGCGCAAATGTGAAGACGTGGGCTGGGATGCCATCCTGCCTTTTCTTGCCGACCCGCCCGTCGGTGCACACGCCACACTGCGTGCCGTGGGACCGGGAAGTCGGCGCCGCCTCGAGCAACACGCGTGGAGTTGGATGGTGGAGGAAGTGCGCGCGGTTGTCTGCCCTTTTATCGTGGAGAACGGCGCGGAGATGCACGTGCGGGACTCTTACGCACGACTGGACGGGCGCGAGCGTCAGTACGTGGGGAGTGTGCCGGTAGCTCGACGGACCCCTGTGCCGGTGCCAAGGCACGAAACCACCCCAGAGGAGCGTCGGCTGCTGGACGGGACGGTGCTGCTTGACTGCGAGCGGCAGTCTCTGTTACTGGACCGGGCGTGGCGTGAGGGTTGGCTGCACCGCCGCTCCACCTCGCACCTGCTCTTTCTCAGCCCGGCGTTCGCGCAGCCCAACTCCCTGCGCTTTCTGCGCCTCAATCCCTCCCGCGTTCACGTCGACGGCGTTTGCTGTGACGTGCTGCGACCGAGGCGCCATCAACCCCACAACGCCCACGGAACCGACAGCAATGTCGCGGTGGGCGTAGCAGGCTCACCAGGCTTGGGAGACGTCCATGCCAGTACGGTGTCCCGTGCAGGTTTAACCCCGCCAGTGCCGCCCTTGCTGGACGGCCGACCAGCCGCGGAGTTCCGCGTGACCCGCAAGCTGCTCGGCGACGCCGTGAGCGCCATCTCGCGTGAGCGGGCCCGCAGCGCCGAGGTCGCCACACGCCCACAGCTGTCGCTCCGGCTCACCTCCCTCTCCACGACCGCCGCCGCCCGCGCAGCGCAAGAGCTCGCGAACTCTCCTGCGAGCACGTCGTCGCTGGACGCTCCGCACGTGATGCAGCTGGGCACTCTGCACAACGGCGACAGTTGCAGCAGCAGTGGTGGTCGTGGTGAGGTCGTCAGTACACAGCAGGAAACACCGAATCTCTTCTGTACTCCTTCCCCGCACCACCCATGCTTTCGGCACGAGGCGCTACCGGTTGTGGTGGAAGACGTCAACGGCGCCACCCACGTCTTCTGCACGCGCGCCACGTCGATGGAGTCCGATATGATGCGTGGGCTGATGCGTGGGTGGCTGCAGCACCATCACCGGCTGCGCCGTCAGCCCCTCTACAGCACCGCCGCCGACTTTTTGCTGGTGGGAGCCGCCACGCAGCGGAAGAGCGGTGCTCTTGCGGAGGCTGACGACGTCGACTACGTGGTGTGCACCGCGATACCGTCCGCGGCGGAGGCGGCGGCTCTGCACGGAGACGCCACGGCGCCTTCCTCGCTGCGTGGAGCACACGCCGCCGAAGCGACTCAACACACCGAGACTGCTGTGACGATTGGCGGCGATGAAGGCAAAAGGGTGATGAAGGATACTGCTGCCTGTCCTGTGCTGCTGCGCGACGTTGAGCAGTTGGGCTGTGTGGCGTCCCCGGCTTCTGGCTTGCAAGAGAACGCACACCGCACCGCCGCTGCTGCGCGCCTCTTCCACGTTCGTCTGCAGGAGTGGCGCGCAAAACGCGAAGACGTCGTGCGGCGGATGGACACTGTCGACCCGTCGTGGCTGATGGTGGGCGACTGCCGTGGCCCGCTGCCCCGACCGCTGGCCCTCCACGTGACGGAGCAGCACCTGCCTTGGCTGGCGCGACAGCTGTGCCCCGACAGCGAGGGCGGAGGCCTAGCGGACTTGCAGGAGCTGCACCTGTGTGTGGCGGAGTTGCTACTGCCGCCTGGGTGGGTGTCGGCATGGCAGTGGTGTTTGAGCATCCTGCGTAGCCGCCGGAACCTCCTCGTCGTGAGTATCGTGGCAGACGCTTCTCCATCACCCATGGCGCCGGCGGCGGCGACCGGGGAGGACTGCATGAAAAACGTTGACGATTCCACTGTCGTGCCTGCTTTGGAATGCCTCAGTGACACCGCGGCAGGTCCGATCCGTGCGCAGTTCATGGAGGCGCTGTTAGACATTTCCTCTTTGCAAGTGTTGGATTTGCATGGGGTCACCGCTGAGGCGGTCATGCAGCTGCTTCAAGCGCGTACCTCCGCAGAGGCAGCGGGCGGAGAAGCAAACCAGCAGTCTTTCGGTGAGGTTTCCTGCGTCAGACTGGCGCGACTCCGCGATTTGTACGTGACAGTGCGCAGAGGCCACGATGCCGGCGCCGGCCCGCGATCCACCCACTCCGGCGAAGTATTTCTCTCCGCTGCGGTGTTTCCGTCTCTGCAGGTCTTCTGGTTGGATGCGCCGCGGCTGCGCCGCTTTACCTTCGGCACATCCCTTGTGCTGCGAGAGCTGCACCTCGTCTCTGACTCCGTCCTCCTCTGCTCCGCCTTACGTGGAGTGGAGGCGCTACCCTTTCTTGAGGTGCTGCACGTGGAGCGTGCCGTCATTGACGACTGCGCCTTTTTGGGCGACTGTCTTGCCTTGCGGGAGCTGCTGCTGCACGCGTGCCGTCTCTCACCGACGCTGCTCGCTGCATCTGTGGGGGGCGCTGCCAGCGGCGACAGCGGACAGGCGGAGGAGCTCCGTGGCGTCGAGCGGGCCCCGAGCCTGGAGACGCTCTCGCTGTGCTATACGGACGAGGTGAGACAGCTGCGTAACTTTGCGCGGTGTCGCAGTCTACGGCGAGTGCTGCTCACACGATGCAACGGCGTTAGCACCTCCTCTATCGCCGGGTTCGAGTGTTTGCCACGCTTGGAACTGCTGGCGCTAGAGTACACCCGTGTCAGCGCGCTTTCTCACTTTTCCAAGGCACCTGCGTTGCAAGTGCTGCGCGTGGATGGGTGCAAGCGGGTGCTGCGCTCGTCGGTCATGGGACTGGAGATGACCCCGCACCTGCGAGAGCTGTCGCTGCAGGACACGAACGTATCGACTGTGGCCAACTTCGGTGGCGGCTGCACGGCACTGCGGTCGCTGGACTTGAGCGGGTGCCGGCACCTGGACGTGGACGGGCTGCAGGGCATCCAGGCGCTGCCGCAGCTCGAGGTGCTGTCGCTCTCTCACACGCCCATCACCGACGTCGATTTCCTCGCCGACTGTATGAGGTTGACGACGTTGTACGTGGAGGGCTGCACGGGGCTCCTGCCCGCGGCGCTGGAGGAGCTGCGGAGCTCGCCGGTGCTGCGGAGAATCATGGCGAACGGCTGCACCAGCCTAACGAGGGTCGGCCAGCTCGGTCGGTGTCGCCTGCTGGAGGCGCTATCGGTTGCCGGTGCCGTGGCTTTAACGACGGCGGGGACGCAGGGCATCGAGCACAGCCCCCACCTGCGCTTTTTGGATCTTTCTGGCACGGCTGTGCATTCCCTCCGCTTCCTCGCACGCGGCTGCCGAGGCCTGCGCTACTTGAGTGTGCGGGGCTGCCCGCTGATCAGAAGCCTTCGCGAGCTCCACGGAGTCGAGGAGCTGCCACGGTTGCGGACGTTCAACATGGAAAACTTGAGGGTGACTGGCAGCCTCGATTTCTTGACGGTGTCAACGTCGCTGCAGCACGTGTCCTTTAGCGGCTGCGCCGGCCTGACGGAGGAAGACGTGCGTGCGCTGCAGCGCTCCGACATCAGCACCTCCATCCCGTGACCAGCTTCTGCTGTCTAATCGTCGTGCCTGCGTCCTTATTTATCTTTCTTTTACTTGCTCTCTGCAGGTATTTCCACAAAACCCCTTCACCTGAGGAGTAGAACATAAAAGAGATGAAACGTGTGCTCATCACAGTTAGCTGCTTCTATACCGGACATTGGCCGAAAGCTGATAGTGCATCCAAAGACCTGACAGACGTTGACACGCCAAGCAATTAGGATGCCGCGAGTGTGTGTGTGTGTGTGCGTTGCTTCTGATTACCGGGTTTGGTGATTGGTGGCTGCTGTTTTCGTCCGTGTTATCACGTCTTCCTCACCATTTTCTCTCCGCCTACTCCTACGCCCACAGATTTCTCGCTAATTAATAGTATTGTTTTCTTCTGCTGTTGATCTCCATCTGGCTCAGACAACCTCACTCGACGCACTCACCGACAGCGCAAAGCAAAAAAAAAGGGAGACCCTTTCTCTGTTTATTTGCACTCCTCACCGAATCATTTGCAGCTTCAGAAAAATGGTCCTCATGAAGAGTCTCGTGCTGGAGAAGAAGGGCGTTATCCGCATCCGCGACGCCTGCGTGGCATCCAGCTGAATCATGATCTTAATATCCTTCGGGTCGCGAGAGAGGGCACGCTCGTACGCCTTCACGCTGTCCTTGAAAGGAAACTTGGCGCTGATGAGCGGCTTCACGTTGAGCTTGCCAGAGCTGAGCAGGCGGATGATCTTCGGGTACACGTTGCGGTAGCGGAAGATCGTCTGGAAGGTAATCTCCTTCGCCTGCGACGAGACAACATCGAGCACCACCGGCTTGATCGGCATGCCCACCAGCACGCAGGTCGCACCAGGGGCGGCGCACTCGTAGATCAGGTTGTAGGCCGCTCCGTTGCCGGTGCACTCAAAGACGCGGTCAGCGCCGTTGCCGCTCGTTACCTCGTCAACCACCTTCTTCAGCTCCTCCTTGTTCTTCGAGTTCACCGGGCGCAGACCGGGGTAGCGCCTCGCCATCTCCAGACGCGCATCCAGCACATCGCAAATGACCACCTCGGAGCAGCCGCCGGCGAGGGCGGACAGGGCCGTGACGATACCGATCGTGCCGGCGCCGATCACGAGGGCCACGTCGCCAGGCTTGATGCCCGCCTTGGTGGCGGAGTGCATACCGACAGCGATCGGCTCGCACATCGCACCCTCCTCGTAGCTCACATTGTCGGGCAGCTTGAAGCACAGTGCGGACGGGTGGATCACGGTGGTGCTCATGCAGCCATCGATGGGCGGTGTGGCGAAGAAGGTGAGATCGGGGTCGAGGTTGTAGATGCCGTTGAGCGTCTGCGTGGAGTTCCAGCGAGGAATGCCAGGCTCCAGGGCAACGCGATCACCGACCTTCAGGTTCTTCACCTCGGGTCCAACCGCCACGACCGTGCCAGACGCCTCGTGGCCGAGGATCATCGGCTCTTTGACCACGAAGGGGCCGATGAAGCCGTGCTCGTAATAGTGCACATCGCTGCCGCAGATGCCCACGCTGTGGATCTTCACACGGCAGTCACTCGGGCCCAGCGTGTCGTTCACCTCGGCCAGCAAGTTGTAGAGTTACATTGCGTGCGTGCTAACGTAACGTGTCGATAGTAAAGGACAAAACGTGCTGACATCAAAACTTATTGTGTTGAGGCAGACAGTCAGGCAAGCAGAGGGTGCTGTTGATTTTAGTGTTTCTCTTCTCATTATTTTTTCATCATCGATGGCCGCTTTGCTCTGCCTGCGTCAACCTCCCTTTATTATTATTATTATTATTATTATTAAGTTTTCTTCTCTCTTTCTCCACAAAAGTTCACGAAATAAATACCTTCAGTTCTCATTTTCGTTTCTCTCTCCTATAGGATTTGGCCAAGAAGAAAGCGCACCCGCAGCGACGTCGGCTATCAACCCACCGATAAGATCAACACCCTTTCAAGCGCCTCTTTTCCCACCATCTCTAAAAATATATATGTTCTTCATTTTTTCGTTCAGACTCGTACGCGAATATATAAGAGTATTTTTCCCCTCTCCCTTTTTCTGCCCTTCTCGCATCGTTCGTTTGCTGTGTCGGAGCACGCACTTTCACGCGCAAAAGAGGGAATCGTAAAGTAATGTAGCGCACCGTTTGAAGGAGAAAGGATGTGCCGAGCAAGGACGGTTGACCGCGTTCTTCGACGACGGAAAGGCGGAGCACATCTTTTTTTTTTGCTTTCGCGTTCCCATCGTTGTGCCACACTTACGTGTTTTTTTTTCTGTTTCTGTTCGCTTTCTCTTTGTTTCCCTTCTTCCTGTGAAACCCGAAAACGTGTCAAAAGTTCTTCTCTTCCTTCCCATTTTACTTGTAAGTTTCTCTTGGAGTTAACGAATTCGAATTCTTTCAGCCGTGAGACTCTTTCACGTTCTTTCTGCCCCGTCCATGTGCTCACGCAAAGTGTTTACACGCAAGCCGCTTCAACTTGATGAGTTGAAAAAAGAAATAGAATCGGGTTTCATCGGATGCCACAGAGTGCAATGGAAAGCAATTTCGCTTTAGTGAATGAAATGAAAATGCTATGGTTGTTAGTACTGTACTTGGCTTCGATGATGGGCGGTGTACAATTGGCGCTGCGCTTCCTGAGGCACCGTGACGATTCTAGTCTGCAAGATGTGATGTTGATGAGACCTTTCTTTGCTTCCGCTCTCACGCTTTCTTCGGTGTCCTTTCTCTTCCCCTTTCTTTTCTCTGCAGCCACCACAGCTTCCAATTATCGGCTCCATCCCGTTATCTTCTTCTGCATTACCGCATAGCTTCCAACGTACGCTGCCGCGGCTCTCTCTACCCGCGTCGTCACCAGACCCCAACGCTCACCGCTTACTGTTGTTTATTACATCACCTCGTTGCCCACGTGTCAACACATCACAATGGTTCTCATGAAAGGCCTTGTAATGGAGAGGAAGGGCGAGGTAAAGCTGCGCGACGTCTGCGTGGCATCCAGCTGAATCATGATCTTAATATCCTTCGGGTCGCGAGAGAGGGCACGCTCGTACGCCTTCACGCTGTCCTTGAAAGGAAACTTGGCGCTGATGAGCGGCTTCACGTTGAGCTTGCCAGAGCTGAGCAGGCGGATGATCTTCGGGTACACGTTGCGGTAGCGGAAGATCGTCTGGAAGGTAATCTCCTTCGCCTGCGACGAGACAACATCGAGCACCACCGGCTTGATCGGCATGCCCACCAGCACGCAGGTCGCACCAGGGGCGGCGCACTCGTAGATCAGGTTGTAGGCCGCTCCGTTGCCGGTGCACTCAAAGACGCGGTCAGCGCCGTTGCCGCTCGTTACCTCGTCAACCACCTTCTTCAGCTCCTCCTTGTTCTTCGAGTTCACCGGGCGCAGACCGGGGTAGCGCCTCGCCATCTCCAGACGCGCATCCAGCACATCGCAAATGACCACCTCGGAGCAGCCGCCGGCGAGGGCGGACAGGGCCGTGACGATACCGATCGTGCCGGCGCCGATCACGAGGGCCACGTCGCCAGGCTTGATGCCCGCCTTGGTGGCGGAGTGCATACCGACAGCGATCGGCTCGCACATCGCACCCTCCTCGTAGCTCACATTGTCGGGCAGCTTGAAGCACAGTGCGGACGGGTGGATCACGGTGGTGCTCATGCAGCCATCGATGGGCGGTGTGGCGAAGAAGGTGAGATCGGGGTCGAGGTTGTAGATGCCGTTGAGCGTCTGCGTGGAGTTCCAGCGAGGAATGCCAGGCTCCAGGGCAACGCGATCACCGACCTTCAGGTTCTTCACCTCGGGTCCAACCGCCACGACCGTGCCAGACGCCTCGTGGCCGAGGATCATCGGCTCTTTGACCACGAAGGGGCCGATGAAGCCGTGCTCGTAATAGTGCACATCGCTGCCGCAGATGCCCACGCTGTGGATCTTCACACGGCAGTCACTCGGGCCCAGCGTGTCGTTCACCTCTCCCAGCAAGTTGTAAAACGAGGGACCCCTTTAATAATGAGGTGCGACTATGCCATCTTGGAAGACGTTGCCATGTCGGAAAATGAACGTCGACGCTAACGTAGGCGAGGGATGAAGAAAGTGTGAGGACTCCTTTTTCTCCCTTTGAACTTTACCGTTAACCAGTCCCTGCAATCGTTGTGATTGCACATGGAAGGAACTTGTGTGCGTAAGTGTGCATGTGTCTCTCCTCATTTTTACGGCACCCTCGCTACGTTGGCGTCGCGCCTTATTATTGTTATTATTATTCTTATATATTTGTTTCGCAATCACGTAGTGCACATCCGTGCTCTATTCCACCCCACCCCACCCCATCCCCTTTTTTTGTTTTCTTGGTTTTTTGAGAGCGTGCTTTTTTCTCCTTCTACAGTACGTTAAGGATGAGGTGTAAACCTCCTCCGATCAAACTCAGAGCAGCTTGTGTGCTGGAGCTGTTTTGCGAGCTTTCTCGTTTCTCATTGTTTCTCTCGTGCTTTTCCTTTCTGTGAAAGGGAGAGTTCCACCCTCTTTGAGGATAGTACGGTCCGTACTCTCTTACATAGAGCGTACTACCAATATATGAATATACACATAAGAAGATGAGCGTCTTCTGCGTCCTCCGGTGGTGCGTGTGCGGCACGGCAGTGGTGGCGCTTGATGAGACTAGTCCCGAAGAACGCCGTTCGATTGGTCTCGTCTTTTTATCACACTCTCCGTGCGGTCTGGGGGAGGGTCTTCATCTTCTTCCTTTTTGGATTTTCTACTAGTTTTCTTTTCTGTTCTTTGTCCTGCAAAGGTCCAGCAACGAAGGCGGTGGCGTAAGTCACCGGGTTGCAGAGCGCATCTACGCGTCAGCTGCAAGAGGGAAGCAAGCTTCTTCTTTCTTTTTTCTCCCCCCTTTTATCGAAATTATTAAGTGCTCTTCTTTTAGCCATTTCTCTTCCCTCGGCCCCCATGAAACACACAAGAAATACTAGAAAAGAAAATGGTTAACTTCACGCAATTCGTCAACGTCGAGTTGGTTTGCTCTCGTCCGCTACTTATGTTAAATATATGTTTTGCTCATGGAGAACGGTGCGAGTGAAGTGACGCATCGACGACCCTGATCATGCGGATGGAAACTCTCTTTTCAAAACGCCTAAACGGCCATTCAGCGTGAAGCTGCAGCATCTTTTGAACGTCCTTTCTCTCTCTTCTTCTTCAATTCTTTTATTTTTATTCATCGTACCCGTTTCGTTCTCCACATGCTCAAACCCAGCAGCAGTACATCCTTCCTCTCCAAATTTAGATGCTGTCCAGTGCGCTCTCTTCCAGCGTTTTGCCGACCCCGCCGGCGCAGACTCGATCATCGCCGCCCGACAATGCCGTGGGCGACCGCAGGCCACCAATAATGCTGCTGCTGCAGCTCCTGCGATCTCTTCTCTTACACCGACACGAGCACTCCGTCGCAGCATCAGACGCCGCCGGCGAAGAATGCGGCGTCAGCATCCTGCACACCTGCAGTATCTGCCACCTTGTGCGGCTCCTCTGCCACTGGACGGCGGCGCGGGTCGCCCTGCCAGAGCGGATGGACGAGCACTTTCTGGTGTTGTGGATGACACGGCAGCAGCTGCGGTGCGGAGGTGAGTCGTCCGAAGCAGCCTTCGCGGACGAGAGAGAAGAAGACAGCGGTGATGGTCACGGGAACAGAGATGCGGCTTCCTTTGAGCCGTCGACTGTTGCTGCGGGGTGCAGTGCAGCGTGCTTGCTGCCTGTGTTCGATCTCGACAAAGACGCAGCGAGACGGTCGAGTCCAAAGCGGGAGGGTCCTGCAATGGCTTCAACTGGGCAGTCCATGCGGATGCGCGACACAGCGTTTCAACGGCGCATCGACCTGCTGTTCCAGTCACTGCACGACACAACGGAGGACACGGACGATCGCGTGGCACGCGCGGTGGCGAGCCCCGTAAAGCAAACTGTAGCCAAATTGCTTGACGTTTATCAGACACTGAAGAGTGATGACAGCTACCTCTTTCAACCCACACAGCTGTCCAACGTGCACGTCGCCCTTCTCCTTCACCTCCACGCTGCGTCACTTACTGAACTCGCTGCACTCGACCTTCTTCGCACCCTCCAGCCGTCGCCGCCGCTTTCCGCGGAGGTTCAACTCAACGCGGTCATCGATGCCTTCCACGGGCTTCTCGATGCTCAGCAGTCGGCTCGGGCTGCTGTTCGCTACTTCAGCTGCTCCCACTGCAACGACCTTCTCCACACGCGCATTCGGCCTTTACTCGAGGCGCTGACTCGTACGAGCACACCCAGTTCATCTACGACGTCTTGTTTTCTTCATCCCCATGTGGAACTGAGCGCCGACGCGTTGTACTGCGTGTCAGGGCGTGGACTGGTGGCCACAGGCCCACTGCAGGAAGGTGAGCTCCTTCTGCAGGAGGAGTGCATGCTGGCTTTGCCTGTCGATGCTCACGATGAGGGCGGTGTGGTGCAGGGTGGGAGGCATGCGAAGGGTCTCGCAGACGCACTGGACCACGTACTGCCCGACGTGGAGGAGCCAGCGACAGCAGGGACTTCGTGTTGCGGCGATACACCCGCAACAGCAGAGGGCGTCGTTGATTATCTCACACGTCGTCCCCGGTCCTTCGCCGAAACGTGGTGGTACCGCTGGGCCGTTGTGCTTGGCGACGCGCCGCGACCAGGTGCAGCGAACACACGTATACCCCTGCGTGAGAGTCTGCGCACGTGCGTGAGGGATGCTGTTCTCGCAGCGTGCAGCCACACGAGCAATTCGGCCAGCTCGAGGGAAAGCAGCTCCGTCTCCGAAGGCCCCGCTTCATCACCTTCAACGCTGCGGTTTGCTTCGGTGCGAGCGGTGGATGAATTTCACGCGCCACGGCCACCCCCCGAGAGCGTGTCGCAGCTTTTTTCAAAGGACTTGCTTTTACCAGCGTTGGACCCACTCTTGAGCGACGTGCTCTTCTGCCTTTTGCGCTTCGTGAACCACGCGTGCACGCCGAACGCGGTGGTGGTGTACGACGCTGCTCCGACCAACTCGTGCGCTCTTACTGGCACGCTGGTCGCCCTTCGCGACATCGCGGCAGGCGAGGAGGTGACCATCTCCTACCTAGCGGCCACCACCGCGCTGACGGTGTCCCCCGCAGAACTAACGCACGTGCTTGGCTTTGCGTGCTGCTGTGCGCTTTGCACGCAGAAAGCCGCACTGCTGCACGGTGTGGTGTGCGGTGAGTGCAAGCAGCTTGTGTGGACGTCGCCGAGGCAGGAAAGGTCCGCGAATGCCTCTTCGAAGAACGGAGAAGCAGGTGCCAGCAACACACGTGTGGCAGCCTCTGCCTTCACTCATTCGAAGGACTGCTCGCATGCTCGTCAACAGTCTTGCTTAGTGAATGAGGATGGTGATGCCAGTGACGCAGCAGGCGGCACCTCGGGCTTCGTGGCACGGCAGCTACGTCGTCAGCTAGACGGCATCTCTGCGCAGATTACCGCCACGGAGTCCCCCGCCGCTGCCCAAGACGCAGACGGCCAGCGCGGCGTTGATAACGCAGCGGGCGACTGTGCCTGTCCACGCCATTCTTCCTCCGGTGCGTCTACCGCAAAAGATCCATTGGTGGCTGCGGTGCGGCAGCTGGTGGACCTCGACGACTGCGTCTCCCACGCCTTGTTGCCCACGCACCATCTGCGCCTCCGCACCCGCCTCGAAGCTTTCGCCTACGCGTCAGTCGCACAGGGACTGGGCTCCACTGTCAGCGCACAACTGATCGAACTGTGCGCGAGCACCATCGAGGAGCTGGAGGTATTGCTCGGGCCAAACAACCCGCTGCTGACCGGGCTGCGCATGCACCTCGTCTTCAGCCGTGGCCGACACGTGCGAGCCGTGCAGGCGGCGGAGGCGGTGGCGCACGGCACCCGGCACGCCGACTGCTGCGGTGCGGTGCGGGAGCAGGCGGCGCTGATGGAGCTGCCGTTTGTGCTGGATCCGCTCGTGCGGCGCTGCGTGACGCGGTGCTTTCAGGAGCACTTTGTGCAACTCGTCGGCTGGAAGCTGCCGTTGACGGCAGATGCGACGGAGGAGGACGTGCTGTGGTCTTTCCTGCGCCGGTATCCGGTAGAGCTGGAGGCGGCAGGGATCACAACGCCAGAGCACATGGAGCTTCTTGCGTGCATGGCGGACGGCGAGAGTGAGGTGATGCGATAGGACGGCTGCTTCTCCTATTTTTTTTTTCCCTTGTGGCGCTTTGAACGCCACCGCGATGTAGATTTCGATGGGTGCGCCATGCGCTGCTTCAACACGAACGCACAGACGCACACCTTTTTGTGTGTTTTTCTCCGCTCTTTACACAGGTCAAACCTCCAATTCATGTAATGAGGAACGTGCAGTCGAAGTAGCCCAGCAGATTTTCTTTTCCGGTCCGCCCTTCCTTGTTTTTCTATGCCTCCTGAGAGGTGCGCACTTGTGCTGCTGCACCGCGTAGTGAGGCGGGCTACAATGTGGTCGCTGCCTTCTTCCTCCACAGTGTGGGAAAACTCCCCTGAGAGCGAAACGAATGCGATGCTTCTTCTCGGCCGCAGTTGCGGTGCAAACAACATCTTCCTCTCCGCAACTTTTCCTGTTCACCCTTTGCTTACATCTTCTCTGCATACGCGCAGACCCGCAAGCACTCGCACGGAGGTACACGCACACACCAACAAGCAGTACACTTCACGGTAAAAGGAAAAGAAGCGGAACTCTGCAGCTCCAAATTGAGTCCTCTGCGAGTCCGTACGAGAATAGTGCGAGCCTCACGCCATCCACAAACCCAAAGGACGAACACAAACATATCTAAATTGCTTTGACTATTTGCTATCGATACCTACACACTTACTATTTTACCAATATTGGCTGCTGGTTTAATATACATAGAATAAATGGATTCTCTGCATTATAAACTGTGGGATCGGTGCACGGCTTTTGTGGCGCGCGTCTGTGCTGGCCGAGACGCCTCACACGGCCTCGCTCACATGCGCAAGGTGACGGAACAGGCCGTGCTCCTCTACTTGATGGACGCGCCCGCCAACGTCACCCATGCAGAGCGGGCGGGTACGCTCTACCGTATTATCCTCGTGGGCATGCTGCACGACGTGGCGGATCACAAGTACGACTCGGACGGCACCTTGTTTCAGCAGGTGGAGGCGTTCGTGGAGGCGGAGGCGGCCACGCTGCTGGCGCTCGTGCGCGAAGACAATTCGGCGGTGTTCTCCTCCCCTCTGCCGTGCAGCACTGCCGCAGCGGATGACGTCGATGCGGTGAAGCGCCTCCTCCTGACCGCGTTGGACGCCATCTCCTACTCGAAGGAAAACAAGCGTGGGATGCGCTGGTTTGTGCCGGCGCTGAGCTACGGCTCGGGGGAGGCGTCGCAGTTGTTCGCAAAGGAGAACGGGACCACCTCTTCTAACAGTTGGGTGTCTGTGCGAGACTACGTGAGCGACTCCGACAAGCTGGAGGCGATTGGCGAGGAGGGTCTGCTCCGGTGCTACGAGTTCACGTGCGCGCGCTACCGTGCCGCTGCTGCGGTTGCTGGTATAGGCAAGCCAGCGACCTCGCGGCCCTCCAGCGACGCGGCGGCTACGGCCCTCGTAGAGCGACACGTTGAAGGGAAACTGCTGAAGGACGTGGTGGAACACTTCCACGAGAAGCTGAAGCGGCTGCTGCCTGAGTTTATGGTGACCAAAACAGGCAGATACCTGGGATCTCCGCGCGCTGCGGAGATGGCGGCGTTGCTGGTGGAGTGGGAGGCGCATGGGCCGCCACCGGTGACCGTTTACTGGCGAAACGCCGCTTCGGAGTACGTAATGGAGGAGTGACGTTTTGCTGTTTGCATACGGATGAGAAGACGTGTGTGTGTGTGTGTGTTTCCACATTCACACCATCTACTCGCGGATAAAAATAATATAGAATGATTATTGGGTATACATTTCTAACCGTGCTAGCCGTGTTTAAAAAGGGGGAAAAAAGAGAAGGAAATAAGACATTGAAGGGGCGTTTTCTGCATCGGAAGAACACACTGCCGGTAAAAGAACTACTACTCTGTAAACGCTGCGTCCTTGTTTCGCAGGTATTTTCTCTCTCGCGTGAGGTGATGCGCCTCCCCCCCCCTCCCTGCTAGCCTTGCTCTCCTCTTTTCTCTTCTTGATCTCCGTCCATCTAATCTCTTTTGTTGTCGCGGCACTCTCTCCTCTGCTTCCGATTCACACCAACCAACGGAGAGACGGCGAACGACAAACGTAGCGAAAGAAGAGTTATTTGAGGTGCTTCTATTTATGAGTTTTTCTATTACGGTGGCAGCGGGACCATCTCTTTTTGAAATAGCTGTTGTTGGTCAACAGCGGGGGTTTTAAACACTGTAATAAATCGAGTAACACGAGACTTCTCGTGCGCCAGATCAGCTGGCCGCAATTGCCCCCTCCACTCTTGCCAACAATTCGAACCCTTCCGTTTCCTCTTCTATTGTTAGTGGAAGAAAAGTCTTCAAAGAGCCAAATTGCTGCTCATACCTCCCCCCTATACCGGTTATGGACGCTGCGGCTCTCTTCAACGAGCGAAGGGGAGACGTTGCAGCCTTCACCGCGCTACTCTTTCGACGTAGTGCCGTGCAACGACCACCACCCCGCGGCAAGTCAAGTTACAAAGAAGGCAGAAGCAGTCAGTATGAGACGAAGACGGCAAGAAAACAGAAGCTGCTACGCGAGAACACGCCTGTCGCTCCCTCTCCTGTCCCCGCATTGCTGACGTCTTCTTCTAGCTGTGCCGCTCCTGCGTACCGCCGACCGGCTTCCGCGAATGTTCCCGTGTCACGCGTTTTGCAAGAGGCGAAGGCGCGCGCTGCACGGAGGCGGCGTATGGGAGAAGAAAGCGTTAAGAAGAAACGGAGGACGCCCACCGTGGGCGATGAAAGCGATGCGGATGCTGCTGCGACTTTCCGTAGCGCGACGGCCGGCGCCTTCGGCTTCACCGCACAGGAGCTACGCGATCACACCTACCTGTGGATGTCGGACGCCGGTCACAACAACGAGTCCGCACAGGACGTGTCTCGTCAGGCGTGGAAACTGAGTGGAGAGTTGACACCAAAGCAGCAGGCGAAGCTGCGGCGACTTCGCATTAAGCGAAAGCATCAGCGCCTCCTGTCCTCTTCACAGTGGGTGTTGTGGCTGCGCCGTAGACGGCGGCTGTGGCAGCGACGGCGCCCTGTTGCGCGCCGCCGACACCTCCGTCGCCGACTTGCACTGCAGCACGGACGTGCACTCCCACCCTGCTCGTGCTGCGCGCAGAGGAAAGAGTGCAGACGCCGCGTTAAGGCTTCCTCGACCAAGTTGGTGCCGCACGTCACACAGTGGCTGCCCTCACACGCTCGGTTGGTGAGCCGATATCACCATCGTGTTGTGTCGTTGGTCGTGCCACTGGACGTCACGCACGCGACGGGCACCGACGTCGCCGTGGTAAATGCAACGGGATGCGCCGGCGGAACCGCAAAGACGTCGTTGCCATCGAAGAAGCGCAAGCCGGTACTGACGGCGCGCCTCTCCGTGCCAATGGAGCCGACACGAAAGGGCCACCGCTTTCTGCAACGCTGGGCAACGCAACTGGGCGCTCGGCAGCGTCGCCAGTCCTCCCACGCCCACGGTGCGCACCTGCCGGAGCAGTCTCAAGCCGCCTCGCACACGCCATCGGCACTGGAGAAAACTCTCGTGGCAGATGTCTCGCATCAGTGCGTCTACGCCGTCACGAAGCGGATCGCAGCTCGTGACGCAACGCCCTCCTCTCTTCTTACGCCGAGCATAGTCATAGACGCGCTCGGGCTGCGTGCGGTGCCCTGCGACCCCGCAAACGCAGCAGCGTCCACTGCGGGCATGGTCGTTTCGATTGCCCCAATCGTGCTGCATCGACGCCTACGCGAGACCACCGCCGTTGCGGTGCACGGACACATGTGGAGTGCCACCGAGGAGAACCGTGCCTTGGCCTCCACACGCTCCGGCACGCAGCGTGGCCGAAGACGTGTCAGCACGGTCGCGCGGCATACGCGGGTGGTGCCCGTCGTGCTGGTCTCCTACGCTGACGCAGGAGGCAACAATTCATCTGACAACTATCTGCTTTTCAGTGAAGCCCCCGTGCTAATCCCACGGCGTGCCAGTGAGAAGCTGAGCGTGCGGTTGATCTCTGCGTGGAACCCGTGCTGCCGGTGCCCCGCCTTCGCATCCGTGTATGAGCTCTGGAGATGGTACCCTTCCACCTCGTCTGAACTCTCCTCCCTTGCATCCCACACGTCTGCCGGGCTTCCGCTGCCTACGTGTCAAGCTGCCCAGCTCGTCAGGGCGGTATCGCGGCGGTGCGCACGGCTGCATCGCCGCCTCAACCATCGTGCAGCGGCGACTCGTCAGCAGCGCATAGTAAAACACGTGAAGAAGACGACGACGGAAAAAGCTGCTGCTCGTTTTTCGTTGAGGCAACAGAAGCAGCAGCAGCAGACGAACAACACGACACCACGCAAGAGCCTGCCATTTGTAGCATCGCAGAGTCGTGCCAGGCGCACGTCGGCGCACACGCCGTCTCGCTTTTCCATAGTGCTCTTCCCAAGTCTGCCCCCTCCTTTTCTTCTGTCCGCACCGGGGCCGCAGAAGGACGGCACCTGTAAGAAGGAGTGTGCTCCGTATGTGTGGCGTGTTGGTTTCATCTATCACCGCGATGAACGTTCCCTGCGATCCCCCGTTGCATCTCCGAAAGACCTAACGATAAAAAGCACGAGGACAGCGGAGGCGGTGTCGTCAGCGGTGCGAATAAAGACTCCAAAGGACGCTGCAAAGCGACGTGTCCATCCTGCGCCGCCTCGACGACTGTACCGCGCATCAGTGCGGGCGCGCCGCACACACTTTCACCTTGCACGCCGTTTCTTTGGGTTTCTGCTCACAACCTCTTTCGAGTCTGCCCCAACTGGCTCATCGAGCCGGCGCGCCAAAGCACGCGTGCTGGGCCTGAGCGAGCGCGCGACGCTCATGCGGCTGGTCGGCCGACCTGCGTACCCGTTGGACTACGGCCAGTCGCGGCCATCTACGGCGTCGCAGCAGCGGTCCGGCAAGCAGCCGCACGCGTCCGTGAAGTGCCTCGTGACGCGTCCTGGTGTGAAACGAGTCCGCAGTACTTCTTCTCTCGCCGCCGAAGGGGAGGAGGGGGCGAGGGAGCTGAGCACCGTTGCAGAGCATCGCTCTCCCCTCCACCTCCCCATTACCCCCCTTCCTTCGTACGTGCACGTGCTCGAATACTACGGAAACCTGACAAATGCGGGCTGCCGCGTCACCGTGCGGGCAGCTCACGCGGATAAAAGGCTGCCGACGCTGCACAGCACGGTGGGCTGCGTTCTGCTGCGATGTCGCGCTACGGCGTCGAACGCCGCGACGGCGGTGGAGCCGGTCGGTGTGGTCTCCTCGTCTCCTTTTTTCACGCAGCGCTTCGGCTGTATGGCGGCCGCGGTGTGGTGTTGCAGCCCCCCCGCGTCGCCTCGTGTGTTGTCGTGCGAGGCACGGAAGGTGCACCCGCTGCATGGTACGCGTGATGGCGAGGCAGACGGCGGATCCAGCATGGCTGCAGGGAAGCGAGCGACGTCGCTGACAGAGAGCAGAGATGACGGGTGGACAGCGGCGTCGCTCTTGACGGCACAGCAGGTGAGCACGAACACATGGTTTGTGCTCGCGCCTCCAGAGGCTGCTGCAACACTGCTTCGGTTGAGTGCGACCCTGCAACGCGAGTGCCCTCCGAGGCAGCGCACAGCGAGCCGGCGTCAACGAGCGTTTGACCTGACGCGCGGTCGCGCGGCTCGTAAGTTGGAGGCGTTCCTGTGCGACTCAACTTTCTGCTCCCCTGTGCAGCTGATCCGGTGGTACGCCTAGGCGCGTCTGGAGCAGAGAACTGCGAGAGATGCAGCTACACGCAGTCCACCTCTGAAAAGTGTCGGTGTTTGGCTCGCTTCAAGAGAGGGAGGTGTTAAGCAAAACAAGACAAAAAGGAATGCCTTCGAGCTCGAGTTTCATGTCACTCCATCACCACAACACAGAAAATGATTTTTCCACAGCTGGGCACCACAAGCGTTAGGCGCAGACCCATCACGCTAGGTCTGTAAATCGATGTGCTGCGTTTGTGCGCTGCGTTCTTCGTCGCCTTACCCGCCCCGTGCTTCTCACGCTATTTGCAATAGTCGTCTTCCCTCCCGCAACGCTTTTTCAACAATCTGCTTCCTCTCATCTGTGTTGGCGGTCGACTTCTTCGTTCTGGCGTCGTTGTCGTTTTCGTGTCTCCTGTCGCGTAGGACTTATTCTTAGTGAAGGCGCAGCCACCAAAAAGGTTTGGGCTTACGTCAGTGATCCGAAAACGTGTAATGGATGCGGGGTCCGTCGTGAACGCGCTTCTCGCTCGCCACAACGCCCATCTCAACGAGACCAACGCAAAAGGCGCACTTCGAAGGGCACGCAAAGGGCAGGATGTGGCGACGACGTCTGCGCGGCCGCCGCCCAAGGTGATGGAGGCGGTGCGTCGCGGCGTGAACCCGCTAATGCTGGGTGCGGATCTACACAGGACGGAGTCAGCGGCACGCGAAAAGGCAAAACAGAAACGTGCAGGACGCGCGTCCTCGAGGCGAACCGGCCCTTCACGTGGCCGCAAATGCGACGAAAGCCGTCGAACTACAAACGTGAACAGCAACACTTTAAAAGGAGAGAGCAAAGCAGCAGCGCTCCTGCCGACTCCCCGCAAAGCTGCCTTGGCGCGTGAGGAGGCAGTCTCAAAGACGCTGGCGGCGCGTCACCGGGAGCTGCGCGCGCAGCCACAAGGTGAAGCGGAGGAGCGAAAGCGACTGCGATCGACCTCGAGCACGAGCGACGTGCCTCAGAGGCGTTTCAGTGGCGGAGCGGATGCGAGTGGGTCGGACAGGGAGGGCGGTGCGGCGCAACGTGCTCGCACGGAGCAGAATTTGTCGACGCCAACTCCCGCTTTGTGTCACAATAAGAAAGACGGTACGGCGGCTGTAGCGAAGCCACGGCGGGACCTTTGGCGTCGACGCTGCACTATACGTAAAATTCTGCGCTTGTCACGCGGGGTTTCGCGGGCGACGGCGCTGCGGCGTTACTGGTACACGAAACTGGACGCAGGGGCAGCACAACTTTCCTCACCGAGCGCTGATGCAGACGCTCCCGCTCAAGAACCGGACCACAGGAGTAAGGATGACTTGGATCAAACAACAAAGACGTCTTCACGCCAACTCGCACCGGACGCTGCAGAAGCGACGTGTGCAGCACGTCGCCGACGCGCTGCTCGTCGATGTGTGCTGGCGCGCTACCACGCTCGTGTGCAGGTACGCAGGTCTGAGACAGAAACATCCGTAGCAGCTGTCATCACGGCGGAGGAGAAAAACGGTGCAAATAGTGTGTCCATCCCCACACGGCGCCTCACGCGGCGACAGTACAAGGCGGGCGTCAACGAGCTGCTTCACCACGCCGACACGGAAATGTGGGGTCTCGCCATTCGTGCGGTGGTGGAGCGGCGTGAAGTACTGCAGCGAATCGCCTCCAGCTGCACAGCGGCAGTATCAGAGAAGGGGTCGGGCAACGGCGGTGTGCTGCCGCTCCTCCTCGCCCGTCACTTTCCGCTGTTCGGAGCAGAGGCAGAGGTGCAGGAGTTGGAGGTGCGGGCGCCGCGTGTGAATCGTCGCCGTACCCGCCACCGGCGTCGGGCACGCTACGCAGCCGACAACAATGCAGGCGAGAACCCCAGCGACCGTAACGGCACGGAAGCTGCGGCTTCGTCTGCAGCACGCCTGTGCGTTTTGCAGCGCCACCGTGGCATCGTGGTGGAGGATTACAGCGACACGGTGGGTGTGCTGTTGCTGCCGCCTTCCGTCGAAGGACAGCGCGCCTGGGCTGCCGCAGTTCAGCAGACGTGCGCGTCAACGAGCGCAGCTTTGCGCCGAACAGAAGGTGCGGCGGCTTTGCAGAGACTGCGTGTCAGTGCATTGTCTCCGCGTGTGGTGCGGGTGCCAAAGCACTTTCCAGGTGCCTCGGGTGCTTTGACGGAGTTGCTCCCGCTCATGTTGGCGGCTACGCGCCATCGCAGCACCAGGAAAGCTGGGGATGCGTTTTCTTCTGCAACACCGTCCCCGGCAGCCCGCTCCGCAGGTACGCGCGTGCTGGCCGCGATATTTTGCGGCGAGGTCAATCCACAACTGAACGCAATGGACGCAACACCGAGCGAGAATCGCAATGCGGATGCCACGAAGCTGTCAGCGACTCCGAACTATCCGTTAAAGCGCTTGCAAAATCGCTGTCTCTGACGCACCCTGTCTCCCTGATCGCTGTGCGGCACGCTAAAGGCTATGCAGAGGCGCGTGCAATGATGATCTTTTATTTTTTTTTCTAATTGTAAAGGCCTTAAGCTGCTAGTACCTTTTTTTTTCTGCTCTACGCGGTATTTGCGGTGCATGACGAGCGACTCTATTCTCTCTCCCTCGAACGATAAACCGAACGCACCGTGCCTGCTGCTGCGCGCGCTCGATCTTTTGCTCTCCACAGGCTATGTGCTACGCGACCTTGAAAACAGCAAAGTGATCAACGTTTTTTTCTTCTTCGTTCACCTCCTCACCTGCCGGGTTGTTGGCCGTTGAATGCGGCTTCGAAGTCATACCTTCTACTTCGCTCACATGAAACCTCACCACCTTCCCTTTCCTGGTGCGTAAGAAACGGCAGTTGAGCAGACTGCGGACTGTAAGGCGGTCGCCCAGCTCTGGTGTCATCTACGGAAGACTCACTCTGCGTTTGTCGGTCGGGAACTCGTTCCCCGCTTTATACACCCATCGACACAGTGGGCGACATCAGCAACAACAAGAGAGAAAACCACTGGTATTCCGAGAGAAGAACAGGATTAAGAAAGAATCCACGGCGTGCTGCCCCGATCTGATCACTTCCACGCAGCCCCTGTCGCGCAAACGAAGTCCACATTCCTCCTCCTCGCCTTGAGGTGCAGCGGCTCTGGCAGAGCTCCAGTTAGCTGCCCGCCCTCAACAACTAAACGTGCGTCTGCACCGCAGACGAGCGCCGCGGTGGAGTGCACCATGGCCGAAGTGAAGCGTAACCGCAGCCGCTCCCCGTCCTCGGGGACAGTCCGTTGCGAGAAGAAGCCTCGCACGGAGCGGGAAGAGGTGGCGCTGTTCATCTTCCGCAGAGATCTGCGGTTGGTGGACAACACCGGTCTGCAGGGGCTGCTCGACGAGGCCGCCCAGCGCTCCCTCCGCGTCCTCCCCGCGTTCTTCTTCAACCCTATCCAGTGCGACAAGGCGCAGAACAAGTACTTCGGCGACAGCTTCTTCCAATTCTTCTGTCAGTCGTTGGAGGACCTTGACGGCGCCTCACAGCTGAACAACCACCTCGTGTGCCTGCGCGGCTCGGACGAGGAGTGCCTCCAGCAAGTTCGCCGCGGCGGCTACGACGTGACGGTGCTGGGTTACAACGAAGACTTCACGCCGTTCGCGCGGGCACGCGACCAGCTTCTCTCCGCGTACGCCGACGACCACGGGGTGACGTGTGTGGTGGGCCGGCAGGACTACACCCTCCGCCCGCTGGGGGAGGTGGTCAGCGGGGCGGAGCGGCCGTACAGCGTCTTCACGCCTTTCTTCAACAAATTCCTCTGCGACCACGCCTCCAGGGTGGCGAAGCCGATCGCGACGGATGTGGAGCGCGTCCAGTCGATGTTGGTAAGGCAGCCGAAAAAGTACTTGGAGGAGTACCTCGTCGACCCCACGCGGCTGTGCACGCACAACCCGAGCATCGTCGAGAAGGGTGGGCGGACGGAGGGTCTGAGGCGTCTCGCAAATATAAAGTCCATGACGAACTACGGCTCGGTCCGCGACGACATCGCACACGACCAGACATCGCACTTAAGCCCGTACATGAAGTGCGGCGCCGTCTCGACGCGTGAGGTGTGGCACGCCAGCGTACAGGCCGTCGGCCTCGCACACGCGTTCACCCGACAGCTGGTGTGGCGCGAGTTCTACGCGATGCTTCTGCATCACCATCCCCGCCTTGCACAGGGGCAGCTGAACGCCTTCATTGGGCAGACGGAGATCGTCGCGACGACGCGGCCGCAGCACAACGCCCCGTTTCAGGCGAAGTACGAGGATTTCCAGTGGAGTTGGAAGCCGCAGCACTTTGACGCGTTTCGCGAGGGCCGCACCGGCGTGCCGCTCGTTGACGCCGCCGTGCGCTGCCTGACGGCGACGGGCTGGTGTCACAACCGCTGCCGTCTCGTCATCTCCAACTTCGCCGTGAAGGTGCTGGCGATCGACTGGCGTGTGGGGGAGCGGTGGTACGCTACGGTCGCCGTCGACTACGATGTCGCGAACAACAACGGCGGTTGGCTTTGGTCGTCCGGGCAGGGCGCTGATGCGCAGCCCTTCTTCCGGACCTTCAACCCTTTCCGACAATCTGAGCGCTTTGATCCAGACTGCGAGTACATTTACAAGTGGGTGCCGGAGCTGAAGAACGTGCCACCGGAGGTGGTGCACTCGTGGGATACGTACTGCGCTAAGCTCGAGCATCAGAAGAAGGGCCGGGGGTCGAAGGGTTCACAAAAGGGCAAGGTGAAGGAGTACGACACTGCGTATCCGCCTCCTCTCGTCGACATCGCGAAGGCGAGGACGGCTGTCATTGACAAATTCAAGTCTTATACCCCGAAGAAGTAGTTCGACATTTCGCGGCCGTGCGTCTGATAACGAACACCGAATGAGTGCTCACGCGGACGGTACACTGATCGTCGGCGTTCAACCGCCTCGTAGCAAAGATGCGTACCGGTCGAAGGTGCCGCCCATCCACGCGCCGCACCGCAAAATCTCGCATCTTCTTTTTTAATGGCTGGTGTTCCCTCTCTCTCCCTCCTTGCGCTGTCGTTCGCCTTTGGCGCGGCTTTCTTTCGCAGCCGGCACTGTTTCTTTCCCTTGTTGCGTCCGCTGGCGCGCCTATCTTCCATTTTTTTTTCCTTCTTCGACGGTCCAGTGTCATTCATCAAAACGAAGCAGCTTTGCTCTCACGGCGGTGAAAAGAATACGTGTTGCAGCGGCCAGTCAAAATAACTCGTTCTTGTTGGTGGCGGTTTTCGGCAACGCCTCTCAAAAGAAGATAACATATTGTTCCGGTTCACCCCGTCGAGAGTGGCAGCACACTATTGTAACAAGTAAGCACGTTTCTCTCTCCTCGCCACACGACATACCCTCTCACGCATGGCATCCCTTTTTTTGTTCCTTCTCTTCTTCGCAGCGTTTTTTTTTTGTTTGGTGGTTCTCTGTGCCGTTGCACATTCTTCTGAGCTGTCATATCCTCTGCTTGAGGGACCTGCACGTCGCCACCGAGGTAGGCCGCATTGACATAATGGCATCTTTTCGCATGCAATGCACTCGGCATCGATATCCTCAATGCTAACCATCTGGAAGCATGCAACAGACGGTGTATCACAAAGCGCGTGAAGAACAGGAAATGGAAACCGATACCGGTGCTGATATTCATTTCGTTCATGTCGAGAGGAGAAGGCAATCTGGTGCCACACGACGGATGCAAGACGACACCTGCCATGTCCGAAGAGAAAAGAAAAGCAATGCCACTGTAGAACGTTTTATTTCCCTCTGTATGTTCTTTTCTTCTCTTTGCCCACCCTTCTGCCTAATACATCTCTTGCGTGTGTGTTGCGCTTTCCACATCACTTACGGTGTGCGCTGTCGCGCCTTTCCCAACCGTTTCGTTGCGACCTCTCGCGTTTGCGCCACGGTCAGCGTGCATTACGCGCTTCACATCACCGGTGCACAACAACAGTATCAAAACTGCAGAGCGAAGCTATCACTTGTGCTGTCGTTGCCATACAGTCTCGTATCATTATTTTCTTCCTCCTTCCTCCTTCCGCTCTTTTTGTGTTTTACTCTCGTACATCCTTTATCGTTTTACGCCGTTGTAATGTCAAGTGTGGGAATGCTTGACTACAGCCCAGGCGAGGGGCCTCGCCCCGCGTCGTCTCCCACCTGCAACACGGCCCTACGCCCTCATCCGCCCAAGGGCGACTCCAACGTGGACATCAGCCCTGCCAGACCACACACCGTCTCCTCTGCCTCCTCGGCAGGTGTCCCCGCAGAGAAGGCGAAGAAGAAAAAGCGAGTGAACTGCAACGTACAGCCTTTCAACTCCTGCCGCTCCGCCGAGGAGGAGTTAGCGGCGCTGAGGGAGAAGATATCTGCCTGGAAGGAAAAGCGGCTCGCGGAAGTGCAGGAGGAGTTGAAGCTAAAGGGAACGACGGGTGTGGCGCAGGTGGAGGCAGCGATGGAGAGCCGCATTCAGCAGCGGCGAGCGGCGGAGCGGGAGCGGGCGGGGCAGCGGCTGGGACAGTTACTCGATACGCTCGGCCCGCGCATGGAGCAGTGCATTCAGCGTGTTTCCGCATCCTCCTGTGCTGAAAGCGATCAAGAATCCGAGCCGATTGAGGTGGCCCGTGACGAGCCTGCGGTTGCCGCGTTGCCGACGAAGGCACCACTGCCTCCGGATTCCCCCCCGCCTCAGGCGCTTGTTGCGTGCGAGCGACAGCACTTGATTGGCTACCTGCAACTCTCGGTAGAGGAACGAGACGCACGCAACAGCATTAAGGAGTACCATCAATTTGTCAAGGAGGTGTCACAGCTTGTGGCCGACGAAGAGGAGTTCCGTTGCTCTTTCAAGGAATGGGAAGACTCGTGGTACAAGCGCCTCGTGGAGACCGCCGCATCGAACACGGCTGTTGAGTAGGGGAAGAAAGGAGGGGGAAAGAGAAGTGTCTCGCGCATCAGCATTTGTGATGTTTTTCCTCTTGTGTTCTCCCTTCTTTCTATTTACTCACTGGAACTCTTTTTTTTTTTCTGACTATTATTGGTAAAAATATTCATGTACATTACACTCCCGTGCGAGGCGGAACATTTTCTTCTGTAGTCACCGTACTGTGAGCTCCAACTCCAAAAAGAAAGTCTGCAACTTGTTGTTACTTCGGTGTGTGTGTGTGTGTTTTGTAGAGAAAACCATGCATAACAAAAGCAAGGAGTTCGCCGTCCGCTCGCGAAGAACTCAAATAATGACTTTGGAAAGCTGTCGGCTGACACTTCACGTTCCGCGCGTCAGCAACGCGGAAAACCCACGATTTGTTGACCTGCTGTTCTTTCCTTGTTTTGATGGTTTTTTGATTCGTTCAGTTCAGTTACCGGCTTCTCCCCCTTCTTTTTCTTTTCTTTCCTATCTGTTCGTTTCATTGAACACTTCGCACTGCTTGTCGCACCGCCGCCTCAGTGAGCACCAGTTTCTCCACGACCACACTTCCATAGAAAAGAAAGAAGAGAAGCGCATCGATGCGTGAGAAGGTTGTCCCTATTCCCTTCCTCGGTAAAGAGGTGTCGGGCTGGCTCTATCGCACCTCGCGATGGTCCCGCGCGCACCCGTACAAGACCGCTGGCATTCTCTGCGGCTGCATCGCCGGCACCATTCTCTATGAGGCGCAGGTCACCCACAAAAACCGCATCCCTTCACCAAACGTCAACAACCACCTTGAGTACCAACTCCGCGACGCCTCCTTGTGGGAGCGGTGGTTCCGCCGTGGGCCGACGCAGCGCGATATGAAGGCCGACGCGGCGCAGTCGGCGGCTCAATCGATGGAGTTGGAGGACGCCCCGCTGACTGAGGAAGAAATCAAGCGTCAGCAGCAACTTTCGCAGCGTACCATCGCGGACGCCGAGGCCCTGTTGGCCAGGACGACCGACCCAGAGGAACGCGCGTCCTTGCAGCGGGTGATCGAGCACGAGCGAAAACTAATGGAGGGCGTCAACAACACAACCATGTTAGTTCGTAGCGGGCAGCTGGCCGTGCGCGCCCCCCACTGGGATATCCGAAACAACGAGCGCAACTGGAGTATTCTGTCGCGCGACCAGCAGCAGCAGAGGGACCACTACTGGTACCGCAACGAGCGCAGCCGTGAAGATGACTACGCACGCAACACATACTCGCGTCCGTGAAAGAACTCAACTTGTAGCCTTCTACGCTCTTGGCTTGCTTCGATTAAGATCTCTAAATGCTTAACAAGTGTCGTTTTTTTTGTTCTTCTTTCGTTTGCCCGTTGCCTTCTTTTCGTAGTCTGCTCGGCTTTACGTATGTGCACGTACGTCTTCTGCCGACGTTGTTCGTTTTTTTTCCCCATTTTCTTCACAGGTTTTGTTTTCTGTTGATTGCTGCATGTGCTGATGGACGTGTTGTCCTTGTTGGCACCAACGCGAGTGCGCAACACCTTAATATATATTTCTTTTCGAAGAAAGCGAGATAAGCCAAGAAACACATGTCAATGAAGGCGCTTACGATGGAGGCCAGAAGAGCGGACATGCGTGAGCGACCAGCACTATCTTCTCGCAAAACAGCACAGATAACTTTTTGCGTCGCACCCCGCTTGAAAGCAGCACGCTCTGTTCTAACACCGAATGACCAGCGTGAAGAGAAAAACCCCGATGAGACACGGCCATCTCGAAGAGCCCCGCCTCATTTCTTCTTTCTTGGCGCTCCACTTTTCCTCTTTCTTCTCCTCGCTCATGCGGTCGTCGATGCGACGTGTCGCCCTGCGAAGTAACGTTTGTGAACTGCATTGCGGCGGGCCTTAGCTCGCCTGCTGGCCGTGGAGTCTCTTCTCTCCTCACTCACCCACCCACCCACTCTAACACACACGCACACACACCTATGCGACTCATCACGCATCCTAGCTGCAGAGTGGTTGGTGCTGGCCTCTTCCCCAGCTCCGTTGGTTCCCCGCTGTCCCAAGCGCATCGCCGCGTCTCCATCGCCGGTGGTGGCCGGGGGGACCTGTTTAAGCGCCACGCCGCGCAGTACAAAGCTCCGTGGGCCGGTGCGGCTCGCGGCATCCGCCACCTGTCCGAGTCGACCGAGCCGCAAGACGGGCAGCTGCACATCCGCAAGCTACGAAGCCACATCGCGTATGATCACAAGTACTCGGGCGGTGGTCATCATCGCCCTGCCATCGCAGCTTGGTCGTACATAGTCCCTTCGCTGCGTAAGAATGTGGAGGTTGCCTGCACAGATGTGTTGTACAACACGCTGCTCGCGGGGGAGGTGGCTTTGTCGACGCCGCAGCAGCAGCAGCTGAGAGAGGCGCAGAATCTTTTCCGCTTCGAACTGCAGCAGCGCATAGGTCTTCTGGAGGACAGTCTGGCGGAGGCGGAGCTGTCGTATCTGATCCAGTGGCCGTCCCTGTTCCAGCGTGTATGGCTGCGCCTTCCTGTGCATCTGTCAAAGCCGGGGGAAGGTGCGGCTGAGTATGCATCCAACAGCACCAGCATTGCTGTTGCCTTTTCTGCTTCGTCTTGCTCGTCCTTAGCACCGTCGTCCGCAGCTCCCCTGCCCATCTCCACCACAGTCTGGGCATCGACCACGTCTTCCGTCGCCTCAACGCTTCCTGCCACGGCGACAGCAACAGGAAGGGCCCCGTCGTCTGCGGGTCCAGACCGCACCGGCTCGTCGTTTCAGTCCCGCCTGGACCGTCTTACGCGACACGTGGTTGAATTTGTGGAGGGTGAACTGAAGGCGCTAGAGATGGCCGCCCCTTCACGAGAAGACGGAGCGCCGCGCAGCAGGCGTCAGGTCGCGCTCGAGGCGGCGTGGCGCGCGCAGTGGCGGTCCGCCGTGCAATGGCATTTGGACGAGCTCCAATAAGATTTTCCTTTTTTCACGCTGTCCGTCTCTGGGCCTCCCTACGACGTTGTATGTGTGTGTGTTGTTTTTGGTTGTTTGTTTGGGTGTTTTTGACGTTGCAGCGTTGCGTCTCTTCGCCTTTTGTTCTACGCTGAAGAAGGCAACGCGGCAGCGGTGCGCGGGGCTCTTTGCGGGATGGCGTCGTCGTATGAGGAGCGTTTCATAATAACAACACAAAGAACAACAGAAGAAGGCAAAGTTACGCTGAGGACCAAACGGTTCTTCGCTTCCACATGGGACCTCAACTTACTGATAGTACGGACCATCATTGGAAGCGGGCACACTAAGAGGGTGTTGTGGCCTGCAAGTTGCTTTGGGAAAAGTTAAACGTCTTTTCCGGCATACACATGAAGTGCTGTAGCATTCTCTCCTTCTTTCGGCCTCTCCTCCTCCTGGTGGGTAAAACAAGAACGGCATATCAGAGGCGTCGCTGGCCGCCTCCCGGTGTGGGAACTTCTCGGAGAACAAAAAGAAAAAGCAAGACAAATGCACGCGCAGAGTACCGTGCGATACAATGACAACATCGTCTTCTGTTTCTCTAACAGACGCGCTATGCCACCTGCTGGAAACCACGAGTTGCCTTCAGGACCAAGTACTAAAGCACGTGACGGCCCTCGCCTGTGCCCGCACGCCAACAGATGACAACGCAGAGGAAAGCACTACGCCACCGCTGTGGAGCTACCCCGCTGGGCACCCTCCCTACCCTCATGCGTCTCAGCCAGACTCGATGCCTCAATTCCACATCAGCCGTGCGGTCGTGGATGCGGAGAAGAATACACCATCGGGGACGGTCCTCGGACTGATTGAAATGGTTCTCGTCTTGGACGTATTCGAGGTAGCGCAGGCATCTCCCGACACCTGTTGTGCGCTTTTTTGCATGCCGCCCACGTCGCTGGATGTGGCTGCCTCCGCTGCGGTGCAGGAGTGGCTGTGCCTCTACGTCTGCGATGAGCAGACCGACGTGCACGGCGGCGACGATGTTTTTGCACGCGGTCGGAATGCGGATCGAGCAGTGGAACGCGCCTGCGCTGTCGAAGCGTCCATCTCTCGACTGCCATGGCCAGCGGCGTGGTGGTCCGCACTGGCGGCAAGGCAAGTGGAGTGCAACGTGCGTGTGCTTCTGCTACGCACCCCAAGCGTGTACGCCGCGCTTACGTCGGACGGAGATATGATGAGTGATTGTCTTCTCCATCCGCGTTCTTCTACCTCTACTTCTTTCAACACGGCGCCAACTCCTGTGAGAGACGACGTCGTCGGCAGAAGAAGTAACTCGCTCGCTGGCCTCTCCGCCATATCCGTGCCGCCGACGGAGGAAGGGAGGCTGCCAAGTCTGACGTCTTCTAGTCGGCGTTTGTCAGGCTCCTTTGCCGTCTCCGCTGCGGGGTCGTCTGTGGCCTCCACGGTGGCTGCACGGCCCTCTTACCCTTCTGACAGTTTTCTCGAAATCGCGCCGGAAGTGCACGTGGTCGGCGTTGTGCAGCAGATCTGCTTTGAGAACAGACGTGCCCTTTCTCCCGCCCCCTGGGTGACCCTGCTGCTCCTTCTCCCTCACGCTAACGTGCCTGTGCGTCGGGAAGTAAACCTCAGTTCCCTCTACCCTTGCGCGGTACGTGCGGCCGCGGTGATGGGAGAAGTGATTGAGGTCTGCGGGCGCACCCACGTCGCTCGGCGGCAGACGAGTGGCAGAGCGGGTGGGGGCAGAGGCTGCGCAGAGACGCTGCTGCGGGAGTGCATTCTGGCGAGTTGGGCCGCCCCAGTGCTGCTGTCGTTGCCACAGACACCGTCTTTCGCTTCGGCGCTCACCGGACACGTGATTGGGGCCTTCAGTGACCTGCCAACGCCGCCTGCTGTCTATGCTGCCTCGCCCATCGCAACCACCACCGTCGTTCCATATGCGGTCCTTCAGCCCGCTCGTCAAACGCCTTTCCACGACGATGCGAGCATGTCAGCGACGTTGCGCTACGGCGATTCTTTTTTCCATAAGATGTCACAGGACATGGAGGAAGTCTCTGTGGCCGAGTTGTCGGGCTGGGAGGAGGAGTGGGCGACACGCGCTGCGCTCACGTGCTGGGAGGGCGCACGTCTGGCGCTGGGTGTGGAACTGAACGGCACAGACAACACGCTGACCGCCTCCGCATTCTTTTCCACGTCGCTCGACGTCGTCCTCTCCGCCCAGCTGACCATCTTCTCCGCGCAGATGAGTGACGGGGTGGTGCTGCTGCTGGTGGACGAAGCGCCAGAGTCGTTAGTGACGCAGATGTTCTCAGCTTTCGACAGAGCTGCCCCGACGGCGACGTTGGAGTTTCCTTCCTCGACGCTGTGCCGTGCCAGTCCGTCGTTTCTGCTGCCCTCGTATCGTGTGCAGCGCGTACCGGCTCCCGTGCGGCTCGCTCAGCGGCCACCGGTAGCCCCGGACAACGACGCCATGCGGCCACCAGCGGTACGACGCTTCTTCCAGCGAAGTCGCACTAACGGACCATCTGCGGCAGCTGCCGTGGCCGCACCACCGCCGCCATTTTATCCAGAAGTGCTGAAAGGCGGTGCCTTGACGAATGCGAGCGGACGGGCACTCGTGCTGCAGGGGATTGAAGTCATTCCCGCAGCGACCCTTAAGGTGCTGCAGGAAGCCCTTCGTGCGGCGCGCCACGACGGTGGGGACGTGGATGGCACGGCTGTGGGAGCAGGAACAGCAGCTGCAGCTGTTAGGGGCGTAACAGGTATTGACGGGACTTTTCACTCGTTTGAGAACACCTCACGCCCTCCTCACATAACAGAGACAGCGGCGACTACGGCGGATGCACCCCTCACCGAGTCCGACGGCGCGCGACACGTCGTTCAACGCGAGGGTGGTCAGTACGTGAAGTACCGCGTCGCGCACGCTGCGGTGTGCTCCGTGCGCCACGGAGCGCGTCTAGCGGAGAAGAGTCACCTTTTCGAGTTCGCGCAGCGGTGTGATGTGGTGGTGCGACCGGCGTACGATCGACGTCGGCAGGCCGCGGCACTGCAGGCGGCGGTGGACGCACCTTTTCAACACCTCCTTCGCCGTCGACAGGCGACGTGGCTGAGCCTTTTGGGTGCTGCCTTCGCCTTCCCAACAAAACTGCATGACACCGCCGCTGGTGCGGCGGGGATGGGTGACATGAGTGCGACGCCGACCTTGACGGAGCCGTGCAATCGACTGCTTAGCTCCTACTTCATCGCGGCGAAGGCGCTCTGCCAGGAGGGCACCGATGCGAGCGTGATGACGACGCTCGTGAAACTGACAGTCACCCACGCACAGTGGCGCTGCAACCTTACCGAGTTGCGTCTGCGCGAGCGGACCAGTCGGAGCACGGGTGGGACACCGCGGGGGTGCGTGGGTGCTGCGGCGCGGCGTCCGCCTCGCGCAACGGCGCTAATCGACGCCGTGGTGGCTGTCGGCCTCTGTGATGCCACCTTGCATTTCTTCACCGCGAAGGCCCTCTTCGGCGAGTGTGTGCTGCGGCTCTTGGAAAAGGAGGCGTGGCCCATCTGGGAGGCGGAGGCCGGAGAGGGGCATCGGGGGGCGCTGCCAGATCCAGCAATGCAGACGTACGGAGGAGATGAGGATGATGAAATGCGTGTGCGGCCTCCACTGAGCGTGCCGCGTGGGGCGTCTACGGAGGTGCAGCAACTCTGTCAGCAAGTTGAATTCCGAAGTCGCTGCTGCCTGGAGAGCTTTTCGAGTGACCACGTGCCCCCTCGACCGTCTGCCTTCTCAATCCAGCATCTGGTGCAGGACTTGATCGACCACCTAGAGCGCGTCACGCACAACGTCGCCTCATCAACGGGAGCACAGCAGTAGTGAAGTGATACAACTGTGCGATGCGCGGACTTGTGTGTGTTGCTGGGTCTGTCTTGCGTACGTGTTGTGGGAGATGCTAGTACGGAGGATGAACGCCGCCTTTCCTGCTGATTACTTTGGATTCTGCTGATTTACCTTAACTGCTATGTATGTTTTATTATTATTCTTGTTAAAGAAAAGGAAGAAGTAAAAGGGAGCTCTTTTGCAGTTAAGCCCTTGCGTGTCGCATTCCGCGTTGAAGCGAGTCTTTTCGTCTTTTGTTGGTGAATGCTAGCGAGAAAAAAATAATCCGTTGTCTCAGCTCTGATCACTCTCCTCACCAACATGGTCGTCATCACACCCGGCTCTGCCTACGAAATGTCTCCCACCTGCACCGTCCCCTTCCAGTTTCTCCCCCTCCCCCCATCTTTTCTTTTTCTTTTTACGCTGCTCGCGCCAGCCTCCACAGTTGAATTGAGTTACCACGCCTGAAGTCGGTCGTCGGCCTCCCTCGCATCTGTGCTCTTGTTCGTGCTGTTGCATCATCAATAAAAAAAAAAAAGGCAAGACAACGCACCTTTCAAAATCATGTTCGGCCGCCCGCAGGCGCCCCAGAAGGACTGGGGCAGCATGTACTTCTACGAGAAGGTCCACCACCTGGTCGACCACACCGCCGACTTCGTGATAGCGAAGGTGAATTGGTGGATGCCCTCCGTGGCGGTGGGGATGGCACTTAGCCTTTTTATTCTCGGTGGCCCCGACAGCGTGCCGCAGGCCGCCTCCATCATCCTGCCCTCCGCGACGCCAGTACTCGTGACGCCACAGTTTTCGAGCCCGCCAAACCAGCAGGGCGGTGCGGGCGCGCCGGAGGACGAGGAGGACTTTTAATGAGAAGAAAAAGTGCCTGTGCTGCTGTAGCGCTTTTTGCTGTTGTTGTCGTCGATGTTGCGCCTTCGATCTCCAATTTTGCTGCTGCCGGGCTGCGCCACGTGGGAAAACGCAAGGCTCGGAAGAGAGGGGAGTTGGCAGAAGAATAGCAAACCGCCTCTTTGTGTTCACATGAATTCATTTATTATTATTAACGGGTGTACGCTAAACGTTGGCGTTGGGTTTGTGTGCGTGTGTTGGGGGAGGGTGGGTGTTTGAAAGGTCCGCTCTTCTTGCGAGATCGAGGCAAGAGGTGCTTATGAAACTTGTTCATGTCGTGACAGTGAGCAAGGCAAGTCTCTTTTGTCGGCTGTCTTCGTTATATATAAAGGTAGTTCTAATCGCTTGTATTATTAAGAAACAAAAGCCTCTAAGTTGCTAGAAGAGTGTGAGTGAGAGGGCGATTCGTGGCACCTGATAGATGTGGGTGTGGCGATGAGGATCCCCACTACCGTTCCTGTCTTCTTTTTTTTTGCCTCCTGACTTCCTGCGGTGTACTCGCAGAGAAACGTGACTTGGCGTCAAGGTGCAACGACACATTGCCGCACCAGCTTCGCTCACTTCCTGAGATGAGGCCCTTTTCCTTCTCTTCTCTTCTCTTCTTCACGTTTTTTTTTTCTTTCGGTCGTGCCTCACAAAAACGTATTATTTGGTAGCGTACGTGTGTGTGATTAACCAAGATAGTCGCGGCCTTCTCACACAGCTTACCAAGACGGGAGGGGAGAACAAAGAAGAAGACGATCGGTGTGCGTTTCGCCGTTCACGGCGGCACTCCAAACTGTATTTTTCTTTCACAGCTCAGCGGTGTTGTTTTTAGCCTTTTGCGCTTTTACTCCTATGCGTGGGCGACTCAACCGCACTCACGTCACTTCTCGCCGTGTTGATACACACGCCGCTGAACGCGAGGACCCCTTCCCTCGTTTACTGCAGCGGAACCTGAACACGAGCATTCCTTTTAAAGTGCATTTCTCAACGGCAATCAACATGAATCACGAAGCAGAAGCACCTCACGCGTCCGCCGACGCGACGAGCATCATTGTCGTCGACAAGGCACCACGGGAGAACAGCCTCGCCGACTTCTTCAGCTTTAACAGTCCTGGGGGGCTCACGTGGTGGGCCGGCGCTATTCTCGGCGTCTTAGGCTGTTGCGCCTTTGCCTCGATGATTGTTATTCACACGGAGTCGAACCGCCGTGCGGCGCCCGCCGTGATGTCTCTCCTGAGAGCTCAGCAATGCCCCCTCCTCTCCTCCCTCCTCCCCCCGTTGGCGTTTCATGCGTGGCGGACAACCTGCACACGAGTGCCACGGGGCAGCAGCTATCCCTGCACCGCGTTGTCCGATTGCATCGCCCTCGGCAGCCGGTGCGCCGATGCGAAGCTGCTGGCCCAGCTGCAGTGCGTCAGCACAAGAGAAGGAGCCGATAACAAGAAGGTGTGTGCGTATCCGTCTGTGAACTCCACACCCATGCTACCTCCCTCCACCGCTGCTTCGCCAGGGTTTTGCACGAGCGCGGGCACGACCTGTGCGTTGTGTCTCGACGGCACTTGCGAGTCCACGACGCCGTCGGCCGGTTCGATTGGGTGTCCATCGAGCTCGGCGTGCGCCGGCGACTCGTGGCTATGCAATCCACTCCGCCTGTGAGTTTAAGCACGTCGGTATGTGTGGGCGTGAGAAGAGCGCCTGACGCTATCTGACAGCCATTGTTTCGCTGCTCTCAGTTTTGTTCCATCGCCTTTGTAAGAGCGCATACTCGTGAGAGGAGATGGCGCACGACACGTAAGTGCCGCTGAAATAAAATGGACTTTCTTTTTCCTATTTTAACTGTTGTTCTCAAACCTTTTCTCGCCTTTCTTGTCACTATTATTAGTATGCTTTTCAAGGGACTTTCTCGCGGTCGAGGAAACGTACTGCTTTGACGCGAAAAAATATGAAGAATAGCAAATAGCGCTGTGACTGGGCAAGCTGCAAGTGGAAGCGTGAGGGCGAATACGATCTTCGTATGTCGCGCTCGTTAAGCCAAGAGTTGGCCGTCGCAGTGGTGACGTAGAGGCCGCCGTGAAGCACCAAGAAACAGGACGCTGAAAATCTCTCTGCATATATATGCATTTATTTGTTGCGGCTGTTGTACGCAGTTGCGGTGAGAGAGAGTCTTTTTTTCTAACATATATAGCGAGATCTCTTCTTTCGCCTCTTCCTTTTTTTGTTTGGTTTTATTAGTTTCGGGGACTTGCTTTCCAAACAAAAAGGAAAAGAAAAGGAGTCACACGAGTACGGCCATCTGACGAGTGCTTCGCCGCTCCTTGCACACGGGCGTTAAAAAGGGAGCGAAGCTCTGCTGCAGAAACCATTCGGATAGGCAGCACACCACATACAACTTTATCGAACACGTTTCAGCCGGATTCACCGTGCGACACCTCCGTGCTTGTTCCTTCCCTCACGAGAAACGATCAAACGAAAATGACAGACGAACGCGATGGCGGCATCGTGCAGACGTTCCTCTCCCTCGGCACGGACTCGAGTCAGTGCCTTCGTCTGTTTTCTCGTGGCAACAACCCCGGCTGCTACGTTCTCGGCTGGTGGGCCACCTTCGCCGCGAAGGAGTACATCAAGTCCACCGCCGTCCTCAAACAGTGGTCCACGACGGCGAGCGGTTCCTCTGCTGTGGACGTGGTCGTCGTGAACGATGCGCTCTGTAAGGAGATGATTCGCGACTGTCTGCTCCGCCGCGGCGCCTCCGTGGAGTTCTACGAGCGCGAGTCTGCAGGGGGTCCTTACGTGTGCCGGCAGCGCGGCTCGCCTGGCAACATCACCGACTTCGAAGCCTCGCTCTTTGAGTTTGAGGAGGCAGAGATTCAGCTGCTGGCGAGCGGCTCTCTCGTCTTCGGGGCGCGGCAGGACACCGGTGTGCTGGTCGGCTTCACGGCGCTGAACACGACGCTGCGGTTGCTGAGCTACACCGAGTACGTCGACACGCCGCAGCTGACGAGTCTCGACGCGTTGGTGGCGCAGACAAACCTCAAGGAGCTGCTGCTGACGGTGACGCTGCCTCCTGCCGCGGCTGGCGGGCAGCCCGTGTTGGAGGAAGATGACCGCATTATCGCGGTGCGGCGCATCTGCGAGCGTTGCGGGGTTCAACTAAAGGTGAGTACGCTGCGTGAGGTGCGCCAGCAGATGAAGTCGGAGGCAGCGGCGAAAGGGCTGGGTGCGTTGGCCGAGATCCTGCGTGTGCCGGAGGAGCGGCTGACGCTGGACCTCTGCCCGCTGGCGAGTCACGCCGTGGAGAACATCTTAGGCCGCATCGACGCCATGGATGTGGCGAACCAGCACGCCTTCTATCTCCGCCGCATCGTGCCATCCACCTATATGAAGCTGGACAGCGCGGCGATTGAGGCGCTGAACTTGGTGAGTAAGAAACCGGAACCACGTGGGTCGCTGCCCACCTCCGTCTTCTCTTGGCTCAACCGCTGTCACACTGGCATGGGCTCGCGGGCGATGCGGCAGTGGCTGCTGCAGCCGCTGCGGTCTGCCGAGGACATCAATCAGCGGCTGAACATGGTCGAGCTTTTTGTGGAGAGTCCAGTTCTACGAGACATGCTTGTCGCACAGGTGCTGCGGCGGTGCGGTGATATGGACCGCCTCAATCGGCGACTGCAACGTCGCAGCCTTGCCCTGAAGGACACGCAGGCCTTCCTGAACTTCGTGAACGTGGTGCCGGCGGCGCTGCAGGTGCTGGGTACTTACACTGGCTCTCAATCAAAGCTTCTGAAGGATGAGTTTATCGCCCCCATGGAGGAGATCAACGAGCACATGGCGAACCTCAAGACGTTGATTGAGGTCACTGTCGACTTCAGCGATCGCAACGCCGCCCGCATGAACTCCTCCTTCGACGACGAGCTACAGGAGCTGCATGAGCAGCTGACGAGCACGCAGAAGGAGATCGACCGCGAGTACGCGCACGTCTTGCGCAAGTACGACTGGAACGAGAAGCAGCTGAAGTATGAGTACCACAGCACCTATGGTTACGTCTTTCGAGTCTCGCGCAAGGAGGATCGGCAGCTGCGCAGCAGTAAAGAGCTCATCACTGTGAGCACGTCAAAAGACGGCGTGCGCTTCGTCTCGGAGAAGATGGCGTCCCTCAGCGAGCAGTACCGCCGCATCAACGACGACTACGAGACGCGCCAGCAGGACCTGAAGAGGAAGCTGATCGACAGCATCGCGTCCTACCTGCCGGTGCTGGACGACGCGAAGGAGCTCATCGCCACCTTGGACGTGTACGTGGCCTGGGCCCTTGTCGTGAAGGACAGCCCGCGGCCGATGGTTCGTCCCGCGGTGCGCGACACCAGGGCAACAGCAGCGGCACCCGTGGTGAAAAAAGAGGAGGGGAGCGCGGGCGGAGCACTCGCCGCAGGTGCTCTCAAGACGAGCGGCGGTGCTGGCCCGGTCCTCTCCTTCAAGAACCTTCGTCATCCGCTGGTGGAGCTTCGGCAGCCGAACTTCAAGGCGAACTCGCTCTTCCTCACGGAGCAGGCCAACGGTCTGCTCATCACGGGCCCAAACATGGGTGGTAAGTCCACCTTTATGCGCAGCGTCGGCGTCGCCGTGGTCCTCGCTCAGGCCGGCTGCTTCGTGCCGGCTGACGCAGCCGAAGTGCAGGTCCGCGACGCCGTGATGTGCCGCGTGGGGGCGACGGACCACCTGGCGCAGGGCGTGTCCACCTTCATGGTCGAAATGCTGGAGTCCGCTGCCATCTTGTCCGGTGCCACACAGGACACATTGGCCATTGTGGACGAGTTGGGTCGCGGCACATCGACGTACGACGGCTTCGGCCTGGCGTGGGCGATCGCGCAAGACGTGGTGGTGCGGGTGAGAGCCACGCTGCTCTTCTCCACTCACTTCCATGAGCTGACCCAGCTTCCACTGCAGTGCGCGGCGATACAAAACGCCCATTTCGGCGCCGACGTTGATGAGGCGGCCGGCACGCTGCGCTTCTCCTACAGTCTGCAGCCGGGGCCGTGCGGCCGGAGTTACGGTCTCTACGTGGCCGCTCTCGCGAATATGCCGGAGACGGTGATTGCGCGCGCCAAAGCGAAGGCGGCGGAGTGGGAGACCTTCGAGAAGGAAGGCATCCGCAGCGGCAGCAGCAACAACGCTCCAGATGCAACGGTGGTGCGGGCCGTGTCAGCCTACGCGAAGCGGCTGCGCGAGCTGGAGCAGCAGGCTCCAAGCGAGACGCGCGACGCGGCGGTGCAGCGACTGAAGTTGGAGGTGCTGCAAAACGCGCTCGTTCAACCGTACCTGGCCGAGGTTTCATAGACTGTGACGGAGAGAGGCGTACGCGGAACAAGACACGCAGATGACTGCGACATCGTTGAACGGCCTTGACGAACTCGAAGTCATCGAGTCGCTTCCCGACGCTGTCATGCCTAATATAAAATGCCAAAATAAAGTGCCGCCCAAAGAAGAAAGCTTTTAACGATACCGCTGTGTTTTTTTTTTCTTGTGTAGGTGCGCCTGCGACAACGTGAAATCTTAGCTGAGGTTGCCATCCCTCGTGCACGCTCTTCCTCTTTCCGCGTATGATACGTGTGGAGAGGTATAGCAAAAATCAAAATAATGCCTATTCAGTACACCTTAAAGAAAGGTGCCACACCTCCATAGATGCAATGATGCGTCCGTTTATGTGCTTTTGTTTGCCTGTTGCTGTTTGTTTCCCCGCGGACACTATCATAGAACTACCTGAAGAGGATGAAGCTCAAAGAAGAATTCGTTTCCAAAGGAAGGATTTTCCTTGTGCGGGAGCGATGCTTTTATTTGGGCTGCGCAGCACCCTATGCATTCGTTGAAGGGAAAAACGGCAGCCTGGAGAGTAACTCAGAGCTGCGGCGCTTGTGTGATCGGCATCTCGCTGTTTCCTTTTTGTTTTTGCGGGAGCAAGACAAGGTCGAAAAGCGGTTGAGTTGAGATAGCCGCAGCTGCAGCGATGCAACGTATCAGTAGATTATTCCCCGATTAATATATATACATATATAATCTCTCTACTTCTTCCTTACTGCTTAATCTTTTGATCCCCTCGTCGCACGTTTCTTCTTCTCTCCCTTAATCGGGTAGTGCGTAGGTACATCCGCGCACACTACACGCTTCCGCACCGCCCGTCGCAGCTTTTGCTGTGGGTGCCAATCTTCTTTTGTTTGTTTGTTTCCCTCGAGTAGGAGGCAACGACACACAATCGTGAAAACATCGAGCGACAAGGTAGAACACCGCAACAACGAATTTTTTCCCAGGCAGCAAGCACGTTTCTTCTGCTTGTCTGCCTCCATCACATTCGGTAGACCCGCAAGCAAGTTTCTTTTTAGTTTTCTTGTCAACGTCTCGAGCTCTCACTTCGCGCTGTCGTTCTCTTCTTCTTTTTGATCAGAGAAACGATTGCAGCGCGGTGCCACGTCTCTTCTTGCTATCTTTTTTGTTTTGATGTGTTTGCTGGTCGTCAAGTCTTCCTTTTGAATCTTTTATTATTATTTGTAGATCTGACATCATGGCGCTGCAGATATTGGTAAATAATATTGTATTTGCGCCGCCAAACAACGCGAACTCGTTGGAGGCGGTGCAGCTACAGCAGAACAAGTGCAACATGGAGTTTGTTCGTAAAAAGGATGATCGGCACATTGCTTACTACCACGTCGCACCTGGTGGTGGCCGCGTCACGCAGGACCGCCTCCGCGAGGTGACGCAGACCGCTACGGTAGTGTTGTTTCACCACGGCAACGCCGAGGATCTGGGCGGGTGCTACCACTACGTGGAGTGGTTCGCCGCCTCCTTTGGGGTCGCGGTGGTCATGTACGACTACTGCGGCTACGGCCTCTCAGGCGGCCTCGACACGCGCGGCACCGCGTCTTTCTCCGTTACGGAGAAGACGGTGTACAGCGATGCCGATGACATGTATGCCCAGGTGCTCAAATTGGGCTACCCAGCGCACCGCATCATCATCGTCGGCCGCTCCGTCGGCGGAGGCCCTGCGTGCTATCTTGCCCAGAAGCATCACAATGAAATTGGCGGGCTCATTCTCATCTCCACCTTCACCTCCTGTCTACGTGTTGTGTCGTCGTGTTGCTTGCCATCCTTTTGCTGTTGTGTCGACTTGTTCCCCAACTACCGCCGCGTGAAGGTGGTGATGGAGTGTCCGGTCCTCATCATGCACGGCACGGATGACAGGGTGGTGCCCTATCACTGCTCCTGCGAGCTGCTCGAGACGATCGATGAGCGCCGTGCGAGTACGCTACAGGGACTGCAGCGCCACCGCAAGAGAGCAGCAGCGAGACGGAAAGACGGCAGCGCGGCGCAAAGCCCGCTGAAGGCGTCGTCCAGCGCAAGAAGTAACCAGTCTCTATCCGGGGCACATGTGAGCAACGCGGAGCCGTGGTATCCGCCGGCGCCTGGCGATTTGGACAGCGTCTACGATCTCTATCGGCGCGCCTATGCGGCAATTCCAGAGGCGATCCGCAGCGACGCTGCCCGCGACGTCGGCTTTGGCACCCACGAGGCTCAGATAGGCACGTTTCACAAGTGGTTCCCGGGCTGCGGGCACAACGACATTGAGAATCGAGAAATGCAGATGTTTGGGCAGGCGGTAACGTGGTTTGTGCGTTTTGCCAAGGCGTTCTCTGTTGAGCGGGGCAAGTAGACGAATGCGCAAATATTTCTGATAGAGGGGTCGCCGCTTTGCGTGAGGAATCGGGAAATGGAAAATAAGGCTAACCGTTTTCTTCGCCTGTGATGTGCGCCACATATTTTTGTCGGCCTCTCTCCTTTTTGTTTTACGACACACTCGTCCGCCATTGCCGTCCGGCGTTCGTCTGCCTCTCTGCAGGCTGCCCGACGTGAGCGGCACACCGTTTGCAGAAGCCTTTGTTCTTTTTTTTTTGCTTTTTCTCGTTCGGTGTTGGCGTATCGGTGTTGTGCTGCGGTGGCCGCTGATGCCTTTCCCAAGCTCCAATCTGATGTTGTCCCTTCCCTCTCCCTAACAAACTTGATCTCACCATGCGTTCTTTTTGTCTTGTTTCGCTTTCTTATGCGGTAGCCATGAAGAATTTCGTTTGCCTCCTGCAGGGGGGGGGGGCTTTTTCCTCAGTGCAGTGTCCCAGCTGCTTATCGATGAGTACTAACGGATGTTTTTCCCCTCCCAATTGTTCCTTCTTTAAAAAAGAAATGTTCTTCGTTGCTCTTCTTCAAGACGCTAAACTCGCAATTCGTCTTCCCGCTATTGCAACCAACAATCTTCGACAATAAGTTGGACATCTAGAGATATACACAACCCTCGTAGAGCTCAAAGCTTGCTGGCGCCTGTGCGTCGCTCAACGTTCTCGCGCTTCGTATACTTCGTTCAGCTGAAGGCAACTGCTCCCTCCATTGCTGTAAGAAGTGCATCTCGCGCTTACTCCTGCCGCTGTCTCTCGTTCTCACTGTCTTTCCTTTTCCGCCCCCGGTCACCATCGCGTACATGAACGGCGCTTTGCATCCAACCCAACGTTTGCACACGCGGCGCAATTCTAAGAAATTTATTTCTTTTTTTTTTTAAAGGGTAAGCAATTTTTCTCTTTTGCGGTAGAAGCGGCTTCTTGTGGCTGCGCAGACACGTCTTTTTAGATAATTATTGCTATTTACGTAGACACATACAAACACACTGGAAAAAGAAATCACGCAGGGCAATGCAGAGCCTTCGCGATGCCCCGGGCTACGCTGAGATGGAGGACTACTACGACAGCGATTTCGTCCCGCTCCACCTCATCGACCGCTACAGCGCTCTCCAGCTTGAGAGGCAAAAGAAAACGGAGCAGCTGTTTATCGCGGCGTCGCAGGCGCACGGCCTCGCCGCCACACACGACGGCCTCGCCCTGGCCGGCGACTCGACCGCTTCGCTGCACTTCACGACGCAGTCCTCTTTGTCCGCTGCGCATCTGTCTTCCTCCTCAAAAAGGCAACAGGAGGAGCAGCAGCAGCGATCGGGTCAGCGGTCTCCACAGCGTCGAAGCATTGCAGCAAGTACGCGAAGCAACAGCGGCAGTCGCAACAGTGCCCCTCGGCAAGCTCCGCGAACAAGTATGGCGCTGGATGCAATCTACGCGGCGCGTGACATCAGTCACGGCTACCCGACCGCATCAGCCACTTCCAGCGGAGACGCGTTGCTGTCCACCACGCTGCACCCGACACCGCCCGCTGCCTCGCCAAGTTCGAGTCGCACTTTGAAAACAAAGAACGCTGCGAAGTCGTCGGCGAACGCGCGTGCGGCGCGGACACACCGACACACCAAAACGGAGCGAAAGCCCCCCGAGAGCACGGACGAACCGCTGCAACGTGACCTGTACGATAGCGCCGCCGAGGCGTATCGACAGGAGCACTTCTTCAACGAGAGCAGGCGACTGGGCAAGCCGTTTGTTCCCTCCGGTGGCAGTGGATTGGACATGCCGACCCGTTTTATGCTGGGTGACTGTGTTAAGGCCTTGTATCGCTCCATCGTCCCGGACTGGCGGGAGGCGTCGCCCATGGTGGTGTCTACCGCAGAGGACCTGATCGCCGTGTACTTCTCGCTGGAGAAATTGGAGAAGGCGCAGGTGACGGCGCTGCTGCAGTACATGAACGCGTGTCTGCTGCACAACGCCGCGATCCGTGAGTTTCACCTCACCAAGGTCACGGAAGGGTGGGATGTGCTGACGAACGAAGGCTACGTGTTGTACACCTTTCGGCCGCCGTGGGTCAAGAAGCGGGCCTTTTTGCCCGATACAATCAACCCGCTGTACGCGCATCTCCGCGAAGGCGAGGACTAGGCGGCAGCTCTATAACTTCTCCTCTGCGTGCTGACACGTGCTCTCCATCGTGTGTTGCAAAGCTGCAGCTCTTCAGTTAGAGTAGCTCGTTCCCCCTCCCCCTCCCCTTTTCCTTTAGACTTTCGATTCTGCTTGTTTTGCTTTGCTCTAATGTATGTCCATTCGCCCCAAAGCACACTGTGCACGCCAGCACGAAATTTTGTGAAGGGCTCGCGTCGACCACCGGCGCATGATCACTCCTTCAGTGATGACGTCTTCTGTCGGAAGTTAATTCCCATTACTACTTTGTCTCTTCACTGGACACACTTTGCGCAGTCCCTACGATCCTCCTCCTTTGCGTTCCCTTTACTTTTCCTTTCCCGATGTTGTTGACTGTTGTGAGGTCTCTCTCCCACGTCACACAGCGCATTTCTCGCACTTGCACCACGCAGCAGCCTCGCCCCGTTTCTTATTCGCTAGGGCTGCGCTTCCCGCTGCTCTTGCACTCGTGCTCCACACCTGCCTTTAAAAAAAAAAGGCGGCACTGTACATTCTTCCTGATTGGTGTTTGACATCCTGTAACATGTGTTGGTCTTGCCACTATTAGTCCTGTAGTCAATAGCCCAACATGAATCCCACTGCGAGTGCGTACGTTCCGTCGTCGGCCATCGCAGAGACGCTCCATCGTCGACGGCCCACACCACCCACGACGCCGCCGATCATGGCCCCCACAGCTGCGAGGGGCTCCATGACGACTGCCGCCGTCTCAGCCAACGGCGCTCACCTCACCGCAGCGGAGCGTTTGCGCAACTTAAATAGCACGGCGGCACCGCCGTCTCCACCGAAGCAAACAGTCACGTCATCCGCCCTAAACTCTGCCGCTCAGACGCCCGTGCTGACGCTGACCACGGCCCCGCCCGCACCTGCGGCGTCGACGTCTTCTGCCGCCTCTTCCCCTCCCGATTCGAATGACAATACAGCCGCGGCAGCAGCGCACCATGGCGTTATTCGCTATACGAAGCAGCTGCTGCTGTCATTGCGACCTGCAGCGATGGAGTACGTGACGCGTGGCCCCATCGTTGACCACCCGCCGTTTCTAAAAATCCCGGAGGGCTTCGCACATCTTTTAGAGCTACCGCACGCGCTGGAGTACGTGAATGTGGACGCGGCGACGCAACTGGTAGAGCACCGCACCTACGTCAGCCCTCTCCTCTCTTCCTTTGGGCAGTCACGCGCGGCGGAGTCCAACGTCACTGCGGAGACGGAAGACGACATCGCCCACGCTCGTCTTTACAACTGCGCTATCTGTGCCGAGGGTGGCCCTCAGCCATGCCCTGCCATCCAACGAATCATTCAACGTGCGTCAAAATTCGCCATGTCCACCAAGCTTGGGACTGCACTCATGCAGCCGGCGCTGGTCGTTGAGTCGTTGCTGCGGCTTGCCTTGGTGTTTGAGGCGAAGCAGAGCTCGATGCGACTACGCCTGCTCGCCGAGCGTAGTCCACGCGTCGTGCATTTAGTCGAGGAGTACCTCTGCGGGGAGGGCTATCACCTGCCGCTGCCACCTGTCACGGCGCACGAGGAGTGGGCCGCCATGAACGCTATGCTGAAGTTCGACGCCATCCGCGACAACAAAACGCGGGTCATTACGGATTTGTCGAAGCACTGGAAGAAACGCCGGACACAGTTTGAGCAGTTTGTCCACTTCTTTGCTTTCCGCGACGCGCGCCCGGTGCGACCAGCGAAGAACATTATCACGCAGTCCGTGAAGCCAGGGATGGTGGCGATGCTGACGGGAGACGTGACCGCCGTGCTGCTGCTGCACCGCCTGGGCTTCTTCATTCCTCCCGACTACTACTGGTCCGTGTACCCCTTTCTTCGTCAGTCCCTCGGCGAGGGCACACTGGCCTATGACGTGGTTCGACACCTCGGCCTGTACGTTTCGTCGGTGCAGCCGACCGATATGTACAATCCGGTAGAGCGGCCGCGGCGTTTGGCGTAACGTCGCAGAAGCGTTTGCTGGGAATCTGTGCTGCGGAGTACCGGTGTGCGCGAAGAGAGAGAATGAAGGAGAGCGAGCTTGCTTTTCCATGGTGTCGAGACGCGCTACGACTCAGCGCGTGTTAGGCGGCCGAAGACGGAGACGTCGCAGGGGGTTTAAAAAAAAAACTGCTTTTGGTGGATGGAAATCAGAGGCACTTTTCTTTTTTCCTAAGAACTACACCGCTTAAAAGAGATAAATTCATGTCTTACTCTTCAGAAAACGAATGACAGGCGATTTCGTGGAAGCAGCGAGTGCTGGTGGGCGCTCTCGACTGCAAAAAGAGGAAGCGCCTCTTCGCCTTCAGCGACACGCCGATGCAGCGCAATCTCTTCCGTTGTCGCAGTTGTTCTGGCTGAAAGTGACAAACAGAAAGAGCAGAAGAAACCTGGCATTCGTCTCCTTTCGCTGATGAGAGAATTATCATAAGCAGCTGCCTCATTTGTTTTCTAATGTCATGCACGACTCTGTTCACTCTATTCTCTATTTTTCTTTCTTACCTTCGCCTTCTGTTTCAATTGTGGAGTGCACCTTCGACGTACAGGCGGCCGAAAAACTGTCACAGACGATTTCGACGCTGCGCCGTCCTGACGTGTCACTTTCCACCCTCCTACAGCTCTAGCGTCCTAGGCGTTGCATTCATCTACCAACAACAAATAAGAAAATAAAAGAACGGAAATCTTTTTTTTTCTGCCGGTTCTCGTGCAACTTAGACTCTTCTTGCTTTCTTCAAAGCTCCTTTTTTCTCCCTTTTGTTCTTCTCGTGCCCCACGTACGGTCCGTCTCTGCCTCGTTCAACGCGCCTTCATTGGTACAACTTCGCCGGCGTTGCGGTAGTTGTTGACCTGCTTGTCCCCCGCCAGGTCATCCCCCTCTTTCTTTCTTTGTTTTGTTGTTGTTATTCATTCCTGTTCCACCCACAGAAGCGTGCATCTTCTTCCGCTGATTGTACCCAAATCTATTGCCTTTTTCCCCTAGATCCCTCTTTCTTCTTTCTTCTTTCTTTGTTACTTTTTAAGATTTCACTAAACGCACTTGTACATTTACTTTCCCTTTCTTTCCCCTTTTTGAGTATTCTGAGGAGTCCCCACTCTTCGCTGGCTGACCAACAAAAAAAGGCGTTTCACTGTTCTGTTCTTCCCTTTCCCACTGTCCACTTGCGCAACGAATGCAACAGTGGACTTTAGAGCGCAATTCCGAGTCGCCGGAGAGCACCGGCCGCCTCACGTTGCACCAGAAGGACGCAAAGCTATTCAAGTACGACGGCCGTCACGCGCGGCGCAGCGGTCGCGTCGAGGCGCGGACACGGCTGTCCTGCACCGCGTTCCCTGCGGAAGCCACGGCGAGCAACATCTGTAACCACGAAGCGTGGGAGGAGGAAGAGGGCCGCAGCAGTGTACCGCAACGCCTTTCCCGCCACATCCCTCAGCGCGCCGGTATCGACATGTCGATCTCGTCGTTTAATTTGATTTCATCCCCGGCGTGCCTTTCGCAGTCCTCCGCCAGCTCCCCGCGCAACCTCGCTGGGGCGTACGGGCTGAATAATAGTGGTAGCAATGCCGCTGCTGTGGTTGCCGCAGTCGGGGCGCCGCCTACCCCGCCGAGCGGCATCGCCATGGCCCCCAATCCTTCTGCGGCTCACTCGACATCATCAGGAGCAGCAGCAGCATCTGCGGGTGTCGGCGGCGCCTCTTTCGCGGGCACCAGCACCGTCTCTCCCACCCCCGCGTCGAGTGCGCTGACGAGCTTCTCTGAGTCCTTCGTGTCCGACGACTCCTCCTACGTGACGTCGCTCTACCACGACGTCTTGGCCAGCAGCCTCATCGGCCACCGCACCACCGCCTCTGCCGCCGGGGGTGCGAACGACGGTCGAGGTGGAGGGGGCGGCGGCTTCTTGTACGGCCGTCCAACATCTGCCGTGGGCGGATCGCACATCAGCGGCGGTGTTGCCGCGTCCGTCGACGACTTCGGCGAGGGCCGACGCACCAGCGAGATGGGCAGCGAGGAACGCAGCAGCGGACACGGCGTTCACGTCGACACCGTAGCGTCGACCGCCTCTGTGCGTCGTGGCCTCGGCGGCGAGGTGCTGCGCTTCGCAGACACGAGCTCGTTGGTGGCGACCTCGTCTTCCTTTGGCGCGGCCAGCCCCACCAGCGGTCCCTCCGTGCGCGTCACGACGTACACGACGAAAGGCACCCGATCATCCGCGGCCTCCTCCAGCGCAGCCGGGCTCGCCGTTGCCTTACCCCGCGTGCGCTCTCGCACCTTCTACACGTCGGGCAGCGGCAGTCGCGGCGGGGGCGGCCCGCGTGTCTTCAACACCACCCCAGAGCGCGTGTTGGACGCACCTCAGTTCCCCACGGATGCCACGCAGCTGCTGGACTGGGGCGCGAACAACGCCATTGCCATCGGCATGGGGCAGTCCCTTTACTCGTGGAGCGGGGATAGCGGACAGGCGGCGCGCATTGTCGATCTCGACAGCGCTGCCCGCATTAAGTGTGTTCAGTGGCTGCACAAGTGCAGCTGCGTCGCCCTTAGTGTTCAGAAGGGCACGACAGCCATTTATGACTGCCGCACCTCTGATTTCTTGCGTACAGTGCGCCTGCCCACTGGGTTGGAGGTGACGGGGCTTTCGGTGAAGGGGCCCGTCAT